TTCTTATAATCTATTTTCAAACCAGGTAATGCTTGGGGATAAATCTAAGTAACAATAACAATACTATTATGCCTATATATCTCGAAATAACTGCTCAGTTTTTGAATTATTTTTTAATACAACAAACATGACATTGACTTTGGATAGTGTGGAGTTACATTGTTGTGACGAAATAGTGGAATAGACTATTTTAAATTTTTTTTTTTCAAATGGGTAGAATAGGCTATTTGACACTACAGATATCTCACCAATTATTATCGATCATATATATAGCTTAAAATTTGTGTCTCGTTTTTTGTTTGGAATATTTTCCAGCAATGAGATAATTGATATATAACAGAATTAACATTCTATTTTCATGTAAGAATTTCCCAACTCACAACGCAGGGGAGCTCTTGGTAATTTTCTAAAGAGGTGAGCTCGTAATTAGAAAAGGAAACTTCGAGTGTGAGTAGAACAAGTAAAGAAAAGAGAACCAGTACCTTAGAGGGAAATATTTTTTTAAAAAAAAAAAACTAAGAAGGAGTAGAAAAAGGAATTTTTTCCTTAAATATATTTCCTTATATATACCTGGACAAAAATAAACCTTTCAAAAATTTTGTGGACAAACTTATATGTCCCGAATTTAGGAAATCCAAATGGGGGTGAAACTCGGATTTCGGAAATCCGAACCTCAATAAACTCGGATTATAAAAATCCGACTTTGTGTTACGAAAATCCGATATTAAGTTAATAACAGAAATTAGTGTAATTAATCTAAATCTGAATTTTATAAATCCGTATTTACGAATAAAATATTAATTTCTGGATAGAGAAAAAACAATATGTGTTGAAAAATTAAATTCGAGAAAAATCGGATCACGGATTCGGATTACCGAAATCCGAATCTCCTCCGTTTTCTGAAAACTGGTGACTCTCAGTTGGCTACACGACTCGGATTTCCGAAATCCGAATCCGTTACAAAAAGTCTGAGTTCGGATTTCACAAATCCGAGTCTTTGTCAGAACTGAAAAAAAAATTGGATTGGTTTTCACCAGTTCTAAACCTGTTTACAGCACCAACAACAATGAAACATTGGAAAACAGAAATTTAATGGCAACAAAACAATAAACGGCATTCGATTAACAACAAAACAAATCAAGTTCCATACCAAAATCAATACAAAAACTACTTTAAATGTGCAAAATACATCAAATGTCTCAATTTTTCCCTTTTCCTTTATTGTGCGCATCCGAAGTGTATTTGTTTGGGACCTGCCGGATCCTGTCTCCTCTCTTAAGATACGTGAGTATTGAACTCTGTTGTGATTGCGACTGTCCACCAAACTAAGCCTCGGGTTGGGGTTGGGATTGAGACTCCCCCATGGTGAGAAATTTGACTCCCGGTTGTGGTTACGACTGTCCACCAAGCTGAGTCTCGGGTCCACCAACATCTTCAAAATGAGTCTCGATCTAGATGCACGAGCCTCGAGAAGAATGTGCTTGATCCTTATTTTGTTGACCGTCGGTTTGTTGTTGCGATGTCCGAGGGGGGATTGGGACCTTCCTCTTTCTTCCTCCTCCAATCTTATCTCTCGACCACGGTTTCGCTTTTTTACCCGGCGGAGGTTGTGAAGGCAAAGATGGATCTTCATCAACCAGGATTTGGGTATCCTCCACCTCCATCTCATCATTTGCGCCCAGGGTTAAAGCAGCATGTGTTTGATTGATGATATCATCCAAATGCTTGTCGAGTTCTTTGTCTAGGAGATTCTCATCTTCTCGTTTTTCTCTAAACTTCTCGGTACTCACGCGAATGTTGTTCTGTCCGGGGGGGACCACCGAGGCTCCCCTCTTCGCCCTTCTTCATCTGTACCAGCTGCCACGCACGAACCAATAGAAAGGATTTCAGCGCTCCTCTCTATCTCTAGATAAGAAGCAGAACGCGCTAGCACCTACAGCCCTTTGCTCTGCCGGGGACTTCCACGAAATGAAAACGGGCGGCATCGTCGTATGCTCCACTTTTGTTGCCCTGGTTTATATCCCGGAGTCTTCCTATGGCCGATCTGTCATCCAACCTACTTAAACAACCTAAAGCACTTCGGCAATAGGTCTGAAAAAGTATCTAAAAATATCCAATTTAGATATTTGTACCCTGTCAATACTTCACCCTGAAAAGAAATTGGGACGTTAATTAAGAGAGTAAAATTCTAAAAAAATAAAAATAAAAAAAAGAAAACATAAGAAATAATAAAAGAAATATAGAATGAACTCACATATAATTTCACGCGGCTCGAAGAAGTCTCGTATCCTTAAGGTTCATAATTACCGGGATTGGATATCAGTCTGACAGTGTTCACCATGAACCATTCATAGTACCCCTCATATACGGAACCAGGATCTCCTTCCTCCAAATCTCGTAGCACGTACTCTTCTCTCCTATTCCAATGATGACGTACTGCGGAATGGTGGTCCACTCAATTATTTCTAGGATATCCAGACATACTGTCGGCGTGATCGAGAAGGAATGCTGCGTTATCTTTAATCATAGGGCGCTTGGGAACATCCTGTATGTTTCCAAATTGTCTTACGACTCTGCCCGACTCGTGGGGTTCCCTAATAGCCCAGCAGAACATCCAACATTTGGTCGTCCAAATGGCTTGGCCTTGTGTACAGAAATCAGTCTATGAAGGACATGTGCATATGGTTGCCACCGAAACTGCACGAAAACAATTTCATTAGATGGTACAACCGGAACGAAAAGAAACTCAAAGTAAATATAAATACCAAATTACAAGTACTTACATCTTCAACACGCAGGCTTGTTAATTGATCTCTAAAAGGTGGGGTGCTGCTCCTTGGGGCATCGCCGTAGGTGTACCTACATTTCCACCTTAATGAACAAAGGGGTACATTTGAATTAGTGAAAAAAATGAATAAGAAACAAATAAAAATAAACATTGAGTTATTTTGAACTGAAAATATGTACCGCTGAGCTAATAGAGCGGTCTCATCAATCAAATAATCTACTCCTTTTCTTTGTGGCGCAATTCTCTCGATCCGCTCATATGCTCATACCTAGTAAATTGCAATAATAATGTTAAAACTTCAAATTATAACGTCGAAAGCGGAAAATAATTAAAACACAAATTGAAAACTAACATGTACCTGTAGTAAATATAGACACCCAGTGGTGTCGTGCATGGTGTACTGTGATGCCTCGCACAGTCCATAGTACAAACCAGCCAGCAGTGCCGATCCCCAACTCTATCGACTACATTGATCTAAATCCTCAACCTGGGCCAAGAACTGTAGATTGACAGTGTTTTGCGTCTTGTTAGGAAACATGAAACTGCTAATAGAATGCAGTATAAGTGTCCGGCCCTTTGCTCGAATCGATGGACAGTGGAATTCTCAGGTAGTGCGCGGCCCATCTCATCTTCGAAAATACCAATATTGACACATTGGCCATTTACTTGGGCTGGCCGGAATCCCAAATAAGCCTCACATCGATCCCGCCATTCATCTGCAGTCCGGCTAACTGTTGTTCCGTACACCAGGTCACCATCCACCCGAATACCAAACAGGACCTCGACGTCCTGTAGCGTCACAGTCGCCTCTCCGAAATTGAAATGGAAAGTGTGGGTTTCTGGCCTCCACCGTTCCACCAACGCGATAATGAGACCGATATCTACTCTTTTGTAGCCTACTTTCATGATCCCCGCAAAACCGGTTCTCTAAATGACTTCCTTAACCTCCGGTACCGTATTTTTGTATATCCCTCAAAAATCGCTGTCGTATCTACGGCCCTTGATAACTGTTAAGCATGTATGATACATTACGTGCCATTGATAACTGTTAAAAAAAATATCAATAACTAATCATTTCTTAATAACAAAATCAACAAATACACCATACATACTCCATTCATAATTCAAAAAACCTATAAAATACTAAAATACTTATAAATCAACTTCGATATCTCATGAACAACTATAATTTCTCATCTCTAACCTCAAAATCAACACCTAAAACATCCAAACAACCAACCAGCATAAACCTTAATCTATCATACATCATTCTAACAATCAAAATAACACAAAACTAAACTAAATAACATGGTTTTGCAATCTAACCTCTTTTATCTAGAGGCAAGAATGCATCAAAAGCTCCAATTCGCCCTTGTTTGAGCTGCAAAAACAGAAAATCCAACTCAGTTCTCGAATGAGAACTATCTGAATTTTTTTTCTTTTATAGCACGTTAAACTCGGATTTCGTAAGTAACTCGGATTTTTGAAATCCGAATTACATTAGTCTCGGATTTCATGAATTCAGATTTGGTCAATTCTGGATTATTTTATTCATTTTTTGGTTCTCCAATTTATGGCACATGCCTACTTCCACCAACCAAAATTAAAGGCAGTCGGATTTCCAAAATCTGAATTCATAAAACCGGATTACGGACTTCCAGTATTTGGATTCAAAAATATCGCGCCGCGATTTTCTTTTTTTCTTTTTGTAAAAATCCGAGTACTACTGTTCATTTAAGGAGTCCTGGACTCCTTATCCTTATTTGAGTTCAAATTTTTCGCGCCTCAATTTATTTTTTTTAATTAAATTCGGATTTCGCAAATCCGACCGGCACTGTTCATTTAAGAATTTTAAAAAAACTATTATTCAACAAAATTTGTTTAATTATTATTTTATTATTAAATTAGACTCGGATTTTCAAAATTCGAATCTTTAATTTTAATCAGAACTCAGATTTCAGAAATCCGAGGAATATAATTCTGTCCACAAATATTCTTGAAAATCTAAATTTGTCCACGTTTATTTTAATTAATTTTCTTTTGGAAGAAGCCCGTAGAAAAGTGAGTAGAGGGTCCATTTGAGCAATAATAAAAGAGTCAAGGGACCATTCCAAAACTCCCACACTAATCCTAGTGGGTGGTGGCTGCTGTTATTAAAAGCCAAAAGCTTAAAGCACACGTGTTGGACCAAAACAAGGTAGTATAATAAAATCACACATAAATAGTACTAGTAGCAGTATGATAAGTATCTCAGAAATGTCCATCGTAATATAATTAATAAATGCCAGTTGGACCAAACACAGCTTGCCAAGCTCATGAGTCATGACTCAAATCACATCATAAGAAAAGTAGTAGCCAGAAAGAGAAACCAATATAAGTAGCAAATACGAGACCAAGTCTGCCCGCCCCCGGGACCCAAACCCAGCCAGCCTGGCTGCTTATCACTCCCCAGTCACTCCCCTGTTTCCGTGTGCGCGTTTTATCCGTATTCATGCTCTCCTCTTTCGGCTCTTCCCTCGCCAACATATATATACTACCGGAACAAATTCTCACTCCCCAACTTATCTAAATTATAACTTATCTTATCATCATCACTCCAACTCTAAAAATACTACACTCAATCAACCGAGATTCCAATTGTCAACCATCCCCTTCCCTTTATATAAGCCTCTGTTATTCGGTTCCATTCTTTGACCACGAGACTCATTTGCCAAGTCCTTTTTTCAATCGAGTCTAGAATCTTATTTTTGGCCAACTCTCAGAATCTGTCTACAACTTTACTTGAACAAGAAGAAGAATGGAGTTCTTGTCGTTTTGCTATTCTGACCCGCTTCCGCATTCCCCCCTCTGGTTTTCTGATCATCTTCCCGAATCTTCTTCCACTTCTGATAGTGCTAACAACGCCTGCAGCAAGGCCAATTTCTCCGACGAAGAAGTTCTGCTCGCTTCCAACAATCCCAAGAAACGGGCCGGCCGGAAGAAGTTCAGGGAAACCCGGCACCCGGTCTACAGGGGAGTCCGACGAAGGAATTCCGGCAAGTGGGTTTGTGAAGTCAGGGAGCCCAACAAGAAAACCAGGATTTGGCTCGGCACTTTCCCCACTGCTGAAATGGCGGCCCGAGCTCATGACGTGGCTGCCATTGCCCTCAGGGGACGATCCGCTTGTCTCAATTTCGCCGACTCTGCTTGGAGGTTGCCGATTCCGGATTCCTCCGATGCTAAGGACATTCAGAAAGCCGCGGCCGAGGCCGCCGAGGCATTCCGGCCGGCAGAATCCGAGAGCATGCTGTCTGGAAACTCTGGCGACGACAATACGAATAATCATAAGCAAAATACAGAGGAATGCGCATCGTTCCCATCCGCTGATCAGGATGAGGTTTTCTACATGGACGAGGAAGCGGTTTTCGGAATGCCCGGTTTGCTGGCAAATTTGGCTGAAGGATTGATGCTTCCGCCACCCCAGTGTGGAGTTGGGAACGAGATCAACGAAGGAGATCATGCTGACATGTGTTTGTGGAGTTACTCAATTTGATTGACGGTTTAAAAAAAAAAAAAAAAACCAGAAATGAGTTATAAATATAGCTCAGCTCTACTGGTTAAGTGAGATTGCGAATAGGATATATATAATAGGTAGCATTTGGCTTAGGATTTAGAGGGTAATTAGTTAATGTAGGAGTGCTAATTTTCTTGTTTTATTCCTTTGATGATCCGTACAGTGTATTTTTGCCCCTATGGGACCCAAGTACGGATTGTGTCAAAAGGAATATGCGAAAGCAGATTTTGGGAAACTAGTCTAGGCACTAGGCAGCAGTATTGTGAACGAGACAGCCAGCCGCCACTTTTATGCTTTGGTGTTTCAGCCGTTATAAATGTCAAAAATAAAATAAATGTGTGAAATTAATTAAGGAAAAAAGTAATAGTGTACTTAAATCTCAGACTCATCAAGCCCTTCTCTTTGCCCAGTAGCAAGTAGTCGATTCCGTCCTACCCAATGCAAACACCAAAAGCCACTATTTTATGTATAAATATAATGGTCACAACGACGGAAGAGGTATGCATCCAAAGCGATATACTATCATGAAGTTTCTTGGAAATGGTCAAAATGCCCGCTATGCTACTCCTGGCCGTGGTGACATCATGACCTATCTCTACCCCTTTAGTCAAAAAAAACCCTTGAATTTTTTTTTTATAACAATTTTGATTAAGATGATTATGGATGAAGGGGTACATGTACATAGCAACTTATGAAGCCAGGCGGAGTCAAGAGAAATGTTCAGCTGCTTGAACATCTCGACCATGGCAGCCCCTAAACCAAAACAACCAAAGCAGTTGCCCTTTTTCTGGTTATGTGGAAATCTAGCAACATGTACTTCTGTTTTGTTATGCTACCCGAGCGTTATGTAGTTTTTTTTTTTTTTTTTTTATATACGAGGGAAGCCGAACGGCCTTGGGTTACAATTACAAGACATCCCGACAGGGTAGGGATGCTCCTAGCCTATCCGTATTAAGCTTGTCTAAGATCGAGGACGGAGGCGATGACAGAATATGATTCCCAGCCGGGCATGAGAAACCGAATTTTGCCAGAGCATCCGCGACGACGTTTTGATCACGTCGGGTATGTCTGAACAGTACGGTCCAGTTGAGGTTAAGAAGAAGTCTAATTCTAAAATATACATTACTATTAACCGACGAGGAGTCGTCGTTTGTCAAAATATCAAAAGCCTCTAAGGAGTCTAAATCAACCTGGACTTCCTTGAATCCCAGAACCCAGGCGATTTGAAGACCGAAGAAGACTCCCCAGAGTTCTGCTTCACGTACAGAGCAACAGCCGAGATTTGCGGCAAACCCTATAATCCAAAGGCCTTCACTGTTTCTGAGCAGCCCACCAGCAGAAGCTTTCCCTGAGTTTGCCACTGCACCATCAGAGTTGAGCTTGATGCAGTTCCCTTGAGGAGACCGCCATCCTTGTTGTGTTAGTGGAGTAGCATTACTGTCATTCCGCCAGGCAAAAATGAGGTTGGAACGACTGATTTCCTTTATAAACGCAGTAGTAGAGATTTTAAGGCTTCTATATGATATGTGGGCTTCATTGAAGATCTCTTCATTCCTTGTTCGCCAAAGCTTCCAGCAGCCAACCGCAAACCAAATGGGCCAGCTGATTTGATCCTGCAAAACAGATGATTTGAGGTTAGCTAAAAACCATAGTTTCCAGTCTGTGACATACCAAAAGTCAGAGCCCAGAGAGGAGCTAATGCCACGCCAAAGCTCCTTGGCTCTGAAACAGTCGCGAAAAATATGGAGTAAGTCCTCATCCTGGCTGCAAGCATTGCAGCTCCCGTCTTCTGTGAGGTGGCGCCTTTTCCTTTCAACATTGGTTAACAGAGCTTCCCTGAAACACAACCAGAGAAAGATTTTTATCTTTTCAGGTCCCTTCCATGACCAGATCAAGCTCCAATCCTTTTCCTCCCTGTCCCAAGAGTCCTCCATTAAGAGGTTGTATGCCGATTTTGTGGTAAATTTTCCAGACTGGGATAGTCTCCAAGTTATACGGTCTGCCCCCGCAGAGTGTTCAGGCGGAGGGATGGCTCTTATTTGCTCAACTTTGTGGTGGGGCAGTAGGCTACGTAGGACTTCTAGGTTCCAGCCACCGTCAGGCAGTACAAAGTCAGCTACTGGTTTTTGCAGAGCTTCAGCCGGAACATTAACAAGCGCAAAGTCGATTAGAGGATTGTTGGTGTTGTCAACCCAAGTGTGAGTCCAGAACTTGACTTTGTGGCCATCTCCAATGATCCAACGCGAACCTTCCGTTGTCCATGCCCAAACCTTTTGGATTTGGTTCCCAACATGAGATGATTTTCGAGTTGATGCTGTTGAGGAGCCGTATTTGGCCCGTAAGATATCAGTCCAAAGCGTTTTCTTCCCAGAAATCAAGCTCCAAGCCAGTTTCATAATAAGGGACATATTAAACTCCTTCAATTTCCGTAGACCAAGACCCTCTCTGTTTTTAGGTTGGCAGACACTATCCCATTTGACTAGAGTAGCTTTTCTTTCGCCCGGCCTGCTACCCCAAAGGAAGGTGCGGCACACTTTGTCGAATTCATTGCAAATGCCACAAGGGAGAAGTGACGATTGCATGAGGTACGTGGGAATCGCCGAGAGTACTGATTTGCATAAGGTTAGTCTTCCAGCTAGGGAGATTTTCTGTGGGTTCCACAGGGCTGTCCGTTGCTTTGCTTTGTTCACCCAATCCCCGTAAGTTTCTTTCTTCACTCTCCCATGAATGATTGGGACACCTAGGTACTTCCCTAGGTTATTCACCCTACGGATGCCGAGTAATTCCCCAAGAGAATCAGCTAGCAAATTGTCCAAATTGGGAGAGCAATATAAGACAGATTTGTCATTGCTCACAGTCTGGCCGGAAGCCTGACAAAACACATCTAGGGTTTTTCGAATCAATAGGGCCTGATCCACACTAGCTTCGGCAAACAGTAGCAAATCGTCCGCAAAAAGCAAGTGTGAAAGCTTAGCTTGTCCCCGACCAAACAGAAGGGGCTTCCACTGGCCGCGATGTACTTCCAGATTAATTGCATGAGTTAGTCTTTCCATACACAAAATGAAGAGGTACGGAGAGACCGGGTCCCCTTGACGGACCCCTCTATTCGGTTTGAACTCATCTCCGACAATACCATCCCAAAGAATCCGTGTTGTCCCGGTGTGGAGCGAACTCATGATCACCTTTTGAATTTGAGTGGGAATTCCAGCATCTTGAAGGGTATCTTCAATAAAATCCCAGCTAACTCTGTCGAAGGCTTTGACTAAATCTATTTTTAATGCCAGCCATCCCTTGGAGCCTGACGTGGATCTCATTGTATGGATTGCTTCCTGGGCGGTGATGATGTTGTCCACAATGCTCCTTCCCGAAACAAAGCTTGATTGTGTCGGCAAAATCAGGGACGACATCACTTTGCGGAGCCTATTTGCTACAATCTTGGAGATTATCTTGGCCGAGGTGTTGATTAAGCTTATAGGTCTGAGGTTCTGAAACTTTTCCGGATTTTTGACCTTCGGTATAAGGACTACCAGCGCTTTGTTGATCCTTTCGTCAATCTTGCCCTTTTCAAAAGCGTCGCGCACCATTTTGCATAAGGAGGGACTGATGGTATCCCAATTATGCTGGTAAAAGCTTGCATTAAAACCGTCGAGTCCCCCGGTTTTATATCTATTCATCTCAAAGACAGCAGTTTTAACTTCAACTTCCAGCAGTTCCATGTCCAGCAAACTCTGTGCAGATTCTGAGAGGCTTGGGAAGAAGCCCCTGATGTGATACATGTTGCAGGCAGAAGGGGAACCCACGTATACCTCTTTGAAAAAATTAGTGGCTTCTTTGCTTAGTGTGAGAGAGTTAGAACACCAAGAAGCATTATCCAACTGTATGGCTTTGATTTTAGCATTATGCCTGTGCGCTTTGTGGGCTGCGTGGAACTGTTTTGTGTTGCGATCCCCCTGGACTAGCCAGATCGCCTTGGAGTTTTGAATTTTCAAGAGTTCCTCTTGAGAGATTAGACCTTCGTATTCCTGTTGAAGAGTCAGTTCGAGTTCCCTCAGAGACGAGGTTTGTCGAAAGGGTAGAACCTTTTGTATTCCTTGAAGGCGGGCCAGAACCCTTTCTTTTTTCTTGTTAAGGTCCCCGAATATATTGAATTTCCAATCGTCAATTTGCGAGGTCAAGATGTGGAGTGCCTCATGGAAATTGATGTCGGAATTCCAGTTGTCATAAAGCCACTTCCGCCACTCCTCATGAGCTTCCCAGGCCAGTAGATACTTAAAGAATCTCTTCCCAGGATCACGACAGCCTTTCCTTCTGAAATTGACAAGAATCGGAGAGTGGTCCGAAACAGTCCTAGGAATATGCTTGACGGTCGTTTCTTCGAACCAGTCCTCCCAATCGTCATTGGATAGAGCTCTATCAATTCTCTCATAACAAAGCCCCCCTTTCCACGTAAATCTAGAGCCAAAGAAGCCTAGATCGTTCAGCTCGTTTCTATGGATCCATTCGCGGAATAGTTTGCAGCCCTGTGATCTCCTGCCCCCCACCTTGTCATCCGAGTGAGTGAAGGCGTTGAAGTCGCCAAGAACAATCCAAGGGCCATCCACTGTACCTGCAATATCATCTAGATCGCCCCACAGTGTACGCCTTGTAAGCCGTTGTGGGCTACCGTACACTGTGGTGACCAAACACGAAACGTTATTCTGAAAAAACACCTTGGCATGAATGAATTGCCAATTATTCCGAATTATTTCAACTACGATCGAGTCTTTCCAGAGCAACCAGATGCCCCCAGAATGACCAATTGCTTCAACCCTATGGGAATTGTCCATTCCTAGTTCCCTAATCTTGTTGATAGCTGTACTACCGCTTACGCGGGTTTCAAAAACAGCTACAAATTGCAACTTATATTTTCTAATCATGTTTTTTAATTCGATTAACGTTTTTTGATTGGAAATGCCCCTGCAATTCCAAGCCAAAATTTTGTTATTCATTTTAAAAGATGGAGAGGGTGGAGCTTACCTACCGGCATCCGGCAGGGTCTCCTCGTCACTGGTGGACCGGCGGCCATCAATGGTCACCAAACGTTGGTCCTCTGTCTCGCATGTCATCATCAGAACATCTTCATCGCGGAGGATCACCGGTTGATCCGGAGGCTTATCTCCCCGCTCCGGTCTGAACTTTAAGGGTGGTTTGAGATGAAATCCCTGGGGGGGGTCGGGAGGTTTACCGGCTGAAGGGCTAGGGGTGGTCTCCTCCAGCCGATTTAGGTCGGTCCGGGGGAGGTCGATACTACTCTGAACGGCGGTGGGGTGGGGGATGTGGACAGCAGTGTGTTTGGAGGATTCGATTTGGGAGGCAAGTTCCAGAACCCCCAAAGAGGTGGTATTTTGAATTAGCAACCCGGATTGGGACAGGTCATCTTGGTTAATTCCGGGGTTAATGAGACTTTTCTCAGAGTTGTTGATAGCGGTTACTGAAGGCTGGCCTAGGAGGGTTTGGGGGCTGGGGTTTGGGTCTCTGGCATTGGAGATGGAGGTCTGCTGGGTTGCTGGGATAGTGAGGGTTAAAGTAGTAGGCTGAGTGTTGGGGTCTAATGGTTCAGATGTGGATGATTTCTTGGTCCAAGTTCTATCCTTGGTTGTGGCCTCTGATTTTCGCTTGTTTGCTTTGGGTTTCGGCCCATGGTAGTTCTGGCCCATGGCGAAGAGGTTGTCTTTCCTGACCTGAGGCCTGTCATTTGAAGGAGAAACGTGTGGCGTGTAAGAAGAAACGAAAATGGGGGTGGGGTTACCTTGTGGCTCCGGCGATTCCCCATTCATTTCGGTAAGGGGAGCAAAGGGATTCGCCTGAGAGGGTTGAGGTACGTAAGGTTTCCGGTGGGGGTTGAGTGTGCTGGTGCCGGCGTTAAGGCTGGAGGTTGGAGGCCTTCTATTCCTTTTTTGGGCGATGCTCCATGCCCCCAGATTATTTATGTTCTTAGATTGTAAAGGGGGGTTTGGGGGTTTTGCTACAGCCGGCAATGATGAAGTAGAAGGGCTGGCTATGGCGATCCGGGGTTCCCCGGTACTGGTAGTGCTTGCTGATGCGGTTGAGGCATCCCGGTTCGGGTCGGGTTCTGATTCCGGTGGGTTGATTGGGCGATCCGGGCATTCCTCTGCTACATGGCCATATTTTCCACAGGTGAAGCAAATCCTCCTCAGATCTTCGTACTCAACCGTGAAGGCTTTCCCATCCACCCGCACTTTGCCGATCAAAGGCTTCGAGAGGTCGAGTTCAACTGCAATTCTGGCATAACGTCCCCTTTCAGCTAGTAAAGTGTTTTTGTCGGCTTTTAGATATTTCCCTAGGGGCTGAGCAATATCTCTTAATAAGTCGTTGTGGAAATAGTGGACAGGGAGTCCAGGGATCCTCACCCAAGCTGCCACCGCAGAAATGTTGTCTGCCTTTGTGTCAAAATCGAATTTCCATGGGAGGACAGTGATGTAGTGGTCAGCGATTGACCAAGGACCATTGAGTAGAGCGTTGTAGTAGTCTTCTTCGTGGGTTAGCCGAATGATGTGGTAACCGTCTATTGAGTCAACAAGATGGATATCTCCCTTTGGTTGCCAAAGATTCATCACTCTTCTCCGAATAGCCAGAAAGCTGAAATTTCTACCCAACGGGCGGACTACAATTGAGTACGACATCGCCTTCTCCATCCACTTCTTGATTCGATCTGCAAAATTGATAGCCGGCATGCCGTCTTCGGTGGTGTATGTCACGTCACCGGGTCCAGTGGTAACTTCTTCCAAATGGAAACCTTTGGATTTCTGGGGTTGCTGCCCTTGAAGCAGGGTGTCCTTAAAGGACGCTGGTGTGGAGTCGGAGGGGAGAGATGGAGGATGGGGGGTTTCTTCCATTGCTGGTGTATCTATTGTTTCCTTGTTTTTAACTTTCTTTGTGCCATAAGGATCGCCGGTGTCGTGATCCATAGGCACCGGAGCCTCTGCCTCCATGGGAGACAGAGGGAGCTTAGAAAAAACTAGTCGTTAGAAGGGAGCTGTTGGGAGCTGTTGCTTAGAGAGAGAAAATCTAGTCTCTAGTGAAATCCTGACGAGCGTTATGTAGTTTGGTTTACTCCAAGTCTGCAGTTCATCAAGTGCACGATGGCCAAGGCAGAGGCCCAATTGGCCCATTAACTGCTGCCATTTTCACTCGCTCGGTTCATTTTTATTTTTCCCCTCTCAAAGTTGGTGGTTCAAAAATTTACACCTAGTCGTAATCTCTAGTCGAATGCAGAACAGAGGAAAAAGACGTTCAGATGTAAAATAGTTCTAAAACCTAATCAAATCAACTTATGCTGAAGCCAGAATACGATCACACAAAATGATGGTTGGCAGCCCAAATACGATTTCATGTTGAGAAATAAGCTGAGACAGGTCCGTTATGCTGATTATACGCCGGTAAAGAAGGGTCAAGACTCAGGATTCCACCAACGCTGTTTGAGTTTTTGCTCGACCCAGGTCCAAACAAAAAGGGGAGGATTTGCACTATCAAACTCCTATAAAGAGTATCAAACAAACCAAAGTTGAAGTAAACAATCAAAATTTTACATCTCAATGATACATTTGAAAACCAATTACACATTCACGTGGAACAAAAAATGGTTCAAAACTAAGAAACTTGCATCCACAGAACATCTCATAGAAATGACCACAATGCAAGCAAAAAAACGTCAATACCAAATAATTTAAATTAAATGCAATAAAAACTGAGCAGCTTTTCCCCTTTGTTACAAAATACACAAGCCAGGCAGCGATGAAGCTCTACTTTATCTTCTTCAAGAGAATCGATGTTCTGTACTCACTGTCATCTCTAATGAAACTCCACCAAAGGTAAGTGAGAGGAATTGTAGTGGCATGCCAAAGGGCGTGCGCATCAACAAATCCCCAGTAAGGAGGGAAGTCAAATATTTCTAGAAGCATTGCGAGGCCTCCTCCAAAGACCACCACCCACAACTTCCACCTCGATGGATGTCTGCTAACACCAGCCCAGACCGCCCACAGGACAAGCTGAATGATCCCCATTACCACGCACACTTTCATATTCCACCCTGCAACAAAATGAACAATCCATGTTTGTAACTTAATGTGCTTTTCCTTAAGCAGTTAGAAGGAATGCGGTCAAACACAGTTGGACATTGTCACAAGCCGAAGCTTTCCATACGTAAGACTTACCATAGTCGAACTCATAGAAGTTTAAATACAAGATGTGAGTCATCAGAAACGCAAGAATAGGCGCTGAGACCATCACCCTGGCTGCCTCATTCTTCACACTGAAAACACGCAAAATAGCCAACAGAAGAGAGAACCCTAGTAATGCCACAGCGGAGGTATAGTCCAGCTTCTCAGTCAAATCCACATCTCTGCAAGCAATAACGTATGATTACTCATGAAATTACAATATAACACACGGAATATATGACCAATATAACATCAGATCAACATTTTGGATTAGCTAATTGAGTATTTCGTAGCATTCGGCCTGAATTGAGATTCACCCGCAATAAGTATTATAGAGCTAAAAAGAATCAGCAAACATGACAGGAATTTGTACAGAAGAGACAAGAAGAAAGGGAATGCTATAATACTTACCTACTGTGGAAAACAGCACTCCAGAACCAGGCATTCATTGCTAACACAGCATAGATGTTGCACAAGCCAGTGTACTCGTAGTATGTCTTTTTATTTGGCCTGAAAGGTAGCTTGTAATTGACAAGGATAAAAAATGAAACCCAGCCCTGGAATTGCATGGCAAGATTAAAGACAGATAGAGCCACTGACACAGGTTCCTGAGAAATCACAAATGTGTTGCTTAAGATGCACAAGTGATCAAATGAAAGTTACAGATTAACAACCAAACGTGTAAACTCGAAATGACTGATAATAAGTTTATTACCTGTATTCCATACACGCGACAGAATGGCCACTTCCCGTGATATTTCACAGGTTTATAACCAAGCTTCTTCCTCTCTTCCTCCCTGTCAAGCATGCATTGGTATCTGCAGTCACTTTGGCAGTCCCATTTTTTCCACCTCATGTACATAGGCTCCTGCAGATACCACGGACCATCAGTGGCGTTCCCATCAGAAAAATTACAGTGTTGAAAACATTTGCCATCGACGCAACCAGTCTTCTCACATTGATCTACACAGGATCTGAAAAAAAAAAAGAAGCAAATTTTACACATCAGTATCCTATAGCAGCCAAGACGAGAAAATGTAGGCTTATGCTTTACTAGCATAAATAGCCGCAAAAAATGATTTTGCAAATAAGGATATTGTAGGCAAAAAATTAAGCAAACTGTAGGCCCAGAAAACCTTAGTGACTTTAACTCCCCAAAATTAAGATGGGGAGGCCGTTTAAGTGGAGCTTTGAATAACTTCTATAAAAAGTTTTGGGACTCGACTAAATGTCAATTACAGGCCAAAAACTATCCACGACGTAAAGGCCTTGTCTCTTTCAGTTTAAGGTACATACAAGAAGTAATTCTCTAACACCATAATTAGACTAAAAGAATCATTTTTAGCAAATCCGGAAACAGAACATCGAGAAATTAAAAGAATCACCACAGCACAAAATCTATATACAAGACAGAACCCAACTTTACAATTCACAGTTGAACAGTGATGAAATTCACATTCGGATTCGACACTTGTTCTCAAAACTAAACAAGAAAAACTTGACCCTGCTCTCGAGGTTTCCGCCCCATATGACGAAATTGGATCGATCGTAGTACTATAGTTAAACTAAAACCAAGCGCCAGCATCAAGTCAAAATCCGAATAAAAATCCAATCTTGAAGCTTGAGAATCAGTAAGTATTAACAACGATACACATAAAAAAGATTCACCGGGGCCCAATAAAAGATGAAGTAAAAGTGAAACATAGTACAGGAGGGAAGAAAGAACCAACTGAAAAAAAGCCCAACAAAGCAAAAAAAAAAAAAGAAGCTTTACCGGTAAATCGGATCAGCATCACCGGCGCTGGCGTCGATAAATCCAAGAGAAGAGAGAGCAAAGAAGAAGAAGACAAGTAAACGACACCGTGTCGGGAACATATCTCCAAAATGGGTAAAAAAAATAAGAAAAGGTAGCGGCCAATGAAGTTTGTACAGAATCAAAAAGGGCAAGAGACAGGAACTTGGGGAGGAGGGAGGAGGGGTGGGGGCTTCAGACTTTACATGTGGATGGGATGGATTGATTGATTAAACTAAACCAAAGGGAAAGAAAACAGAAGGGAAACTGGAAACTGGAGAAAGCAAAGGAAGAAAATTTTTAGTAGTGGTGGGAGGAAGGAGGGTAGACTAAAGAATCTCATTTCTCTTGGCTGCATCAACTGTTGACACGTGTGGATCCCCATTGACTCTCAAACTCTCCTCCCCCTAAGTATCAAATCATGTTCCTTTTAGTTGAAACTCCAAATTTCATTATGGTCCTTTTTTTAGTTTTTTTCCCCAATTTGATGCGATGTAAAATCAGTAAGGTTATAATTTAGTTACTAGTTTAAGTTTGCTCAATAATTTTATTATTACTAAAAAAGACTGGGGTTTTTTTTTCATTTATTTGTGATACCAAAAATATGGGTGACAAAAAAAGAAAGGAAAATGGTGGAGAGGCAAATTCGGCAAAGTAAAATGTTGCTTGGCTGTCTTCAGTATCGGCCGACCATTGAATTCAGATTAGAGGGACCCTACCAGCTCTAGCAAATCTTGTTCGTACAGTTTACACAGTTGTAATGACCTTTGAGAATGTAAAATTACTTTTGTCTCCTTCCTGGTTAACATTCCAATTATGGTCGTTTTCGTAGGTAATCATCCCGATATTTATTTTAGTCATTATTAATCGAGAATGACACAATTATTCAATTTCTTATTAATGTATTGAGAAACTTTTTGATAGTAACTATACTAGTTTAAATGTTTTGTTTGTAAACGAAAATTGCTAGTCAACTTACTTATTAGTTTAGGAATGTATCATCGTACATATTTTAAAAGTAAAATAGAATTAACTTACGAAACAAAAGACAAATTTTAAATTAAATTTCATTATGTTTCCTTATTTTCTTTTTTTTTTCAACTTTTTTTTTTGATAAGAGAAGAAAATCAAACCTAAAATTTGTTTTTCTTCTTTTTTTTTTTGTTGTATAAAGAAGGAGATAGTTGTTGAAATACTAGATTATTATAACATGTTAGTACGAAATACCAACAACATCATGATCTAAGATTCTAAATTAATTATTCATTATTATTAAATAGATTGTTGCTTATCTAATCAAACTAAGGCTTTGTTTGTTTTCTTTTTTAGTTGGTTTTTTCAAAATTAAATAATAATAACTGTCCTATCCCAGCATAACTTTTTACATTTTTAATATATCTTTTTACATTCCCAATACAAAAAAAACACTTAAAAACACACACTAAAAAAACAAAACAAACAAAGCGTAAACTACCAAAAATTACTTGTGTATTTAACCCGTGCTGTTATGTCACAACCATTCTAATAACTCAAAGGATAACCATCATCGTGCCTCCATGAATGCCAACCATATGAACAACGTTAGATTGCCGTGCAACAATCTTAGCAATTTTTAATCAAAGTTGTGACTAAGTGGATAAATTGTTAGTGATTAGTTAATAATAATACCGATAAAACTTTTTATTTGAGGATTAGCGTTATAATACTAGTAATTATTTTTTTTGTTGTATAGAACTATTGATACTCTCATTTCATTCAAGGAATAGTAATTTTTTTGACTAGAGAATTTTCAATTTTTTTCTCCTTTAACCGGAGAGAATAAAAATAAACCCCAATACAACATTAATCCTGTCGTGACGGATTTATAACGGTAACGGTTGGCATTTGTTCTTCGTCAACTGTGAGTGACGAAGAACAGAGCGAAGCAAAGTTTATGATGGCTACTGCAGCTTCCCCACTGACAACAATTTTCTCCACGAATTTTACAGCTTCAAGTAATTATTCCAAAATCCGATGTAATAAACTAACCGGTCATCGCGTTATTCGCTTTCGGAGCCAAATAGTTTCCCACTGCCCCTCGTCTTCACTTCGTTGGTCCCCGGAATTCAATCTCCGTGCATCAAGGCGAATAGGAAGACCTGTTACCGACCATTTTTCGAAGTCCGTTATCACTTCAGCGTACGTTAGCGGGCCAGCTTTCGACGCAGTCGTTTCAGAAAATGACGAGTTTAAAGCGGAGGACTCGCCGGAGCCTGAAGATATGGAACCGGAGCCGGCTTATGTCATCACTTGGGGGCTGCTGTGGAAATTGGTGTCTCAGCATAAGTTGAGGCTGTTGATTTCAACTCTCACTCTTTTGGGGGGAACCACCTGCACCCTCTCCATGCCTTTGTTGTCTGGTATTGTTGCTGACATTCAATGAAATTTGTGTTCGGGTTAATATCATTGTCACTTTGCTGTTTCTTAACTTCAATTTTGGACTTCTTCAAGAAACTTCCGTTGGATATAAGTACAGCATACTGTTTTTCTCCCTATAAGTTCATAGGGCAGTTCAGGTGACTGTTGAGCAACTAACTATTTGATATGGCACTTTCAATTGTTTTTGCAACGATTATGTCTTGTCATGTCAAAATTTGCAAGTTTCGCTACTTCGAGTATGAATGCTAAATTTAATGCTTTAAAAGAGATAGGTGTTTTATGGGCATACTTTAATGCTAAATTTTAAGTCTATGGTTTTTTCTTGATGTTTCTATGTTGGTGGGAAGGGGAATATTTGTGGATGATTTAAGTTTGTTGGCGTAACCATTGTTTCAGGAAGATTTTTTGAGGTACTTGTGGGAAGGAGAACCGATTCTCTTTTAATGCTGCTTAGCAAGATTGGAGTTCTGTATACATTAGAGCCTATCTGCACAGTTATTTTCATTGTAAATATGAACACAATATGGGAGAAGGTTATGTCCAGCTTACGAGCTCAGATTTTTCAGAGAGTACTGATTCAGAAGGTGAGTCTGTTAATGTTGTGCGTCATTTCTTTAATGTTGTTAACTATTGCCATCACCCACCAAAATTGTCGAATTAAAAGCAATTCAGATTTTTATTGCAATGTTAGATAATGTTCTAATTTTTCCTCCGCATACCTGCCAATCTTTAGATGTTAGAAGACATTGAGGCAAATGTCCTCCCCCCAACCCCCCAAAACACCCCTGCGAAGCCAGGAGCCTTTCAGCACTGGGGAATGATTATGTTTACGATCATGAGAGGATGTTGAGGCATTTTATTGATTGAATGCTGGTTTCATTTGCAGCCGGATGTTCGAGATTTCTGTCACATATTATATTAGAATTTTTCTGACTAGGAATAATCAATTATATTAGAATTCTTGCATTCCCTTTAGAAACATGTCAATGAAATGCATTATATCACCATTTATTTTTCACTTTTTTCTCCGTAGTTGAATTGACCATAGTTTTGATAAGTTCAATTCCTCTTCTTGTGCAGGTGGCATTTTTTGATCGATACAAGGTAAACATGCGGTCTTTTAGGCCTTTCGTTTTTATTCCACGGTGATAATATTCTTCCTCTGGTCCATTGTTTTGTTAATTTTTTATGTGAACATGTAGGTCGGTGAACTTACTGCTTTATTGACCTCCGATTTGGGCTCATTGAAGAATATTGTCAGTGAAAATGTTTCAAGAGACCGTGGTTTCAGAGCACTCTCTGAGGCAAGCTTACTCTACACTCAGTAAATGTGAGCTTATACGTATGCTTAGTTGGTTTCTCCTTTTCCAATGTAGGTGGAGAGATGTCCTCTTTTTGCAACTATAAATTTAGAATAGGCTAAAAATGGGAAAAATAAAACAGTAGAGGGATAGAAGAATCTTAAAATTCATTAGTTTTGAGTATTTTTTGCCATGGTTCAATAACAATGGCTTTCTGCTCAAGGTTTATTATGTCATTCTCTACATATCTGAGCATTTTATTATTCCCTGACAGGTTGTTGGGACCATCTGCCTACTCTTTGCTTTGTCTCCTCAACTTGCACCAATCCTTGGGTTCCTCATGCTAACAGTGTCAACTTTTGTTGGTAAAGATTTACAGAAATTGATCGTGCTTTTGTTCTTGATAAGTTTATAGAGAAGTCGTTAATTGATTGATTTTCCTTTCCTTGTATTTAAGACTGCTTGTTGCTAGTAGTGCTTGATGCCATTCAAAATTTTATAGTAGATTTTTGGATAGTGTTCCTTGGCAATTTTCTTAAAAGAACCGTTTTCTTTCTTTCTTTTTATATTGTTCTTTTTTTTTAAAAAAAAAATCTTGTATACATGTTTGCTCTGGGAAGAGATGAGAGATCTTTTAGGCATCCAGATGAGTCCTTTATTTATTGCAGAAGGAAGTAGAACTTTATAGAATTTACTGATGTGATATCATGTGCATTCTGTTCTTCTGGCCTGTAACATGCAGTTTATCATCTTTTTAGCTGTGTACAGAAGGACAACTGTCAAGGTTTTCAGAGCTCATGGTATGGCTCAAGCAGCTATAGTTGATTGTGTGACTGAAACATTATCTGCTATTCGGACTGTAAGTACTCCCAAGGGCTAACAACTTTGCAACGTATTTTTTTAACATTTTTCAGATATTTTCCCTTCAAGTTAAGTGATTTCTGTTTAACAAAACTGATTTTAGTAGTTTGCTGATCCATACTTGAGAGAACCATGTATTATTCATTTTTTGAACGTACATTACGCTTTGTAACGGAATTCTTCTTGTCGTCCTTGTGTGACGAGTTTCTCAGTTTTTTCGCTTTTGTAATTTTAGAAAGCCTTATGTTGGAGGGCTGTAGTTTGTGCTTTGTGGAATGTTCTTGAAGTACATGCATAATGACATTTAAATTTGACAGGTAAGATCTTTTGGTGGGGAAAAACGTCAAATGTCCATGTTTAGTCACCAGGTAAAACTTGAAAATCTTAAATCTTTTGGTCCATATCTTGCTTCCAACGAGCCTAAGATCTTCTGTTGAGGGCAAACCTAGTCTCTCTGGTATTACTTAACCTTTTGGATTTTTGCAGGTTCTTGAGTACCAGAGTAGTGGCATAAAGCTTGGAGCATTCAAATCCTTTAACGAATCATTAACTAGGATTGCAGTGTATGTGTCTTTGATGGCTTTATATACCCTCGGAGGAAGCAAAGTAAAGGCTGTAAGTATTCAGAGCTTTGAGCTATCGAGGCATCACAAACCAGGAGTTTGCTATAACTTAAATTTTCTTTACATGACTGAAATTTGGAGATGTGCTTTTTTATTTTTATACTTGGTTTCGCCAAGATAATCTGATGCTTTTCTGTAACTATCCCAGGGATAAACGTGAAAAATTTCCATTTTCTGCTTGCTATCCTGTTGAGTGATTCTACTTTCGTATGACCTGACTGCTGGGATTGGTTTGCAGGGCGAAATGACTGTGGGAACGATGGCTTCATTTATTGGATATACTTTTACATTGACATTTGCGGTAAGTGTTCTTCCATTGATGTGTCTTTTCTTGTTTAGGCTTTCATGAGATGGTGACTTTATAGTTCTTTAGGTTCAAGGCCTAGTGAACACCTTTGGAGACCTTCGTGGAGCCTTTGCAGCTACTGATAGGATTAATTCTGTATTATCTGATTCTGAAATTGATGAGCCGCTTGCTTATGCATTACAAAAAGAAATCAAACAGAAGAAAAAGCATGCTAAAGAGTTTGAAATTTTTTCTGCAAATGGCTCTGGAAGTATAACACAAGATCTGGAGGTGACAGGCAGAATCTCTTTGAAATCAGCTGGCAGCGTTCGTAGCCTTGCTGGGTCTGGTGATATTTGTCTTGAAGGTATGTGGACATATAATGGTATTAGTCTCATATGTTCGATTGTTGCAACACATTATTGTATTTTTTAGCTTCATGAGGAAACTATTTCTTTTCATGATACATGACTATTTTAATCAAGTCCCAGTGTAAATTCTCATTTTGAGTGCTGGGAATGCAGTGTTTGTAAGGAAGCTTTATCTTGGTTGATTAAAATAATTACCTTCTCGTTGTTGTTGGCATTAAAATATGAATTTATGAACAACATTTCCCTGCAGTATTGGATAAATATGAAAATCTGAGGCACTTAAAATATTGGCTGATTTTCGGAAAATAATGGGTGTTGTACCGTTTGTTCCTGCAGATGTGTACTTCTCATATCCATTAAGGCCCGATGTTGAGATTCTGAATGGTCTTAGTCTCACTTTAAGGCGCGGAACTGTTACTGCCCTAGTTGGTCCAAGTGGCGCTGGAAAAAGTACAATAGTACAGTTACTGGCTCGTTTTTATGAGGTTTGCTTTCTATTCCCTTTGGTAATTTAGGAAGCTTCAAGCCATTGCGGAAATTTGTTTATCAGGGATATGTTTGTCTTTTTGCAGCCAACCAGAGGTCGAATAACCGTTGCAGGAGAGGACGTCAGAACGTTTGATAAGAGAGAATGGGCTCGAGTTGTTTCGATAGTGAATCAAGTATCTTTTGCTAATCATGCTCTTTTATGATGTCTTGTGTGAATCTCGTGTTACTGATATGCATTATAGTTAATCACTATGATTGTCTTTCTAATGGATAGTTCCATGAACTCCTTACTCTTTAGCCATAGAGAAATATCTCAGACCTCTGGTGTTCACCTATTATTGGATGATCACTGTACTTCAAATCATAACTTTCTCTTGCTTTTCTTGACTGAATGAATAACAGGCTGATTGCTGTAGAACTGTCACTAGCTTAATTTGATTTTGGTTCTGCTTTGATTTGAGTTATTCTGAGCACTTGCAATAATCGAGTTCCTTGTTACGCCGAGAGTAATCCTCTCTCTTTTACCAATTTCCCCACGTTTATTCTTTTTTGTGATTCTTTTCAGGAACCTGTACTTTTCTCTGTGTCTGTTGGAGAAAACATTGCCTATGGGCTCCCAGATGAGAATGTATCCAAGGATGATGTGATAAAGGCAGCAAAAGCTGCTAATGCGCATGATTTTATCATCTCATTGCCACAGGTGGTCATTTTTAACATGTACGGAGTAGTTGATGTTTATCTTCTTTTGCAGATTGGTTAACTGTTTTATTTTTTTCCCCTTGATGATAGGGTTATGACACTCTTGTTGGTGAGCGTGGGGGGCTGCTAAGTGGAGGACAGAGGCAGGTACTGGAATGATTTGTAGATGTACTTTTTGGTTGAGGATGTTTGGAGATTGTTTTACTGAATGGACGTGCGTAACTTTTCAGAGAATTGCCATCGCAAGGGCATTGCTGAAGAATGCCCCGATCCTGATTCTTGATGAGGTAGGTTTCTAGTTGTTTGTCACTGTATTTTAAGATATTCTTTGGGGATAAATCTGTGCTCCGCACATGCTAGCACTTCTGAGCCAACTATATTGATTCCATGTCTGGTTCAAACATTGTAGGCTACTAGTGCTTTAGATGCTGTGAGCGAGCGTCTTGTCCAGAATGCTCTGAACCGTCTGATGAAGGGAAGGACAACGTTGGTCATTGCTCACAGATTGAGCACAGTTCAGAATGCAGACCAAATTGCTCTCTGCTCAGATGGGAGGATTGCTGAGATGGGGACACACTCTGAGCTGTTAAGTAGGAAGGGGCAATATGCTACCCTGGTTGGCACCCAGAGGCTTGCATTCGAGTGACACTGCTAAAACAACAGGGGTTCCTCTCAACTGCAAGGCAAATGAATTGCAAGACCTCAAATAGAATCTCAGGTAATTTTTGCTCATATTCAGCACACGATCTCATAAAATTTGTCTAATTTCGTTTAACGAAGTACTCTGCATTGTTTTATAGCCGATTCTAGCTTGCTTTTAGAGAGCGGAACATTGGATGGTTGAGTTGTAGATAAAAGAAAAAGCTCCCTATGATTGACAAACATAATTTATGTGCCATGACTAGGTACTACTACAGAATATAACAGGAACATGAGTTTACTATGTTGTGAAGTGCGGTTTATGTGGCTGTACTGTCAACATTTTGTAATACTAGCAGTTTGTATACGTTTGGATCATGAACTCATGAATATATCAAAGCTATTTGCATAAAAATGGTAGTGGATTTTCTTTGGGTTTTCAAGTAATTATCATTAGTCGTTGCCACTTTTAACCATGATATTATTTTACAAGTATGCATGGTAAAAATGTTTCTGTATTAGTTACTACACAGTGGATATGGAGATGACAGCATTCATCTTGGCTAGGCACTCAGTCGGTAGGCCAAGGAATAAGTTCATGAAGCCGTCGTCAATTGGTTGAACAGTGGCTACTCCGACAAGCCGGCATTTACCTTCTTTGTCTAATCTTTCCCCCCTTCCACTTCTTAAAACCCCTTTTGATTCTTCTGATGTTAAAACTGTGCCCACCAGCAAAGGTGGAGCTTTGTAAAGGTTCCCTACTGAAAACAGGAACTTGGCTTTGAACTCAAGATCAACCTGGTACGTATGAAAATTAGCCCATGAGATGAGCATTCTGGCCAGAGTATAAAAAGTTAACTAGAACAAAACAACATACCTTGCCAGTATCTTGATTGATGGTTCCTTTGAATGCCTCAGGAGCTATATCAATTTTAAGAAAAGGTGGCAATGGTAGTCCCAAGAATCTAGTGGTGGCAGTTGTCAATGGAGGAATATAGAGTGTGTTCACGTCGAAATTAACATTTATGATATTCCCTTCATTGCTTTTCGAACCTGTCCCAGTGCCGGCACCCCCTTGAGCATTGTACTCAAAATCCGGGTATCTAGAGATACCCAGCTTGCAAGATGGCAAGGTCTGAAATTTGACGTTATATGCTTCAGTTCCTGATATTTGGGTAGTGGCCGGAATCGGCTGATCAATCTTACTGTAGGAGGCGAACAAGGAGACTATAGTTTTGCGGGGTCTGGAAATCGGTACAGCCAAGGAGAATGAACATGAATGGATTAGCCTATTCTGTGAAATTCTGCAGATGAATGGAGAATCTGGGGGGCGAATTCGCGAGTGCATTTTTACCGGTTAAACAGTATAACGAAATATATATCTGAATGCGATTCCTCTAAATGGACTGTGATGTGCGGGAGTTCGTGTAAGAATAGAAATTCGCAAGTGTTTTGAGGCCTTCACCGTTATTCAGGAAAGGCTGATTATTGTCCACGAGTTGGGAAGCAACCTTATCTTTATCAGTTATGGCCTAAGACAGAAAAATGCAAAGAATCTACCAAACTTAATATTGTCCATGTAATCCGACTACCCTTCAAATAGTTAAAGATCTTTTTATCATTTTTGGTTTTTATCTTTTTGGGCAGAGAGTTCAGAGTATCAACATCAAAGCTCTGCTCCTTAACTATCAAAAAATCCCCCAGCAGGTAAAATCTGGAGTGTGATTTCGCCGGCATTTTCACTTATCCGAAAACCAGGATGAAGGAGGATGCAAAATAAAACATGTAACACAACAAGATTGAGAGACAGGGGATTAGGAGATATATTGCTACATATGTGATAGAAATCTTAAAATTAAACCTGTCAGTAACAGAAAGCACAACATTTAGGCTTCACGCAAACCTAAAAGCAAACAAACCAACAACTAAATAAGACAAATGAAGTAATTCTAATACGTAGTCTGTCTGTGCTGCCAGGGCTGTAGAAGAACGAATTCGCATAAGAAAATATATTCAAAGGTAGGAGGAGCCCTACCTTGTCTCTTCGCATGGATCTCTCTTTTGTAATTCTCCCATTTGTCACCTTCCTTCTTGTCTCGTTCCCTCATCGTTTTTATTTTCCGGCTCACTCTCTTCGGAGCTAGTAGGTAACTTGGTATCTATATGACTATGTTCATTAAAAAAATCCAGAAACGGCAGATTGAGAGTGATGAGTTTAACGAGTCATGAGTTTCCCTTTCATCCCTTGATGTATTCATATTAGTATTATTACATGATACATTCCCTGCCTATCTCCTATCGAAGATGAATACGGCAGACTGGAGAAGGTACTGACACCGGATCAGGTCCCGAAAATGACAAACAGAGAAGCTCCCGGATGTCCATTTTTGAAGGATTAACAATGGATTGTGTCTTTGTCATGGAATTTATAATGACATTATGGTATTTATTTAAAAAGAATAATAATATGCTGTCCTTTTTTGATCAAGTTTTGTTTGCAATTTCTTCTCCATTTTGTCGCCTACCTTAATCCTGTGAGCATTTCGTTTCAGTATATATCCTTCTTCTACTATCCAGGAGACACTCCTACCACCAACCGAAAAGTTATAAGAAAAAACTGATAGTGCTTTATAATTGAGTACTTCAAAGTACATAACATGTCAAACTATGTCGTCCAGGACTTCGAAGACGAAGATGAGCGGTTCCAGAACACCTTATCATCAAATGACAGTCCCAACCCTTCAGAAACCAATATTGTAGCTGATCATTCCACTCTCAACAGCATAGCAACAGCTTCAAAGAAGAAAAGAAATCTTCCTGGAAATCCAGGCAATGCCTAAGAATAGTTCACGTTATTGAGCTAAAATGCTTGCATGAACAATCAGTGTATTAATTGTGTGTGATCTTCTGTTGAAACAGATCCCGATGCAGAGGTTGTCGCCTTGTCGCCAAGGACTCTCATGGCTACAAACAGGTACATTTGCGAAGTATGCCACAAAGGATTCCAGAGAGATCAGAATCTGCAACTACACAGGAGAGGCCACAACCTGCCTTGGAAGTTAAAGCAAAGGCCTACCACTCAAGTGAAGAAGAGAGTGTATGTTTGCCCTGAGCCCAGTTGTGTGCATCACGACCCTAGCCGAGCTCTTGGGGACCTGACTGGCATCAAGAAGCATTTCTGCAGGAAGCATGGAGAGAAGAAATGGAAATGCGACAAGTGTTCCAAGCGTTATGCCGTCCAATCTGACTGGAAGGCGCATTCCAAAATCTGTGGAACTCGCGAATACCGATGTGATTGTGGAACCATCTTCTCAAGGTTACCTTTTGCATTAGCTAGTGTTTCAGTTTACTTACACCCAACCTGTTGGGTTCATTGTATGCCAATTGGTTTTAAGTTGGAAACTCGAGTTATATTTATCACACGCATATTGAATCCACGATATACATGTGTCATTTTGCAGGAAGGATAGTTTTGTGACTCACAGAGCCTTCTGTGATGCATTGATCGAAGAGAACAACAAAATGAATCAGACTCTGCAGGCTGCAGTAGCCACGGCAGGATTATTGCAAAACCATGCCCAGGAGCTGTTTCCTTCGGCAATGCCAATGCCTGATTCCAACAACCCCCTCATGAATCTGTCGATTTCTCAAGCCAGCATGGATAACTCGGCGCTGAAGCCTTCATCTCTGAGTTCACACGGGCTATTGGGTTCATCAAACAACGTGCAGGATCCAATTTTCAATCCAGGCGGTACAGGAAGCGGTGGTAGTTTCAAAGGCAATCCTACTCTACAGATGGGATCAGCCTTCAGTTCTGCCACAGCTTTGTTGCAGAAAGCAGCAGAAATGGGCTCCAAAATCAGCGACAACTCAATTGCTCCAATCATCCTAAGAGGATTTACAGGGTACAACTCTTCTAGCAGCATGAATTCTTCAAACTCAGTTCAGGAAGTTCCAAGTCACGGGGGGCAAAGTTCATACATGGGAAATCTAGAAGCATATGATAAATCTATGGATGCATCATCTCAAAGAATGAGCAACTTCCAAGCAGGCCTTTATGACCCTTCTTCCTTCTTGATGCAACCGTCTTCCAATGGGAACCATTTGGGAAGAGAAATGTTCATGGGCGGAGGCGAGAAACTAACTCTCGACTTCTTAGGTGTAGAGCCCGGGCCCCCAACAGGAGCTGCTGGTCAGCCGATTTTCGCAAAGAAAAGAAGATTCGAAGGAGAAATGATGGGTTTAGATTACTCAAAAACACAGCAAAATCTGCAACATCTGCACTCTGAATGGTGAAAAAATCTGAAGACAAATTAACAGCCTGCTCTGCTCTTGCCCTGATGATTAAGTTAATTTAGTCAGACTTCTGCAATTCCGTAACAGAATAACACACGCTAGCTAGCTTTCGACACTGCATGTAATGATTGATTCTGGTTCATTTTTCTATACCACATCCAGGAATGAGAAAACAGGCAGGTTAAGATTAATTTGACCAGAATGGGACTACATGATGATGATGTAATACACTTTTTCTAATTCTTATTTATTTTATTTTATTTTATGTTTTTTTTCTGGACACATTGTTGTAACAATGAGTACGTAAATTATCTAAATCAGTCATGATGATTTCCTAGGAGGACACAGCGAAAGTGTGGTAAACCCGATTAAGCAAAGAAAGATATTTAAGGGTGTTTAATTACAACATTCATCAGTTTCAGAGGTACCTGCACCCTGCACGTGTCGACCACTCTCACTAACTAAAGTAATTAACGGACTAATCCAAACTTGCGGTAGCCATATACTACTTCGTACCGAAGGAACGTCGTTACTGGATTCAATAAGAAGGTTAGTGGGCTTGCACACTGTCCTTTTTAGGTTTGTTTTTCTTTCACAGTGACTTTAGTGCCTAGATGCCATTTTCATTTCCATTTCCCCCTTTCCCTTTTTGCGAGTCTGTCTCTCAAAAAGGCGTATTACCAAAGTAGTCCATCATTGGTATGTGTTTCACGCAAGAAGCTTCTTCACTTCTTCCTTCATTCGGTGCCAGAGTCACCTTTTGGCTCTTTTGCTTTTTTAGTCCCTTTCATCTCTTTTATACACGTACTGTGCACCCCATTGGATTGGATTCGCCACAAAGATGGATTCATATAATTAAACTGCTGCCTGCTGCTGCTGCTTTTTGCCACATGATTTCCAATGTACCATACCTATATATATACCTTGCTGCTGCTGGGCGCCACAAACATTAATCAACATCTGCAAATAATATTCCACAACTCAGCTTGAATCATTCTCAGTTAGCCGTTCCTAGTTTTTTAAAATTGCAAGATGGAGTTGGAGAAGAAGAGTTCCTCTTCTGCTGCTTCTGTTTACGCCAAACGATTCATGTCTATGCTGCGATCCATGACCAAGGCCAAGTCGATATTGACAGCAATCAAATGTAAAAGCGAGGCGGTGAAGGCCCGGCTTCTGGTGTTTTCATTGTTGAGGAACGTGAAGAAGCCTTCTCCCCTGGTTGCCCTGACTCACAAGATTCAATCCTCCTTTCTCCCGAAATCATCCTCACCCGTCATTGGCGGGGATGATCTGCAATGCTGTAGCCAATGTTGCTGCTCCCAACCCGACCAGGAGGCTCAAGATCAGCAGGCTTTGGTAGTGTATAACTACGGGGATGATTATCTACTGCAGGAAGGGAACGACGATGCCGATGAAGCGAAAGATGAGCTGGAGCAGCTGGTATTGCAGCAGGCTGGAGATCCTGATGCTTCTGTCATAGATCTGGTCAGGAATTCCAAAGAGAATTTCAGCTTGGAAGACGATATCGATCACGTTGCTGATTTGTTCATTATGAAGATCCACAAGAGGATGAGATTGCAGAAGCTGGAATCATTCAAGAGGTATCAAGAGATGCTCCAGAGAAGCGCTGCTTAAAATGATGTGTCAACTGATCCATATCCATTTATCCAAGCATCCTCAACATCTTTTCGTTCCACTATTACTATGTGATCCATTCAAACTTCCAACTTACAAATACTTCCCAGTTGCCATGTAAATTGCCGGAATAAGGCAAAAGCTAGAAGTAGCAAACTAGCAACAGCCAGTACTATCCGCTTTTGTACTAATTAGCTACTGTATTATGTTTCCTGAGTTGGGAAATATTTAGTCCCCACCGAACTCCTCTGCCACAGCTTCAATGCTCTGAGCTCTGGAATCCTTTTTTCTTTTTCTTGTGTTTTAAACATGATGAAACGGATGCAATCTTCTTCAGTTTTCCAAAAAGAACAATAAATCCTTCATAATCTAATACCGACCCAAATGATTGTGCTTAAATAGACCAACATCCATTTAGTGGCATTAAAATGCAGAGACCACCACCCAACACAGGCCAATACTGTGGGGCTTGACACCATAACCCCCCCTAAGCAATAAGGACACTCTTATCATATTGTCTACTAAATTCTAGGTGTGGGGCATGGGATATTAATACCCTTATAAGTCCTAAACAATAAGGAAACACATATCATATTGTCTAGGATATCCTAAGCATCTTAGTGTAAACCACTCTATCGTCTTCATCTCTTTTTTCTTTTTTTTTTCCCCCTTGTCCAAGAGAATCTGAATCTGTTGATTAATGACCTTCGTTTTGCACCAGCATTCTAAGCACTCAATGCTGAAAACTTCGCATAAAATCCCCCATACCCTCTCAAAAAAAAAAAGGAGAAGAAGAAGAAAATGTAAGCAGCTTTTCCCAAGCGTCCACAAAAACCAGGATGAAAAGAATGCGGGTGCAAAATGAAGAATGTAATACAGAGATGGACAAACAACCCGATGATATATAACTTCATGTGATAGAAATCCCACAATCCTAACAGCAAGCACAACATTTTGGCTTGATACAAACTTCCTACCGGCTATTCTATTAAATAGGAAAATAGCTTGAGGACAGAAGGAGATTGCATCAAGCCAACTTTGAGTGGAATAACAGAAAACACAGAACATGAATCTTCTTTTCTTGCCTTTTCTCCAAAGTCAACAGCTGGTAATTCCCATTGTTAGCTGATGTGCACTATTAACATACAAGAGAGGACCTCAGTGACATGGCAGTAGGAAGATTTGTACAAGAAGCCCAACGAATAACTGATTCGGTGACCATGAGGTCAAACTGCTCCATTTCACCAAGACTAATTGTATTGTTCCTCCGGCTGTGGATGCCAGGCACCTTAGCTCCACTTGACCAATTTTTTCTAAGGTCACCCACTGAGTGGCCATAGAACAATGCAGTATCTTGCAGAATAAGCGGTGTCTTCAAACTTGCGTCTGTATGAGAAAGGCATGTTTTAAATGAATAATTTATAAAACGCATGACAGGTCAAACGAACAAACAATAATAAATGTTACCTTCATTAAGCAAATCAACTTTGGGGTTATCCACTGCACAATGCCCTTGTTCAGCCACAGAACTAGGACCCATGAATGCAAAGCTTGGCATTGACATTACAGGGTTAGGAATTTCCAGTGAGTTAGTTTTACAGCTACTTTGAAAAGAGAATCCAACAGCCTCGCAGTGAGTAGTAGATGATGTCATCAGGAAGGATGAAAACGATGATCTGATAGTGCATGGAGGCATTTGGAGGTCATTACTCAAAGACAAGCCAGTACCAAAACTAAAGTCTTGATCCCGGGCCATAAGTGAAGAAGAAGTGTTTCTGTCCAAATATAGGGCACCACAACTCTGATGTTCATATGTTTCTCCAGAAAACGATCTGCAATCCCTTATCCAGTCATGATCTGACAAAAGCAAACACAAGTTAGATAAACAAACAACTTACAGAAAGAGAAACATGCAAGGGTATAAAAAGTAAAAGCGCCTTCGTGTAAGTGAGATTGTAAATGTAACTACATATCAACCAAAGGCAGCTAACAGGTAACCCAGTTCACATCAAAGCTATATTACTTAGGGTTCCCAGTTTCTTATCAGGAAAACGACATAAAATGATTGTCTTCCAGGCAAAGTATTGTTAGAATCATCACTTTGTGTACAAATATCTCATATTCTTTTAATGGTTAGGCTATGACATAAATCAGCATTTGACAGAAAATAAGAAACATGGCCGAACAAGGAAAAAGTAGTTGCTGCATCTCAAGTTTGAAAATGCTAAAATGGCAACATACCCAGGACCTGCTGAGCTGAAAGCCTCTGAGAAGGATCTCTACAGAGCATTCCCTTGATAAGCTCCTTGGCAGAAAGAGATATGCAATCCCAAGGGTTGGAGGGAAATCGTAAATCAGCCACCCTAACAGCGTCAAAAATCCGTGATTTAGTTTTGCCCCAGAACGGTGGCATGCCACTGAGAAGAATGTAAAGGATAACCCCAGCACTCCAGACATCAGCTGCCTGATCATATCCTCCCTTAAGTACCTCAGGAGCTATATAGAATGGACTACCAACAGTTCCATGCAAGCTTTGCCCTGCTTTGACACAACAAACATGCTTCAACATTAAGTACCCAGAATTTGAACTGAGGCGACAATGTAATTGGACAAACCATAAAAATGACCTTGTTTGATGTATGTTGCAAGACCGAAATCAGCCAATTTTATAGGAGAAGAAGGGGCTTTTGTCGCAAGCAGGATGTTTTCCGGCTTCAAATCTCTATGAACCACTCCTTTGTCATGACAGTACATTATGATCTCCATTAGATGCCTGAAAAGGACTCTGGCCTCATCCTCAGGAAACTTTCCATGCTTCTCCAACTGAGTAAAAAGCTCCCCTCCCGCACAAAGCTCCATCACCAGATGAACAAAGTCTTCATCCTCATATACTGCCTTCAGATCCACAACATTAGGGTGCCCAGACAGCCTAGTCATAATTTCAATTTCAAGCTTAATACTTCGGACATCTTCCTGAGTGACCAATCTATCTTTGGACACTGATTTGCAAGCCAGTAATTCTCCTGTCAATCTATCAGAACACTCCCGGATTATGCCAAATTGACCCCAACCTAAATGTGCTCCTAGAACATACCTATCCTTCAAAGTAGATGTCAGTTGAGCACCCAAAATGGTTTCCTTCAAGCTTTCGACTTTGTAACAACAGAAAGGTAAAGAGGATGATACATTGCTGCTGCTGCTGCAATCGGCAACAGCCATATGAATGCCTGACCAGAAAGTATCACCGAATACCAACCAAGATCAGCTTTTTGCAATTCACCAACCTCAAAGAACTGGAATCAGTACTGAACACCCTTTACAGTTCAAAGTCAAAACCTTGAATAGTATGCAGCTAACGCTACACCAGAACCATACTCCGGTCAAAAAAACTGAATGGAACCTTCCAGAAGGAAAATAGTGGATTAAGTTTGAAAAGTGGAAACCATCTTGAGAACTGACTGAAAGCTAAAGTTCCTTCAATCCCTCCCCAATCAACTGAATCTGAACAAAACACAAAGATTGAACTTTTAATTAGCTCCAGTACAAAATCAACTGACTGTTGTTACCCAAACTCAAAATAAAAGACTGTAGCAACACAAACGGATCATCACTACAAACAAGGAACTTTTATTTCAAGCCGCATCACCAGGCTAGACAATGCTCAAATAATAATGGGAGAGCAAAATAAAACACATACACAAAGTTCTTAAAACACCTTTAAAGGCAAAATTTGAAACCCTAATCAAATAATCCCAGCAAACATGAACTGATACAAATTAGAAACAAGCCCAGATCCGCAAATTGATGATAATGCATGAAACTAACTAAAAGTTATGGTAACCGACATCGACATGGAAGAATGGAACAACGATGAAGAAAGAGAAGAAGAGAAAGGCTGACCTGAAGAGAGAGGAGAGATTGAAGCAGCGGAGACAGGAAAAACGGGTGACAACTAGAAAAGAGATGGGGGAGAAAGAAGAAGAAGCACAACGGAAAAAAGTTTGAGAGGAAGCAGATGAAGGGGGGATTCGTCCCCTGCCCACAATGGCGTGGGGTTCTCAGGTCTCCTTATTGGCGACTTTGCCCAACCCAATCAACCCCACTTGCCAACTTCCTTCCTCTTCTTCTTCTTCTTTTTCAAATTTAGATTTTTGCTGTTTGGCTGCTGACGTCGTTTTCCTCTCTTTCACAACTTATTCGATTTTCCCTTTTTTTTTTTCAATTGTCTATTTTTTTTTTTTCCATATTTGAAAATCGGCAACAGTAGGATAGGACAGCTGCCAAAGTATTTAAAGTTACTTCATAACTATGGCGAAAGTTGAACCCTAAACTTATAATTAAAAGTGCAGGAATTCCTTCCACTTTACTACAACCACTTTGGTTATTTATCTTTTCTGATCTATGTTATTTGTATTTGGATTAGTGATTCCCGTCTGGTCTTATTATACAATTTTTTTTTAAACGTGCCCTTGGATTGTGCCGTTTACTTCTCGCAGTGCATGTTTTGTTTTTTCTCGGACAAGGCACTAGTCAAATAGTATCGCAGTAAAAATTAAAATACATTTCTATTTACCTTGGTAGTATTAAGTACAATTCATTAAGGTTTTCCCTTGGATTTTATGTATCTCATTGATGTTGAACTTTACTAATCACATGTCATGTAGATGTAGGAATAATTTTATTTTTCTCTTAATATATACTAACATATTGAGTTTGATTTGAATGAGATAAATTTATAATAGTAGTATCATATTCTTTCAATCCCACTTGTAAAGTGTAGCATTAGTAGTCATCATTTCATTAAAACAAACAACTCGAACAGGGGACTAAACTATGTACAGTTTCTTAATTAAACTTTATCCTTCAGGCAACCGATTACAACTAATTTTTTTTTAATTTTAAAAGTCTGATAACAGATTAAATTTTTTAAAAAAATGTGTGGAGTTGGAAGAAAATAATGAATGGAACTTGAGAGTTATATAAAATACTTTGTCAATATGACCAAAGTAAACTTTGATTTGTACTCCCTTTATCCTTTATATTAAGCATTTTGATTTGTCATAAGTTTAATCTACTATGCATTTTTAATTCATGAAAAACCTTAAAAATATTACATAACAATTAAGAGAATACAACAAATGTGAAAATATATTTTTTAATATTTTTTCGTCAATTAAAAATGCATATTAAGTGAAATCTATGACAAAATCAAAACGACTTATATTAAGGACCGGAGAGAGTAATTTAGAAACAGGATTGGGATTTAGGAGTACCCAATAAAGTTACACTGCATACTAAAGGCTAAAGTGCTCCACAATTTGTGCTAGAAGTTGAACAACGATTAAGTGCAAGCTTAGCTAATACACTCTTGTCCTTTTCTGGTTAAATATAATAATAATTATTATTTAAGTATCAACGTCATATTATTATGGTTTACCTTTTCTTTGCTAGTTTGCTCAACTAATGTCGCATGTAAGTATGTAAAAACAGTTCATATAATTTGAGAAATCTAGTCCCGTCCTAGTAATTTTGACATTGTACGTTTAATTGCGAGGAATTGACATAAAAACGAAAAAGAAATCAAAAAACAAAAAATAAAATAAATTGGACTGAATTTCTTTTAAATGGAAATATGGGAATTGGTTTTGCAACAGGATCAAACATTGGGAGCAAAAACAATTTTCCATAAGTTCTCTATATATCATCAAAATTGACGAGAACCACCCAGTCACCCGCGGTGCAAACAAAATGTCAGTCCTCTCTCCACAATTGAGGCTTCAGTTCAACCTCAGCAGAATTCATGCCCATTAAAGGTAACTCCGTCTACCTCTAACTCGGAATACATAAGTCTCAACCAAGCATCCTTTTCATTAATTTCAATGTATCCGAGCGTTAAACTCTGTGATTTTACCGGGCCTTCGGATTGAAATCTTATGAACTCCAATGATTTTCCTTGTCTGCCTTTCTTTATAAATGGGCTTTTATATACAGCTGAAAAATTCGCCATTTTTGTTTACATTCTCCATATTTATCAGAAAGGCGTATAAACCTCAGGGTTTGGTGGTAAACCTTGTTCGGAGTTTTATGATGATTATTATCATTTAGTTTCCTTGGCTGTTGAATCCCTGAGATCAGTACCCAATTTTATTTATACCCATGGCTGTTTTACTGGTTACTGGTTATATTGACTCGTTGTAAATGGGGTTTCTTGAATATTTTACAAAGAATTATTCAGAGAGTATAAGTGATTTGGATTCCTAAAAAAAACACCCCTTTTGATAAATGCTTGTATAGTGGTTTGGCTTGAGGAAAGTACTGAAAAATACTTCGGATCCTAATTCATTAGGCTTCTAATCTTAGTCTACCCCTCAGGAGTTCATGTCTATGTGCAAAGTATGCTAGAGCTTAGCGTGAGATGGCTATCTGTTTAGGTACTGGAAGGGGGGAACAACAAGGGCGCCAATCTTTCTACCTTTTACTTCTTTTTCACTTCAATTTTGTTATTCTCTGGTTGTGACTTACAAATTAAACTCATAAGAAATTTTCTTTTTAATTTAATAAACTCTTAGTACTGGAGATCTGATAGTTCATCCCGCTTTTTCATAACCAGGAATCACTTGCTCATTTTTGTGCTGACCAATCATATTGATGGCACACTATCTGAGTTTGACTTCTAGTAACCTTCTCGGATGTGGACTGATTTCAAGCACTGGTGGTCTCCATGGGAGTTGCAAAAAGTTTGTGTCAAGATCCTCCCCTGGTTTATTTAGAATTCGAGCTGTTCAAGAGAATGAAGGGCCAAGGAGGCTTGTTGATATCATCAGAATTCTGCCAGATATATCTCGAAATTATTTCAGAACTCCTTCTCGAAGAGCTCTCTTCGGGGGTATATCTTTGCTTGGTGGGTTTTATGTGGCACAGACGATATCTTTATCTTTTGGAGCTTTAGGGGTTAATGATGTAATCGCTGCAGTAGTATGTGTCCTTATTACCGAATATGTGACTAAATTCTATTACAGTCGACCTAAGGTGACATTCCCCATTGCCCTCTTGAACAATTTCAAGATGGGATTCACATACGGCCTGTTCATTGATGCTTTTAAGCTAGCCAGTTAGATCCATCTAGATTAGAGTCAAAGTTAACGCTGTAATATGAAAACTATTTTTTGTACAAAGCATGCAATATGATTGTAGCTGCATTGCAGTATTTGTCCCTGGTATGCACAATTTTTATCCTTTTTTAAGTATTCTTCTGCAAGTGATACTACGATTCCTCTGAGAATTTAATGCACAACATGTCAACCTCAATGTAGTTGCTCTCCTTTTCTTCACCTGTTGTTGTGCTATTGGAATTTCATGAAAAATAGATTTCTGCAGATAGGTTCGTAGTTTTGTAAGGTTCTTGTTATTGGAGTGAGATGTTTAATTATGGGGACTGAGAGTGAAAGGAACTGTCCCTGCATCTGCTTGCCCGCCTTCTGTTTGGTGTGCTGCAACGTAGCTCTCTTCCCTGTCCTGAACAAAAATGTGGAAGTTGCTATTGGATTTCTTTTCATTTGCGATATGCACATCTATATTTCTTGCTTTTCTTTTCAGTCCCTTCTTCCTTGATCACAGTTGACTTGACGGCTGTTAGGCAAGCTCATTTTATCTTTGGTACTGTTACAATAGATAAGAAGAGTGAGAGCAAATTGCTACTGCGTAGAGATGGTTATTAAGGGTTATTACAGAGAAGCTCTTTTTGAGGCATGTTTGGGCATTCCTTCTTCACAAGTTGAAGGTCATTAACTTGTATTAGATTAGAGATGCTTAATCTTTGGTATTGAGACCTGCAGAATACTTGATGAGACTAAAATATTTCTGTGATCTACTTAGTGATCTCTTACCGCTCTATACCAACACGGAGTAGAGGAATGCTATATATTCAGTTCTCTGTTTCTTCTGTTGTAAACTGTTTCATCTACCTTACATTGGCATAATGGATTATGTTTTTTTTCCTTCATTTCTTGGGCATGGTTGGCATGCCTGAGTTGACATTTATGCTGAAGTGTAAGCTTACGCTTGTCTCAATTATACTCCCAATTCATCACGAGTAATCACCAGTTTGTGAAGTGCTTGGTTAAGCTCAACGGTAATTGTTGTGATTAAGCTCAATTTGTGGAGCCTTATTGTTTTGTGAAGTGTAACCTTCTCTTATCCTCCCCATTGCATTGGTGAAAGTGTATTTGTGTTTGATAATGTGGCTCACATCTGTGTTTCCTGATAGTTTCTCCAACAATGAAATGTCTTATATACTTCCTTTGTCCAAAAATAAAAAAATAAAAAAAAAAGTTCACTTGGTTGTATTTGTCAACTGTCTATTTTATTATATTATCCCCATCTCACAAAAATAGTCCACATTGAGTTTTGAGTTTTGTACTGATTTTAGTATAAATTTGAAAACTCAATATGGACTATTTTTTTGAGACGGAGATAGTAACTATATATATATTTTATTTTTTTTGGTCCGGAGAGAGTAATATATAATAGAGATAATAATTTCTATTTACTCTTTCACATTTTTAAACCCCAGTATATGCTAGTATAATTTTTAGAGAAAATATTGCGCCTTAATTGAAGGATTTATTCAAGAAAAAATTAGTTATACTGTATTGAATTTTCAAATTTGTAATAAAAATAATACAGAATTCAAAACTTAATGCGGTGGAGTTTTTTTTGGAACAGAGGTATCCTTTCTTTGGATGACTACTGCCCTATTTTCATTCGTGTTTGTAATTTTTGCAACAAAATTTTTTTTTTAAAAAAATGAAGATCATGACGAGTCCCAAGTTAATTATAATTTCGAAGCTGCACCAGGAAAACAGTACGAAGTGGGGAGAATCAACAAAGCTTCAAAATGGGCTGGACTGGACTGGACTGGAATATCCGTATCTGAAATAGAGGGCCCAAATTGATGTGGACTGGACTCTCCATCGTAAATTTCACGCAATGACGTAAAATAGACGCAATTAAAATCACGGTGAAAACGGGAAAACTACCTGCGCAGCTCTGTTCTTCTTTGCTGCGCCACTGAGTGGAAAAGGAGCTTTGCAAAAAAAGGAAAAAGAAAATAAAATTAAATCAATAAAACCATCTTCCTCCTCTTCTCCTCTCTGAAATTGATTACTTCTCGTAACTTCTATCTTTCTGAGAAAAACCCCAAATTGCTACGAATTAGGGTTCCCGGTAATTTATTCCAACAAACCCCCGATCGACTTCCCTCTGATTCTTCTTGTCTGGGCTCCTAATCAAATTCGAATCGCAGCCTTTTGCACTGAATTCTTTTGCCCTCCACCCTCTCATGATCACTTCTTACATTTGTTCTTACGGAAGCTGAGGAATATTTAAACATCAAAGATGGACCTTGATGGAAGCAAGCGTGTGTTTCAGAGGTTAGGTCCTGCGGCGGTCACGGCGTCGTCATCTGGCAGGGATAAGGATAACAAACAGCAAAAGGTTTGCTTTTTGTGGAGAGACGGTAGGTGCGATAGGTTTCCATGCCCGTACTTACACCGGGAATTACCGCCGCCGCCGCCCCATCAGTCAGTGGGCAATGGGATGGGATCATCTAAACGCAACTCTGGGTTCTCCCGAGACGACCATTATGTCGGTGGTGGCGGGATGCGGAGGAATTCTAATTTTAATAACAAATGGGGTAGGCAACAACAGCAACATAGCCATGGCAGCAACAATAGAGGAGTTGGGAAAAAGACTGATAAATTATGTAGTTATTGGGCACAAGGGAAATGTACCCATGGGGATAAATGTTGGTACCTCCATTCTTGGTCTACCGGCTCCTTTTCTTTGTTAACACAACTTGAAGGACACGAAAAGGTAATTTGTCTTCCACAAACTGGTTCTGTGTGTTGTTACTGTAATCCTAAAAATTTATTTGTGCGTGATGTTGATGTTTTTTCTTCCGTGCTTTATCTTGTAATTGTCGAATTGGATGTTGTGAAGCTTGTATTATTGTGGTTAGCAAAGTGAACAAACATTTCTTCTTCAACAGGTTGTCACTGGGATTGCTTTACCATCTGGTTCTGATAAGCTCTATTCGTGCAGTAAAGATGCCACTGTCAGACTTTGGGACTGCCAGTCAGGACAGGTTATTATTTTGTAATCTGCCTTTGGTTGCAGTCTTTTCTTTGGTTTTAAGCATTTACTTCTTGTAGCTAATTCTCTATTATGGAACGCGTCGCATTACTAGCCATGCATTGAAGAAATATGTATATAATCTTCTTGAAACTCTATTTAAATTGTCATTTTACTGTGGACCAGTAGTTTGTCTTTACAAGTTGGTGGAAGAATTTAGAATCCGTAAGATTTTTTTTTTTTTTTTGTGGGTTTTGCTTAGAGATTCATCTCTACTAATTTCTGATGATTGCAATTCTGTAGGTGCTAAAATTGTTTATGTTACAGGGTTGATCTTGTTATTTTTTTCTGAGATAGAGAACCTCATGACAAGGATGAATTCGTTTCTCATCTACAATTGTTGTTGTTCTTTGAATTTCTTTATGAAACATTGGGGACCTGTCTCATGCTTTTCCTTATTCCATTTAGTGTGCAGGTGCTTTCAACGTGGGTGGTGAAGTAGGCTGCATGCTTAGTGAAGGTCCCTGGCTTTTTGTGGGTTTAACAAACTTAGTCAAGGTACAAGCTGGCGTAGTTACCTCTTAAAATCTTTGTCATTTCCCTTTCTTAGTTCACTGTATCAGCCAGACTCTTCTGTTATAGCATGGTCGAAGTCATGGGTTGTATTGACATACAGGCATGGAACACCCAAACAAATAGTGAATTGAGTTTAGATGGCCCTGTTGGACAAGTTTATGCCCTTGTTGTGGGTAGTGACTTTTTGTTTGCCGGTATACAGGTAATATTATCCAAACTTGATTATCTTTTTTGTTCAATGGTTAGCCTGGTCTACACATTCCCAAAGTTTTTTCAATGCATGATGTCGATATTCTGTAATGATTCTGTGTCAAGTTTCCCCATACCTGAATGTACTTGCAACTTGTATTATTAATTTGTAGTGGCTGGAAAAATACTGTAACGAAACCTGAGATCATCAATTGGAAAAGCTTTACAGAAGTAATGCATGAGATGTTAGCGCTGAGAAGTAACCCATGCCATCCTAGTTTACCACAAATTAAGTTTTGGCAGGGGGTTGGTTGTTTCAGCTTGTGGGTTGGTTGCTGTAAATTTTTGAAAGAACTGGGTGTTCAAATTAGATTGTGGAAGTGAGGGGCACTTAATGGAAAACAGGTGGAAAATGAAAATGGATGTCTCCATTCTTTTTATGTTTGGATGTTCCTCTTTTGTCCAAATTCTATAGCTTATCTTCATTCCTCTCTGCCCCGAAGAAGGGCTGGGGGAAGATGTTTTGTTTAGATCTTAGATTATCTGGCAATTTGATAAAAGGTACAAACTTGAAAATTCGATCAATCTGCTTTGTATTTCTTCCTTTCCTCTTTACCGTTGCCCAAGGGTTATGCTAGGTCTTAATGACGAAAGAGTTTTCTTTATTTTCTTTCCTTGCATTCAGTTCTTCCATGTCTTCCCGAACTGTGGCAAGTGATTTTGTGCCAATCATACCTGCTGCTTGAAAAATGTGTGCTTATACTGTTGCAGGACGGATCAATTTTAGCATGGAAATTTAATGTAGCTACCAACAGCTTTGTACCTGCTGCATCACTCTCAGGACACACCTCTGCCGTCGTTACGCTGGTGGTCGGAGCTAACAGATTATACTCTGGTTCAATGGACAAAACAATAAGAGTGAGCCTTTTGTATTAAGATGGAGATTTGTGAATTGTTATGTGGGAGTTACACCAGTATAACTTTTTGTTATTCAGGTGTGGAGCCTTGAATCATTACAGTGTCTACAAACGTTGACAGGCCATTCTGATATTGTGATGTCTGTTCTTTGTTGGGATCAATTTCTTTTATCATGTTCATTGGATCAAACTGTAAAGGTACGATATTTTCACCTTTAGTGAGTAGTGTTGGATTCGTAATATGTAGTTATCAGAGATCGATCTATTTCATGTTTCCTGTATTTTTTGTAGGTTTGGGTTGCTACTGAGAGTGGAAACCTGGAAGTAACATACACTCACAACGAGGAAACTGTATGTTTCTTCCTATGTCTGGCTAAATCCTGCATATCATAATGCAAATTTGATGAATTTTCATATCTCGTACAAGGAATCCATTTATTTCACTGAGATTTGTGCATGGAGATTGCTAATAACTGAATTGAAATGGGCTATTGACTGCTAAGTGAAGATATACTTTTAGAAGTGGCTTTCTGCGTGTGTATTTCCTACAAACATGGCTCTAGTTTCTCTAGAAGCCATAAGCATTGATTTTAGCTTATGGGGGTTGTTTTAGAACACTTAGTGCGAGTGTGCAACAGCATATGACCGGTGAAGAGGGGGCCAAAGTTTAGTTGGGTAGTAGAAAGTTTAAATCTTGTTTGGAGGCCATGTGCTGAGATCGTCTGGCATCTAATTTGGTGTTTTAAAGCTGAAAGACGAGCAAAAAAATGTTTTTCTATTGTGGGAAAAAGCTAGCTTAGACAGATGTGGTCTCATAGTTTATCTGTTTTCAGGGTTTGCTCACTCTCTGCGGGATGCATGATTTGGAATCCAAGCCTGTCTTGCTCTGCTCTTGCAACGACAACATAATTCGTGTTTATGATTTGCCATCGTGAGTATTACTTTCAGGCTTGTATCTTCTTGGGATGATGACTTGTCAAATTCTACTGTTTTTTTTTACCCCCCTTTCTTCTTTGCAATGTTGGACTGTCAGTTTTTCTGAAAGAGGAAAGATATACGCAACACAAGAGGTTCGATCAATTCAAGTTGGACCTGGCGGTTTGTTTTTCACTGGGGACGGGGCTGGTCAAGTGAAAGTGTGGAGTTGGACTACTGAATCGATTGCTACAAGCTGAAGTATTTCATTTCTTTTTTTTTTTCCTGACACACACAATCTCTCCCAGTGTTCTTTTTTATTATTATATTATCCACGAGTCGTTGATTAATGGAAGACTCAAGAGAGATGTCAGTTTTGATACCCTAGTGTTAGCTGTCTTTATCTTGTGGTTTAGAGCCAGGGGCATTACCTGGGTCTTGTTGTTCGGGTTGGCTGAGTTTTTCATCATTTTAAGGAGTTTTGGGTGCCATTGCGACCCGCATTAATGTAACATTACATGGAGATGTAAAATGTACGAGTAGCATTTCGAGTTGAATGCGCTGGTGGGTGGAATTTTTCTCAGCATCCTTTGGTGCCAGTGAATAAAATCCACTGCATTGGTGATATGCTATTTTCATTTGAGCTTTCAATTACACCTTTACATTGTAGACTGTCATTTCAACTTTCAACAAGGAAGAATGCGGAAATTCTTGAAACGATGGAGCGAGGAATCTTTAACTAGTAGTACACCTGGCCTGCCGTGCGCAGTAGTCAGAGTAAGGAAAACAAAACAAGAAATAATCTAATCCTAGATTGCTTGAACAGTCTGATCTTAGATTGCTTGAAATGTCAAAGCTAATCTAATCCTCACCATAATATCATCAAGATTTTCCCACATTGACTCTTTAATCAACGGAGAGGCGGAGAGATGTCTCAAGAAGAAGAACAGTACCAAGAAGCTGCTGAACAAGAATATGGAAGACAAAACATGGCAGCTTGGCTTGTTGCCGCGAAAACTCTAAAGATTCAGCCTTACACCCTCCCACCTCTTGGTATTTACATACTCTCATCACATCGTAGCAATTTGTTATTCTTTTCTTGAATCTTGCGTTGTTCCGAGTTATATAGTAGTATTTGTGTAAGTTTCTTACTTTTGCTCTCTCCCCAAAATCCAAAACTAGCTGCCCAACAGCCCACTTAAAGATCTTGTTTTTATCAGTATTGATTTTCAATCCACAACTGGGAAATCAACCTTTGCTGGTCCACAGGTCCTCATGATGTCAAAGTTAGGATGAAAGCTGTTGGAATTTGTGGAAGTGATGTTCATCACTTCAAGGTAACTAAGCACACATACTCACTCAAGAGCATGATTAATACAACTATGTTTTTCTTTCTCCTATTTGAGAGCAACTCTTTTCATGTCCCTTCAGAACATGAGATGCGCAAATTTCGTGGTTAAAAAGCCTATGGTGATTGGTCACGAGTGCGCTGGAATCATTGAAGAAACTGGCGGCCAAGTGAAGTCTCTAACGGTGGGTGATCGTGTTGCTTTGGAGCCCGGCATAAGCTGTGGCCGCTGTAATTCTTGCCGGACGGGCCGTTACAATCTCTGCCCAGATATGAAATTCTTAGGTTCCCCTCCAACTAATGGTTCCTTGGCGAATCTGGTAGTTTTTTCCTATATATTGCAGATTTTGCAACTGAATCAAACTCCCTATGATTATTGAAAACATGTGAGAATAAAGATGTTTACTTTCTATGATTTATCGGAAATGGTGAAAATGCTTTTCTGGTGGAATCATCAGGTTGTGCATCCTGCAAACTTGTGCTTCAAATTACCGGATAATGTAAGTTTAGAAGAAGGGGCAATGTGTGAACCGTTGAGCGTGGGAGTCCACGCTTGCCGGCGTGCTGGTGTTGGTCCAGACACTAGAGTATTGATCATAGGAGCTGGTCCAATTGGGCTGGTAACCATGCTGGCTGCCCGCGCTTTTGGAGCCCCCAAAGTAGTCATGGTGGACGTGGATGAATCCCGCTTATCGTTTGCCCAAAAGCTAGGTGCGGATGGGACAATCCTGGCTTCAACAAGTATTGAGGTCCCATCTGTATAAATGCCTTTCATACCAGCTTCAATTGCTAAGCATTTTGTGCCTGTTTCATTGATCAGATTTTGTTTATTTCAGGAGGTGAAGGTGGAAGTCGCTGAAATTCAAAAGGAAATGGGGGATTCGATAAATGTGAGCTTTGATTGTGTTGGTTTCGACAAAACCATGAGCACGGCCCTGAGTGCTACAGCCGCGGGTGGCAAAGTATGTCTGGTGGGATTAGGCAGAAGCCAAATGAATATCCCCCTCACTCCAGCTGCTGCAAAGTACATATAATTGGCCTTACCATTTCATATAAGGCATTTTCATAATGAAAATTTTCGAAAGCTTGGAATTCGAACAGGTTTTGATTATATCACAGCAGGTAGACTGAACTTTTTTTTGGTTTACAACAGGGAAATTGATGTAGTGGGCATATTTAGGTACGGGAATACATGGCCACTCTGCATGGAATTGCTAAGGACAGGCAAGATAGATGTGAAGCCTCTCATAACTCACAGGTTCGGGTTCACACAAGAAGATATGGAAAATGCTTTTGAAACTAGTGCTCAGGGTGGTACTGCGATCAAGGTCATGTTCAATCTGTAGGCTCTTGGAATAGTCATCTCAAAGTGCCGAAGATCCAATTTTAGCTCCAAGAAAGAATTGGGTCAAATCAAGGAACTCATGAACAGAAGCTGGGAAGTGAAGTTAGCACATGTGCATCGTGAGAAGAATTTTGCAGTTCGACTATATGGCCGTTTTGGCGGTGTCAAATCTTCCGGGATTACATAGGATGAATTTCTCACCATCAGGAGTTAGAACTGGCTATTCCATGACATTATTGGAGTGGCACACCCGAGAAATGTAATAGTATAGAAGCTGTAATTATCTCCCTTTTGAATGGGAAAAAAAAAGAATTGGGTCAAGTATCTTTGTTTGTTATAGATTGAGCAGGTGGTTTATGATATGATTGTAAGACACGTGTGGACTACTTTTACTTAGGAAATGGGTAGTCGGCTAAAAAGTATAACCTACGATGGCCAGCCAAACCAAATTGTAATCCAGGTCGGTCAACCTCCCTGCCCCGCCATGACTGTAATCTCGATCCACATTTCTTTTTCTTTCTTTCTTTTCTTTTTTTATTTTTTTTAATTTTACGTAATCAAGATGGGTTTACATTATTTCGTCTTACTCTTGACAATTTCCCTGGAAAGAGGGTCTTAATTACAGTAAACTTTCGTTAAGAGCAGCCGGATGATATCTTTATTAGGTTAGTCAAAAGAAAACACCAAACATTAATTAAAAGGAAGCAGCCGGATACTACGATTCCGCAAGAACAAATAACTTTGAATTGAGGGGATTCAACCTGAAGAAATTAAATAAAAGAATAGCAATTGGTCCAGATGTTACGGCTTCCTCCATATGAACTGTGGATGTGAATATCATCTTTCTTAATTGTCCAAAAAAAAAAAATAAATAAAAGAAATTATTCCTAAGTCCTACGTGCAGTGCATCTAAACATGCAACTTATCTAGATCCTATTGCTTTCTTTTCTCAGTAGTAGTAACTAAAATAAACCATTCGTGAGGCGGAACCAGATTGTTTAAAATCCAAAGGAAAAATCTGGAATAATAATTAAAAATTAACACGAGATGCCGTTGACCATTTTTTACCGCCACGTGTCACCGACCAATTCAACTTCCCAGATTCAACTCCCAACTCCAAGCCAAAACAGATAAACAACCAAAAATTAAAATGGACCACTTTTAGTTTTAGCAGCCAAACTTAATTCCACGTTTACCGCAATCTTCCTGTCTTTAAACCCTCAAAAGCTTTGATCCCATTTCCGTTCGTCAAGAAGACTTCTCTTCTCTACACCAAACCCAACGTTCCCGGAGAAAAGAAAAAACATTCCCACCCCCTATATATAGCAGATATACTTATCCTCTCTAATTATAATTATAAATAGAAAAAACCATCAACCGAAACTATTCCTTCCTCCCTCTCTCTCTCTCTGTTCAGTTCTTCCTGTTCTTTGAATAATCAATCATTCAATGGGTTCCTATCCAAAATCCATGTCTATGTCGAGGACATCAATTCTTGCTGCAGCTGATGCAGCTTCGTGGTTTGTAGCAGCGGTGATCTTGTCTCTCATCCTTTTGAGCACAGTTAAAGAAGACCCTGTTTCCTATGGAACTTCTTCAATCAGAGGAAACCGGTTCATGGGCCATAAGCCCTGTGATGAAATATATGTGGTTGGAGAAGGGGAAACTCTGCACACCATCAGTGACAAGTGCGGGGATCCATTCATCGTGGAGCAGAACCCACATATTCATGACCCAGACGATGTTTTCCCTGGCCTCGTCATTAAGATTACTCCCAAGCCCACCCACTCGTAATCCGGAATTGTCTTCCTAGTAGAGAGATAGACCATCATCATGCGGGTTTTGAAAAATCAGTTTTTAATTTCTTGCCTCCTTTGTGGATCGGAGGACATGATATGTATAGAACAGCTTCTACCTATACTTTTTTCTTTTTCTTTTACTCCATTTCTGAAATTAAGAAGCGGTAAACGTATTGTGCATATGGTTTGGCGCCATATCCAGGCCGCTAATACTGTTTTGATCAATAAAGTAGTGAGATCTTCTTATCCAACTTTTATCAGTTTCTCTTTTATAGTATTTTGTAACACCCACTGTTCTTTTTTCGGGCTCATTCATTAAGTGCTCTGTATTTTAATTACTCTGTTTCTTGAATTCTAATAGAAGAAAATCGGTATCTGCAGAGACGACGAACTTTATCAGTAATCATTAGGAAATCTCTCTGCTTAATGATTTGTTTTATGTTCCACCCTCATTTGATCGATCTTTTCGATTTGGATTTTGGTGTATACTTAAGAGTAACAGTAGTTGTTATGATTTTATTTTATTTTATTTTATTTGGGTAGGAGGAAGTACCGTGTACATGATTACAAGGTGGTTGTTTTCCGGTTTCGTGTATTCTTAATTTGAGATGTTTCCAAGGTTGAATTGTCATGATATTCAGGCGAAGTGAGGGGAGAGGGACTGTGTGATGTTAACTTAGTAGTATCATGCAGATTATGCATGCATAGTCATCAGCACATATGTGCACGTCTCTTCTTGGTCGATGATATATGTACACGTAACAAGGTGAACGATTTTATTATTGGAGTTCTTCACACCGATATCAAACACATCAAACTTGCTGATCGAAGAAGACATTTCTGTTTTCTCATCAACTCTAAACATAAGTCTTCGTCAGCTGCTCTTATCTATTTTGAGGAAAAGGCTAAGCTTGAAAGAAAGAAAAATACACCATCGAGTCTCTACGGTGGTAATTGACTTTTATTTGTCTGCCAACATACCTAAAACTATATATCAACATGGGCTTTGGAGGGGCAAACAAAGCAAACACAAGAAGAATGAATGAATGAATCAATGTCAGGGGAAACAGAAAAGAACTTAGGGGAGGTGATCAAACTACATAAATGAGATGGTGAATATGGGACGAATTAGAAGCAAAAAGCTTAATTAACTATCACTTTTGATTTGGTCAACTCCCTGCATCCACATGTAATACATGTCTAATTAAGCCTCAACTAGTGGGAAGTTGGGACATTGGGTGGACTATCCTAATTTTAGCTTCTGATTGGTGCTTTGTCTAGGTGGGAAGGAAAGAGCATATACAGTAGATTATAGAATTAGAAGAGGGACATTCCAAGCTTCAATGGCGGCTTGTGTTGCCCACTTCGCTGCCCTGCCACTCGGGGCATAGTGCACGCTTATGCAATCTCACTCCTACATTTTAAAACCTCTTTTCTAATGGCATGCGGATGAAAACTAAAGCCACTAACACTCGGAAAATACATGAGGTGATGAGGAAACCTCAGATTCGGTCAGGGGCTTAGTGGGAAATCACGATGACAAATCAGAAAAACATTGTTATCTCACGGGTTTAATGCCCTGAATCACATTTCAATCTTTGGTTACTTGTGCTGTGTTTTCGGACTTAGGAAAAGGTTTTCTCTAGACATGATGGGTGGTAGATATCAAAAGGGGTGCCTAATTAACCGATACAATTGTCAAATACAGTATTGCAAACACAAAAACCCGTAAGTGGATATACTAATCAAAGATCATTATCGATACAACATGTGGTTTGCGTTCGATATACTATATGGAGAAAGAAGTTTACCATGTAGTCAAACAGTGACACCCAAAACCTATAGCAAAAGAGCCAAAACTTTTGACCATTTCATGACCATTAGCCCTGTAAATTAATAACGGCACATCGAGAAGGAAAACCTTCAGAAAGTAAACTAATCCACCTGTGAGAAAAATAAAATGATTCTTTTATTGATCCCGAGTAAACAAATATTCTCTCAGTCCCAAAATTATTGTGTAGTTTGAGTTTTTCATTCTTAGTTTAAATTGTACTAAAATTGAAATCTCAAATTGGACAATAATTTTGGGAGAGGGAGTACAATTTGGACGGTCTATTTACAATTCCTTCTTTGATTCCTCAATGAACCACTGTACCAAACAGCAAAGTCGAACTCATTTCCCTGCACCCAAATGAAACATATGGCTGGTTGACAAATTGATGGCAAGGTATCCAGCTTGGTTCTAGCTGCAGAAGCACGTTATCAATCAGCTCAACAGCAACGGGCACTTGGTAATAGGTCAAGTCTTTGCCATCAGCCAATTCGAGAGCTATTTTGAGGGCATCATCAGCCTTGAGATCAAAGTCGAACTCAAAACAGTTGGCCACATGACTTCTGGTGTCTGCTATCCGCATTTTAAATGAAATTGTCATGTTGTCAAGTTTCTTCCCCCTCAATTGTAGTATCAAATTGTCTGTGAACCTGGAAGCTTCTGAAATAGTAACAGGGGTAAAGCTATTGACACTTCCAAGGGATGCTGATGATGTCCCAAAGGAAAACTTATCATTCCTTGAAACACCGTCAGATTTAGGTGTTGAAACAGCAGATTTGGCATCATCCCCTGATGATGAAAAGAATGGATCTTTCAAGAGCTCTGCTGCACTAGGCCTGTGAGAGGCAGGAAGTAAACACTTCTCGATCAAGCTCTTAATCTGAGGATCCTTGACTTTGCCTAAAGCTAAAGGCTTCACTCCAGTTGTGACCTTCTTGAAAATCTGAGCCACATTGTTGCATTCACTGTAAGGATACTCACAAGTGACTAATTCCAGCATACACATCCCAAACGAATACACATCCACCAATTCATTGTAGTCCTCATCGTACAGCTCGGGAGCCATAAATTCAGGTGTCCCAAGAACACTCCCCAGACGACGGTGCTGCTCCATCAGTGTGGCCATCCCCAAGTCACCAATTTTGACCTGCCCGTTATTCCCGTTGACAAATATGTTGTCGCACTTCAAATCCCTGTGAACAACGGGTGGATCATGGGTGTGCAGATAATTCAGCCCTTTCAAGATTTGCGATCCCCAATTCTTGATGGCCTTGAGGTTAACGGATTTGTGCTTCTTCCTGTATTGCCTCAATGTCCCGGAATTACACAACTCGGTGATCGTGTTTATGTTCATCTTGGGTTGGTCGATCCACCAAGAGTAACACTTGACGACGTTCTCGTGTTGGACGGCTTCCATCAAATGAACCTCCGAAAGCAACCTTGATTTCACCGAATCGATTTCGCGATTCATGTTGATCTGGCACCAAGCCACCTCAAAACCCAACTCCAGATCAAAACCCTTGTAAACGACCTTGAAGGCGCCCCTCCCAAGAACTTCATCGGACCGAACAAAACGGCCGCAAGGCGAAACCTCCGATATAGCTTCGTCATCATCGTTCTCAGAATTAGAAATCAGATCCATTGTTGTAGAATAGAATAACTCGTAAGGTAACAAAAAGAATGGTGTAATCTAGGGTTAGGGTTCGCAAGAAGAAATTAAAGGGTCAAGAAGAAGAGGTTTCAGTGAAAGCTTCAATAGCAATATCGAAGGCGTCAATCTTTGAATGGAATCGGAGATAGATGAAGAAATAATCCATGGCAGCTACTTCATCCAGAACTGCAACTCTGAAGACGCCGATGATGACTACCCAAAAATTGGAGAATTGGGAAGAAAAAAACAGAGGTCGGAAAAAATCGATCTCTTAATTGTATATATAGGTAAGGTTTGGGTCCTAGGCGGTTTAGGGGATTGTGATGTTGGCGGTCCGCCGGTGACGCGTTGAAGAATTGTTTTCAGATAAGTTTACTAGAAATGATCCTTTGATTCCAAAGCCCAGCTGGACCAAGTCAAAAGCCCAATTAAGGTTTCACACAGCAATAAATTTTGGGCCTAAATCAGCTCAATTTGCCCACAAGCGCGGTATCGAAATGGACCAATTGGTTGCCAAATTAATGGTTTCTCATTATTGTATATCATATGTATGAAGTAATTAATTAATAAACGCGTACAAACTATTTTAGGCGGTGTAATATGTTCTTCATTCTAGAAATTTTGTGAAACATTCATAATAAATTTCTTAAAATAAAAAACCACCAATCCCCACAATTATAAATATGTGAAAAGAAATCCCCTGCTTATGGTGATGGGATTAGATTCAGGGTTATTAAAAATAAATATCCTCCTTGTCTCAAAATTTGTCCAATTTAAATTTTTATTTTTTGTACGATTTATACTAAAATTTAAATTCTAATTTATACAATAGTTTCGGAATGAATGTTATGGCTCATTTCCTGTTAATTGGATGGTTGATTCATTTAAATTTACACCACCGATACATTTTTCAAAATGACCAAAATGGCTAATTATAGAGTACTGTTTTTAGCTATTGTGAGGTAAAACACAAAAATAAAGAAACCCCAACTTCCACCTTCCACATTTCACTTTGAAGTTTGAACTTACATGTAAACATGGTATTGTTGTATGTGGAGTACAGATTACAAGCGAAAGTCCTAAACATGACTCTAGAAGCAATAAAAAGTTAGATATTATTATAACTCAAAAATTAATTTTTTACCTAACAATATTCTTATTTTCATTTCAGAAGGTAATTTCTCTCTCTCTAAACATACCATGTAATTATGGGATCAGTGCGGGACTTGTTATGGCCATTCAATAACTTTTGAGTTGAGATTGAGAAGTAGATTTTAGACAAGAATTTCGAGAAACAAATTTTGTTGCGGACTATCTATATTTTTTGGCAGCACAAGGACCAAGTGAATTACAACGGTGCAATGATCCACTGTTGAGACTAAAACTATGACTTGAATATGATGTTATAGGCGCAACTATTATCGGAATGTATTAATTTTGACATGAGGCGTGAACTTTTTTTATTGTAACATGAAAAAAAAAAATCATGTAATTATAAATTACAAAAATTATTATATATACTACTCCTTTAGCCATGTTGTGCAAAATATGATTCTCTTTCTAGAAGAAGTTTTTAGGAAAATCTCAGGAAAGGCCGTTGTCGTTTCGTTGTTCGTTTTCCATTTGGACAATAACGAGAGTATTGCTGTTAACGGTTAAATCTAATGATTTTTTCTTCCCCCTCGTAATAACTACATCTGGAATCAAAATTTACAAATCGTCCCTCCAACTCCGAGATCCAAATCTCAGGCCGCAGGCCCCGCCGTCTGATGATCGGAAGTTGTGACAATCATGTCTACACTCGTCGCTATCAGAGACGCTGCCCTGAACAGCGGCGGGGACTATTCTCCGGCCAAAGAGAAGGCCGCCACCAGAGGGGTCTTCAACGGCCGCTCTCCACTTCTCCACCGCCGCATTAAGCTGTTGCTTGGTGGCTTTAAGTTCAAGCTTCTCATCTGCTTTGCCTTCTTATCTATTGTGGTTTGGTTCAGCTCCAAAATCGGTCCTTTCATGGAATGGAATCCTCATCCGGACTCTTCCGTATTCTCTCCTTCCAGGTGCGTGAAATCCATATTGTAGAGTATGAAATATATAGTCTCAGAAAAATTCCATATTATGCTGATTCTCTGCATATTTTGTGAAATTACATCTTGTTCGATGGTGGGCGTTATTTATCTAAGGTTATAGGTTTTTGCGTTATAGTCCTAGATCAACTGATGAGCTAGCTATATCAAGTAAGATTTGTTTTCTTTGCCGACTTCTTTTATGTGCCTTACTGCCTTATACGCCATCCTGATTTCTCAACACCTGGTACTTTATGTCCAAAGACGATTATTAGGCAAGGGAGGAAAACTTTAATTACATTTTCATTATTTACATAGGGTATAACAGCATATATTGTGTACTATGTAATACCCGGAAAGGTAACGTTACATCGGGTGCTGAATTGCGTGCCTAATTAAGATGATGTTTAGCTTCCCTACCTCAAGGATGCTTTTATGTCTTTTATTAGAAGTTTCTATTTTTTTTTCAGGTTAAATTTTGTCAGGTTTTCACATGGGAAAAATTGTGTTAGTTGCTTTAACGAAGATCGGATGAGTAACTTTTTTGACAAAATTCCACCCTCAATATATTTGTGGATTACCCGTTGTCTAGCCGCACGACTAACTTTACAACTTACTCGCTTGAACTTTAAGGTGTGCATTGGGTGTCCTGGAACTATATAATTAATCAAATCTACTGCATGCTGTATGGTTGTTTGATTTCCAGGGGTGGCTTCACTGTGCTTATCAACACTTGGAAGAGAAATTCATTACTTAAACAGTCTGTAGCTCACTATGCATCCTGCCGAGGGGCTGATGCAATACACGTGGTCTGGAGCGAAAGTGATCCGCCGTCTAACCAATTGAGATCTTATCTAAATGATATCGTGTTAAAGAAGTCACAGACAGCTCACAAACCCAACTTTAAGTTTGATTTGAATGAGGAAGATAACTTGAACAACAGGTTCAAACCTAGACCGGATCTCAGAACTGATGCTATTTTCTCAGTTGATGATGATGTAATAGTTCCCTGTCGTACTCTAGAATTTGCCTTTTCCATGTGGCAAAGTGCTCCGTTTACAATGGTGGGCTTTGTACCTCGGATGCACTGGCTGGATCAGAAGGTGAGGCACTGGTTTATTCTCCTTTGAAGGCAGAAATTTGCTTTGCATCATTATCCTTGTATTAACGTAGCCAGTAAAATGATGAGGATTTGTCTCATTTTTTTCACGAATCGATAGCGGCCACAATAGCAATGAAGTGCAGTTAAATTTTGTTTTAGTTTTTGTGAATGGCTCTAGAAGTTGAAAATCTTCGTCCTTTTTTTTTTCTGTGTATTTTGTGAGGTCTATGCTGGTGCAATTACTTGTGTGCCTGCTTGTGTTTTTCGGTTTGCTGAGGTGTATTTTGTCCTGAAGCAGAATAATGTCTGTTTGTTGCTTGTTTGCTTTTGTGAAGCTAATACTTAATATTTCTTTGCTTTAATCGCACATTGCTGTACCCATTGCAGACAAATGGTATGACACAGTACAAGTATGGCGGATGGTGGTCTGTTTGGTGGATGGGCACGTATAGTATGGTTCTCTCGAAAGCTGCTTTTTTTCATAGGAAGTATCTGGAATTATACACGAATGAAATGCCCAGGTCAATACATGATTATGTGACTAAGGAAAGGTACACTGAACTGTAATTTCATCATTACATTTCGTTTTCAAGTGAGACTATACATCGTTTCAACATGTTCCATTTGTGGCAGAAACTGTGAAGATATAGCAATGTCCCTCCTTGTGGCAAATGCTACAAATACATCTCCAATTTGGGTGAAAGGTGAGATTCTGCTAATTTGGGTTCCTGTCAGTTTAAATTCTCAAGTGCACACCTAACCATACCTAGGTGATATAGATTTGGATATATTAGGAAATCCTTAAATCAAGCCAATAGGTATCTAAAATTTAAAATGAGCAGGACTTGCCACCGCAACTATCGCCATTTGAAGTGACCATTTATTGTATATTAACACTGCTCTATATCATCAACCTGTGTTGGGTTCCCTTTGCTGACAAAATGATTGAATCATGAAAAGTCATTGACTCAAATTAAACACAAGAAGAAAGACCTAAAGGATTTCGGAAGTTACTATTACTATTAGATAAAATGTGATGTATACGTAAAGGCTTGGTTGTGTGATCATTCCAGATCATTGAAATCTTTAAGATTATATATCTACAAGCCTGCCTGAGGTTAGGTCGCGGAATGATTGTGAACTGTTGTACCGGCAATATATGTTTTGCTTCACCCTATGCTTCTTCATTTGCTTTCGTCCTGTTGTAGTAGGTTTTGTTCCAATTGTTGACATCAGTTACAACCCCATAGGCCTGACCTGCATTTTCTTGTAGTTGATCTGTTTGTGCTTGTCTCCTTATTCTTAAGAACTTTTATCCGATCATTGTAGTTATTGGGGTGATCCATTTAGAAAATGTTGTTGAAAACAAATGTAGAAGCTTTTGACCCTTGCAGCTCCTTAGCAACTTTTAGATACTAGGAGTTGTAATTGAAAGAAAAACAAGAATAAGTGAGAGACGAAGTATCTGGTGATTTGAAACAAGTTAAATACCTGAAATTGTTTGGAATGGTAGCATAATATCCCTTGCAACCGCATGATTTGTTTTTCTTTTTGCACATTTTACTTGCTTGGTTCCATTACCGTGCATATAGCTTGTTGTTTCTACATTTTCCTTTTTTATTGGTGTTTTCTTTTCCTAATTCGATAAACCACTTTGCAGGTAAAATATACGAGATAGGCGCTTCCGGGATTAGTAGTCTAAATGGGCATAGTGTGAAGAGGAACAAGTGCTTGAATGATTTTGTTGCGCTGTACGGAAGCATGCCTCTGGTACCAACGAATGTAAAAGCTGTGGATGCAAGAAACGAGTGGCTATGGTAATAGCATTCTTTTCCGTTCATCAAGCAGAGATCAGTTTTCCTTGTATAGAAGTACTGTGCCACTTGAGAACAATGGTGGATCAATCTTTTCAGTGTGAGGGTCCATCATCCTTGTAAAAAAAAAAAGCAAACAATGGTACCAATACTATGTAGATTTGTTTTGTAGAAATATGGATGTTGAAGGATTAGGATATAAGCTATCCCTTTGCATAATGCACACGAAATGGGAACACCAATCCACACGTTTCACCGTGTTTGTTAATATTGGTTTGCGTGTGTGTGTGTGTGTGTGGTGTAAAGCAAACAAAATGCCTTTTGAGGTTCCACAATCCCGCATGCACGGTCCTCCCACTTTTGTGATTTCGCGTCTGTGTATTAAGGCCTAGGACTACGGGGGATCTGAATTAGGGTCGCAAGTGGTGCATTCCGGACAAGGCATTGTTGAGCAAATCCAAGCCAATTTGGTACCCACTTGCCAAGTAAATGGTCCATTGGGTAACCACAAATGGCAGAAATAGAGAGGAGCAGACAAGTGGAATATGTAATGTAACTATTAATGCTTGTAGAACACACACGCATTCACTTTAATTGGCGTCTAGCGGGCTTTTTCTATCCCAAAATTTGGTACCCCTGTGTCCCAAAATTATTGAAGTTTGAATTTTCATTTTTAGTTCAAATTATATGAGAAGTTTAGAACTGAAAATTGAAACTGGACAATAATTTTGGAATAGAGGAAGTAATCTTTGCTTTTCCTTTTCCAATGTTTAAAGCTTAAACAAACACCAGCAAAGAGCCTCTCTCTATTAGTTTCAGAACGGTTAGGGAGGGCCCTAATTCCTTTTCTATCCAAAGATCAACGGTTGTCTTTTTGTACAAAACAACAATATATGTTGTGGGAGGACTTTGATTACATCACAACGAGAATATAGCGTAATTATGTGTTTGAATTACTTTTTCGACTAATTTGGATCTCTTTGGTGACTCACATGGAAGTTTTCCTTTACATTGCTCCTTTAAATGCAAAATACCAGGACAAAATGGGTTGAATGAAGTGATAGACAAGATGAACCCAATAGCTCAAGAAAAAAATGGAGAGTGGATTACTTATAAGGTGCTTTTCCCAATTACCCCTGGCATCATTCCTGCATCAAGAGATTGTAGACTTGTAGACGTTCATTGCAGTTCCACAATGTCTGGTAAACGTGGTCTGTGGCCGGTTCTTGTCAACGTAACTTCCAATTAATAAATCTAACATCAAAGCTTATAGTGCTCTTTTTTCATATAGCATAGCAAATAGTTACAATGATGATTAGAAGTTCCCGTAAGAAATCATAATAGAGTCCTTTTGTTAGGGGGAAAAAGAAAGAAGACGATAACTGGAGAATTTGTGAAATATGGTAGTGGATGCATTCTAAACCCACCCCCAACCGACAGTATAAACCTTGGGAATGATGGGGGGGGATGTTGTGCTGTTTTTGTACTTTTGTTTGGTTCTAGTAGTATTTTAATGGTACAGGACGACAAATGTAAAGTCTGTGCAGTTGACAAATGAAACTGTAAAGAAGGGGAAAAGAATAAAGAAACTGAAACCTACTCCTCAACTGCCCCCAGGAATTTTTTATTTTTTTATTTTTTTTGGCCTCCCTACAAATATGTATTCTTAAATTAATACAAATGGTTTACTTTAGCGAGTCTTAGCAGTTATCACCTAGCACTGCATAATAGACCAAAATAATCACAATTCACAAGTATGGTCTGGTCCCAAAGACGGGTTGGTGTTAGTTTTGCCTGAATTGAAGTTGTGAGATTTAACTTTGACATTAGAACAAACACTTCGCTGGTGTGTTTCTGGTTTATTCACTGCTCACAAGTCACAACAAATTTTACCACCTAACCATATATTAGCCTACCAGTATTTTTTTTTATTAATGATAATCTCATTTAAAATTAATGAGGCCACCTTGAGTTGCTCCTATCGCCCAAGGTTTCTCGGATTCAGCGGTACTGTGAAACACTTGTTTCCATCATCAAGATAATGCACGGAGAGACGTGGAGGATAAGCAGCATTCTTTTGTTCTGACCAATTAATCCCTGGATAATAAATGACAAAACTAATACTAACAAAATTTGTCAAATATACAAGTACTCCGAGTGAGTTCACTCTATAACTTATCCACTGAACCACTTCTTTTCACGGTGACGATGTGAAACAATACATTTCAACAAAAATTTTAAAAAACTTTTTAAGTTGTGATTAATGCGGCATGTACACTTTGTAGTTTGTATTATCATCACATTGATCATTTTGTTAACTTATTGAGATCTTTTAGCATTGTTTGTAGTCCGTCATAAAATGGATTCAATGAAATAACTAGTGGTAACATTCTAAATTGATCTTTTAAACATTCAGGATCTAAATGATTTACGCTAATGATAATTTTGTGGGCAATTTTATTTGGCTCCTCCATTGTAGTATCTAAATAGAACCTGTGGCCCCCGAAAAATGAGACCGACTTAGGATTTGGTGACAAAAATGTGGAAGTTGCTACACTGCTACTTGCTTCTTTGTGATGTTACATTCATTGACCTGTAAATTAGTAGTGTGTGTGTGTGTGTGTGTGTGTTCACGCAACTAAAAATGTCAATATCAAAATCTCAATCACAAAATCCCATTGGGGGGATCAAATCGGAAAGCACTGCACAAACACAAAACCGATTACTTCACTAATGCAACCCAATAAGCGATAACCACAGATTTCTTCATTTGCATAAAATGCTAAAAATACTTGACCACAGTACTAATTATTTATTTGTCACAATTTTAAATCTTTATTACCATCAATCAATTTGTTTTTCGTATTTAGACGGGAAGTATAAAAAGATCAACATGACAAAAGTGTCTCCAAGCCTGCAAGTGCATAATTAGCAGTTTTCTTCCAAGTAGTCCAACTAAACTTTCAGATAGTCAACAAGACGACTCGGTTTTCCCATGAAACAATTATTCAACTGGGTGGTTCCGGTCAACGTGTAACCCTTTCCCCAATTACCTTAATCTTCCTTATTAACCAAAAAAATATCCTTCTGTAATCTGTAAATCTATTCCCCTTTGGCCCAAAAAAGTTCTTTTTCCATTTAGATTCTTGATCATTTACATCATCATGCCTTCTCGACAGCTTCCGCCTTCCCCCGAGCCGCCGCCGCCGCTCCGCCCTACTGGCACTCACCTTGCTCTGGCGGGCTCAGCTGCCACCGCCTTCTCCCTCCTCATTTTCTTCACCTTTTGCTTCCGCAAAATCTCTCGCAAACGCACCGTCCCAAACTCCGATACCGAGTCCAAGCCTCCCCACCGCTTCTCTTACTCCTCGCTCCGCCGTGCGACGTCGTCTTTCTCCCCATTGCTCCGACTGGGTCAAGGTGGGTTCGGCTCCGTCTACCGGGGGACTCTCAAACCTGACCTTCAAGTTGCGGTCAAGGTAATGGATTCTGGGTCCCTCCAGGGCGAGCGCGAGTTTCAAAACGAGCTTTTTCTGGCTGGAAAGATTGAGTCCAATCATGTCGTCTCGCTTATAGGTTTTTCTTCTGACCCTGGACGACGCCGTATGCTGCTGGTTTATGAGCTCATGCCAAATGGAAGCTTACAGGACTGTCTCTTATACCGTAAGTGTACCGAACTTAAAGACTGGAAGAAAAGATTTTCAATTGCTTTAGATATTGCTAAAGGGCTTGAATATTTGCATCATGTCTGTGATCCCCCAATTATTCATGGTGATGTTAAACCTAGCAACATTTTATTAGATGCTAATTTTAATGCCAAGATTGGCGATTTTGGTTTGGCGAGGTTGAAATCAGAAGAGGTCCGGTTTGAGACTGAGGCGAAAAAGGTAGGTAGTTTGGGAACCGGGGTGGTTGAGGACAATGGGTCAGTGGCAGAGGAGACTGAGAGTGTGATTACTGTGAGTGCTTTTGAAGGGTTTGATGGCTGTGTGGAACAGTCGCCCGAGAGTTGTTTTGTAAGGGTAGAGACTTCGCCTGAGATGGTGGGGACAGGTCCGGAGGTTGAATTGTCTATTGATGCTGCTACGGAGTCAGCAATGGTGGTGTCTCCAAGGACTGTGGCTGCGATGGCATCCCCGTTGGAGGTCTTGGATAAGACCAGCTTTTCAGAGGGGACTTTTGATCGGGCTAGTGTTGTTAGTGGGATCGATATGGGTAATGGTGGTGATAAGAAGAGTGGTAAGTTGAAGAAGAAGAATAGTATTTCTGGGAGAGATTGGTGGTGGAAGCAAGATCATGGAAATACCGAAAATGGCATGGTGAAAGATTATGTTAGAGAATGGATTGGGAATGAGATTAAGAAGGAGAGGCCAAAGAGTGAATGGGTTGGCACTTCTTCTAATTCTGTGGTGGTTGGCAAATCTGAGAAAGAGAAGAAGAAGAAGAATCGGAGACGATTAGATTGGTGGGCGTCCTTAGATGACGACAAGAATTTGAAGAAGGAAAAGAGGAGGCCGGCAAGGGAGTGGTGGAAGGAAGAGTACTGCGAGGAGCTTTCAAGGAAAAAGAAGAAGAAGAAGAAGAAACAAGAGCAAGGGTCTGTGAGTGATGACGGTTACAGCCAGCATTGGTGGGAGAGGGATGACGACATGTATTCAGACAAAAAGAAGAGGAGGAATCACAGTAGGAAGAGCAGCAAGAGTAGTATGGATTGGTGGTTGGATGGGTTTAGCGGTGACCTGTGGAGAGCTCGAAGGAACAGTTTTGACTCTGTTAGTGGAGAGATACCTAAGAGTGGTGGTGTCAGCAGTACACCTAGTATGAGGGGAACTGTTTGTTACGTGGCTCCAGAGTATGGCGCTAGTGGCGATCTGTCTGAAAAATGTGATGTTTATAGCTATGGTGTTCTCTTATTAGTTCTTATTGCTGGTCGTAGGCCACTTGAAGTGACTGGCTCGCCCATGTCAGAATTTCAGCGAGCAAATCTTCTATCTTGGGCACGGCATCTTGCCCGAGCTGGAAAACTTCTTGATCTTGTAGATCAGTCTGTACATTCTTTGGATAGAGAACAAGCTATACTATGTATTACGGTAGCCTTGCTTTGCCTTCAAAAGTCTCCTGCTCGCCGGCCCTCGATGAAAGAGGTGGTTGGGATCCTCTCAGGAGAGTTGGGATCTCCGAAGTTGCCCATTGAATTCTCACCTTCACCCCCCTCGCGATTACCATACAAGTCTCACAAAAGGGTTCGGTGAGCTTCTAAATTGGCTGCAATTTTCCTTGTTCATTCATAGGCTTCTTTTGGTGATCTTTACGCCATTTTAAATTATGTAAAGCTAGAGAGAAGATGCCATTAGACAGCGCAACCATGTCATCTAACAATAATCTTGTATGATGCCCTATCTAACTTCAAAAGTCCTTGTATATAGAAAGTGTACGTTTTCTTTATCCTTCACACATCAATTTCAGGAAAGCTGGCCCTTAGGTGCTTTGAGTTTATAATGGTGATAATAATATCCAGTTTTTTGTTCTCATTATACCAGCAGTGCAAGGCACTGCTACCGTTTAGAGTGAAAGTGATGTCTAAAGAGAACTTGTGTAAACATTCATGGACACTTCGAGTTACGATTACTTCTCTTCTTAAGGCTAGTTGCACACCTTTACATTTCCATGTTATTGGTCAATCGTAGATGTAGAGAGATAAAAGACGAATCTCAGACACTGTTACGTTGTAGAGGATATTTTTATGATTATGTTCTTGCAATTGTTATGAAGTGTTTTCTTAACTTTATTTTGCCTTGTGCCAATTGGTTGGCCTTCTAAACCATGGCCGGAGGAAAGGACAATGCTGTTTTTCAATATCAACTATTCTTGGCCGGAGTTGAATGTTGATATTTTCCTTCCGAAGCAAAATTTGCTGATTCTGAAACTTTTGGTTCTGTAATGAACTGTATTTTTTCTGTTGTAAATCCTGTCTTACACATTTTACATATTGACGATGATCTTCTGATTTGATTGGTTATGTTAGAAAGAGTCAACTTTATTTAACAGGATTAACCGATTAAGCATGGATTCCACAGTTCACCTTAGATGAGCCTGAATCTCTGGCTCTTAATGCTGAACTTTTAGCGATCTGTTTTGTAATTCATGATTGATTTTATTTGTGCTTAGCATATACTCTCGCTCCAGATTTTTTTTTTTTTATTATTATTATTTTTTAAGTGTGCCTTTATAGACGCATGGGAGGGAGTATTGTGCTTGTCCTGGAAATCTCTAAGAAAATCTAGTCCGAGTGAGATTATATCCGGTTTACATTTTTAGCCTCATAAAACATACTACCTCCGTTTTTTTTAATATGTCGTATTAGGGTGAACCAAAAGTATTTTTTTTATTTGTCGCACTTCATTTGCAAGGCAACATTAAATATTTTATTTTTCAATTTCACTTTTTTCTCTCTCTACTTTTAATAACATATATTAATGACAACTACCTGTTCTTTAACTTTAATTTCAATTTTTTTAGAGTTTCAATACTTTAAAATAGGGATAATAAAGATAATATCTTTATAAATTAAATTATCAATTATTATTTTTTTAATAATTAAGCTGACCCTAAAGCAATAGATAAAAAAAACGGAGGTAGTAGTTGATGGTTCTTCCCGCAAACAACCGCAGCAAACTTTTTTTGGTGTGTAATAATGTTTGATTTTGTTTTTTAGTTGGGAATTTAAAATATATATATATATATATATACATATATATATTTTGAAAATGGAAATGTAAAATATTGGTTATAAATCAATTAAAATGAACCTAATGAATGATCTTTTTTTCTGTGATTGTTAATGATAAATGAGTGGACAAGCCAATTTTGCTTCCCTTAAATTTTTGGGGCAGGAGTTCAAAACTGGAACTTGGCCCAGCCCAAATATTCTACTTTACTTGGTGCAGCCCAGGTAAACCCGAACTCTTTTTTTCTTTTTTTGGTTACAACAGGTAAACCCGAACTCTGTCGTTGCCTCCCGGTAAGTTTTTGATCGGAGGAAAATGCGGGACTACAGCTTTTGTATTTACTAGATTTAGGATTTCGGGGTATAGAGAGTTAAAAATTTAAAAATATTCACATTAATTACAAAATGATGGTTTAATATATGCAAAAAGCAAAATTATTAAACTCGCATATAAATGAAGAAGAGGTGGATGAAACGAAACGAAATGTATTGAAAATAAAAAAAAAACTATTAATTGAAGGCACGTTAAAAATAAAATAAAATAAAATTTAAAAGGGTAAAAAAAAAAGAAAGAGGAAATTAAATAATTGATGTTGCTTTGAAATTCTAAAACTATTTATTATATTTCGACAAACTCTGCTTATGTAAAGAAAGTTTTGAGTCGCACACTAGACAAAAAAATAAATGAAGAAGCGGAGTGTGTTGTGAGCACATGCGAATACTAAATTATAAACACGTGGGATTTGGATTGCTCAAGAACTAGGAAAAAAGGTCTCGACTACTTTCTAACTTCTCAGTTTACGAGGAGAAGAGCTAGCCTTTGATCATTTATGGGTTATGGCTTGAATTTAAATGGTAGTCTTATTCAAAAGACATAAATGGAGGTATTATGTCCGAGGTTTTGGGGACCAGACTGGCTGATTTTCTTCTTTGAAAAATGGAAAAAGAAACCTTAGTGAAAAGTGAAAACTACTCATCCCTCCATTTGAGGGATTCACAAATAGATGTCGCTGGAGAGATTTCACAAAGTTTAAAAAGGTAATAATTATCTTGTTAAAATACTATAATATTCTCATTTATTCTTAATTCAATTATAGTTCCAATAGAATTCAGTACGAATACAATTCTACATTAAACATCACTACAATTTTCAATGTAAGGGTAATATTAGAAAAAATTGACAAAATATGTTTCAATTTGTGAGAACGATATCTATTTTGAAATATTTATTTTTTACTCTAACGACATTTATTTGTGAATGGAGAGAGTAATAAAGAGAGTCTCTAGTGGTGTGGTAGCCTAAATTTTTGTCTGAATGATATTTGTGCTCCAACCACGTCTCTTCAATTTTGTCCATTCATTTTTAACGGTATGAATGATTTCAGTTTGTTCATTATTACTCCTTCCTGAGTTTTCCTTTGATCGATCACAAGTGAGTGAATGAAATACTACTATGGTAAGTGACTGGAAGAAAGGATGCCCACGTACGTGGAGGATTAGGTTAAAACTCATTCTTCCGTCACTTCACATTAATCACCATACTGGTCCATTTATAGTAGCTCTGGTTAACTAATTTAATGACTTGTTGGACCTTCTTTTTTAATTTTTAATTTCTTTCTAGTCTCTTTTTTCTTTTTAAATTACGAGCGTTGTGTTGGTAGGCTAATGCAGCTCCTTTCTGTCTTTAGGGCCAGTCTAGTGTCTCCAATCCATTGTTGGGGTCAATGTGATTTGTGACCCGTTTTCCCCATTTCTATAAATGGTCAACAGTCGGTGTAAATGTTACTGCATAACCAAATGAAACCGTATACTCCTTCCGTCCCATAATTATTGTCTAATTTGAGTTTTTATTTTTAGTTCAAATTGTACTCAAAGTGAAATCTCAAACTGGACAATAATTTTGGAATAAAGGGAGTATTATTTCTGTTTCTAACCATATATTAGAGTTTTGAAATGTGTATTATTTTATATACATATTTTAATGTGATTTTTTTTTTTGACAAAGGAAATATAATTTAAGCATTCCACTGTTAACAACATAAATAGGTTTTATGCATTATTACAAAATACAAACAATCATCATAAGGTTTTTGGGAATGATTGGTGGGTATTTTATATATAGTTGGACTAGTAGTTCTTCTGGTCTAATAAAGACCGCGGAACTGGCATGAGATTCTGAATTTATTCAGAGAGTACTCGGTTTAGTGAGGGTGATAATGATGTTCTTTGTCAATCAGTACTAATCATTATAGATATTCAATAATTCACGAAAAAGAAAACTGAACTAATACTAGTAATCTGAAAACTTGGACAGATACATAAAAGACTTTTCAACTCCAAAATCTCACCTAGCCTCCTTGCCTTGACCACCCTACTCCAATCCTTTTTCCCTCAAACTACTAAATAAAGTCCATCTATCCCATAAGTAAGGAGATTAGAAGCGCATAGTCCCACTAATAACACACAATTATGTCAGACTATAATCTTTTTTCCTATTATACTATTTTAACTTATTCACTTCTTCTAGATTCCTAGCTGGAAAAGAGAAAAAGAGAGTTCTTTTCACTAGTTAGGATTAACATTTAATTTGATTCTCCTCAAGTTATTTTTTAAGATTTTTTTTTTTTTTATTAAGAGCACTATCAAAAACGTTACTGATTGTAAACTATCCATAGGGTCGGGAAAATAAATATCGCGTAGAAATAGACCCAAAAAGAAAAACAAGTAAAAAACCAACACATCCAGGTTTCAATGTACCTTTTCTATCACAATATGATAAATATGATAGTAATATATTTTGGATTTTTTAGTTTTTATATAATTTAAACTGAATATAAAAATTCAATTTAGACAATTATTTAAAGACAGGAGAGTTATTATTAATGAATCAACGATGAGACAAAGGAAGCATTACTGATATCAGAAAATTTCGTGATTCCAATTATTTATATATACACACACGCCATTCTGAAAGGAATTTTTTTTCTTTTTCTTTTTTTCCCCCCTTAGCTTAAATTGTAAGAAGTTGCGTAAAACTTAGTTATTAGATGAGAGTAATATGTGAATGGAAGATATAAATATTCCATTTCGTCTTTTATCTGACGTATACTAGTAAGAATCTTATTTAATAAGTTAAAAATAATGCAAGAAAGTTGACATGAGTTACGATGATATCAAATTGAATTTTGTAGCAATAAACAATGCATCATGCATGATGCAACACCCAATATAATGAACACCTGCATACCCGATAATGAGTTGAAGAGCCATTGGGAAATAGCTTAGCAACTTCATAACTGGTGCTGGCGTGCTGCACCATATTCAGTATAAAGCCTTGAAATCAACTTTAATACCCTTTTGTTTTTCATAGTAGGTAATTTCAAATTTGTTAGAATAATGATAGTTTTGATGAAAATTATTGGAGAAAAGTCAAAATAAATGATATGGTTGGATCTAAAAATTGTAAACCTAATCTAATTAATTAAATGGATGATCTATCCACATAAATGAAAGTTAGAGAAGTAATCCACACTATATAGTAACTCAGGCGTATTAAGCCACATCTGACATTCCGAATTAGGGCATCAAAAGTGGTCTTATTACAAAATAACGTGTAAAAGAGTAAGTAAACAGAAGGAAATGCCAAACTTCAGCCGAAAATATTCAGCATAAGTAGATTTTGGCCATTTACTTCACATACAAAATGAGCTGACTGAAACAAGTCGACATCTCTCCCTGGTCCACTTACGTTAGAAATGGTCAAACTATAATTACTTTCCTCTCAATACGAATTACAACAGATGACAATCTGCAGCAATGATCAATAGAGTTAGCGAGCAAATTATTGATGGTCAAATCCTGGTTCGGTATAGATGAAGGCAAATCCCGATTGCAGCGAGTCAACGGTCGTCTAGGATGGAGATCTGCAAGATAAGAGTTAGTACTCCGATGCCAAAGTCAATATAGTGAGAGAAAATAATCAAAATACACAAGATAGAGTAAGGAATCTGAATTAATCCTTTAAAATAAATGTCTTAGGATATAAATAGAACACAATTCAGAATGTGTTCAAAATAGAGACCCATATGGGGTCCAAGATTATCATGGGCTTTGGTCTTCTCTTTACGGCCCAAATATCCATCCATAACCATCTGTGGGGGGAATGGGCACTATCAGGTATAGAGACGCTCTTGCTTAGCTTATTCACGTAAGTCCAGATAAGATCAATAAGACCCTCTCTCTCTGCTCCATAGGGAAAAAGAAAGAAGAAGAAAAAGAAATAATTGAAGTTTCCTTTTACGTTTTCATATGTTAGGTAACTTTACATAAAGAGTAGGGTAGTATCAGAGAGTAGAGTATTCAGACCTATTTCCTGTCTTCATTAGTAAAGGTAAAGAGCATTAAGTCCTCCCGGCTCCTCTAGATAAGATAGAACAGAAAACCGTGTCTCCTCCCGCGCTGGTGTGAACACATTGGGCTCCATGGAGTTGTATTTTCCCAAGTATACATAACGACATTCATAGTCGTAATTATTCATTTCAAACCCCTAGTGAATTTTAATTTTAGTTGAACACTGGTGGGCTTGAATACGAATACTTTACAATTTTTTAAATAATTTACATTAATAATACTCCCATGTCTCAAATAAATAATCAACTTAATTGTGTTATTTTAATTTAACAAGGTGGATTATTTTTCTGATATTGAGGGAGTACACAGTTAAATGAACTCATTGGTCGCAGAAATTGTGATTAAACTGCATCCATTTCAGTTTAGATGATGAATAATAAATTAGACGGTATGAATAACTTGACAAGGTGTATGTCCCTTTACTGATAATTCAATAAAAATGATTAATGGATTCTAGTTTTTTTTTCAATCTTAACGTAAAACCAATTTACAATTGATAGCACACAATTTTTAAGCAGGCATTGATTTGTGAAAATATGTCGCGGTCTATTGTATTGTATCCAAAAGAAAATGATAGCTTCTTTTTCCATGTTATTCTCTATTTCACTTTTGGAACACGATTTGGTCGGGAGCTTCACCTACATAATGTAATATAAGTTAGAATCTTAAATTCCTACCTCCTTTATAAAATGTGTATAATATAAGGAGACGAATTTGATTTCATCCTAGTCTCTTATCTTTACCAATTGCCAAAACAATTACAGATTAATAGACTGTATGCGAGTTTTAAGTGTCTGAAGAAAATACTTTGTATTTATGTAGTACATCTTCTATCTCAAAAAAAAAAAGTTCATGTTGAGATTTGAAATTTGTATTAGTAGTATAAATTGCAAAACTTAGAGTATTTTTTTGGAGACAGAAGGAGTGATTTCTTTCTACTAGTACTATTTATAGGGGGGGGGGGGAAGAGTAAATTTTAGCGGTAATTCTTTGTACCATACAAATACGACCTGAGGAAGTAGACTGTAGATAAAAAAATAAAATAAGGAGCAAAATCAAGTGATAGTGTCGTCAGGGCAGCAGGTGCAGCCAGGTAAAAGTGGCAAGAGTTTGTATTGTTCTTTTGTTTATGAGAGAACCAAAAAAAAAGGATATATTATGTAGAGAGAGAAATATTAGGGGTGAAGAGGGGATCAAGATCAGGAAGAGGAGGCCCATTGAAGATCTCTTCAGAGATTAATTAACAAACATATCTTGTTGCCTGCCCGGCCCAGCTACCAGTAATTGATGTACTTAGGAATAATACAAGAGAGAGAGAGAGAGAGAGAGGAGTATAGTATAGTAGTACTAGTAGTAGTAGAGTAATCCGGAAATCGCAGGGAGAGGTTGAAGAAGAAGATTTGGGCGATCTTCTTCTTCATCTTCTGGGAGAGGCCTTAAAAAAAAAAGAAAAAAAAAGAGAGAAGATGTATACTTTACAGCAGAGGTATGAGCTGGAGGAGAACCAAATCCAAATCCACCAACCCGACCAAATCTCCCCAAATCTGTCCACCCATGAAACCACCACTCTTCCCCTAATTAATAGTAGTAGAAGCCGTACATCTACTGATGATGATCTGGGAAAGAAGCTTCAGCAGAATCGGGGGAGATCCTCTTTTCAGCAACCCATCAAGAACAATAATAGAGTACAACAAGAAGAGGATGAAGCCAAACAAAATAAGCGAATCCAGCATAGAGATATTGAGAGGCAAAGGCGGCAAGAAATGGCCTCCCTCTATGCTTCTCTCAGATCCCTCCTCCCACTTGAATATGTCAAGGTGTGTAACCCCCTCCCCCCCTATCTTTTCCATTTTGGTAATTTTGTTCTCTATTATTTCTCCTTTCTTTTGACTTTATAATGAATAATAATAGTACGTGAATTTCCCATTGACCTTTAGCTTGAGATCGACTCCGTCATTAATTTGCTCTATTAGCTAGCTAGTTTGGTTTTTTTGATTTCAAGATTTTTGAGGGCCGGGGTCTTCATTTTTGGTTTCATTAGGGAAAGCGGGCGGTGTGTGATCACATGCAGGAGGCCGTGAATTACATCAAATGCTTGCAAACCAATATCATTCAGCTTCAGGCTAAGCGAGACCGGCTGCTGACCACCACCACCACCACCCACATTCATTCTTCCACTACTACTGCTGCTAGTTTGCGGAGTTCCCGGAATGTTGGAAATACTGCAAGCAACACTAGCTGTTGTATTCCCGTACGCACGACAGATATCTCGGTCATCCCTTGTACCGGCGGCGGCCTGGAGATATTGATCAGCACCAGACCAAAACAGGCCCAATTCCCACTCTCCAGAGTCCTCAAACTCCTACTCTCTCATGGCCTGGATGTTGTTTCCTGTGTTTCCACCACAGTCCACGACCTCAAACTCCACAAGATTCACTCCCAGCTCCAGGTACGTATACCACCACATCAGGGTTTTTCTCTCCATTTTTTTCTTTTTTTTTTTTTTTTAAAAAGGTAACTTAGCCCCATTCATTAAAACCGTACATAACCCCTGCAGGTTACTGACGGCGGTGATCAGTCCAATATTGACATAATGGAACTGCAGCAAAAGTTGACGAATTTGGTTAGCCCGCCCACAATGTCTTGACTAATATTTTCTTCATCTTTTTATTTAATCGTACGGGGTTAATAACAGCTTTGGATATTGGTGACATGACAGTTTCAGATCACTAGATAACACACTCTCTCGTATGCATTCTTCCTCCCCAATTCCATCATCTTCTTCTGTCAAAGGATGCTAGTGATTCGTTTAGCCATAAAGCTCGAATTAAAAAGGATATTCTAGCTGCTGTTTTTGATTGTTTGCGCCATTTCTTTTGCTTGATTCTTGTTCTTTGTCCATCCCCCAACCCCTTAACACCCCCCCACACACACACGCACACACTGTGGGTTTTACTTTTAACGGTAACTTTTCTTCTCCTCCTAATATTACGCATCTAATGTCCAAATATTTTACTTCAGTTAATTCGGATTCAATCCTAGTTAATCTCTTTAGCATTTGAGAAACATGCATCAGTCATGATGTAAATTAGTTGACTATCACAGAGTTACCTTGTTCGGTGTGGGTTTTTTTTTTTTTTCCTTTTTTCTTTTTGATGAACAATTGTTGAAGAAAGCTACAATTCAGGAAGATGAGGTAGTCTATGAATGTTTCTGGTCCATCACTGCTGCCAACTTGTAATTAATCGTAAAATCAAGTTGATCAATTATTTTCCAGCTTGTGGTAAAATATACATGTGCAGTTGCCAGTTGTTTTTGTTGTTATATCAGACTTCATTCAAGTTGGCTGTTGAACTTCAATATATATACCTGACAGGCTGATGAAATGCTAGAGGGTGAAAAAAAGAAGAAGGAAGGGATATATATAAAGCCTATTAATTAGGTAGGATAACCCTGAAGCCCCTATCTGGCCGGGTCAAGTAGAAATTAATTTCAATGTGATATATGTCCGCATAGATAAGTCTATCTTCTATTTTTGTACCAAAAGCTGATCTAACTACACATTAACAGCTCACGGTTTTAGAATGGACTAGTAATGCATCTCATCATTCATATCTTTTGGATTTATGCTAGGTTGGCTGATTTTATGAAATGGAAAACTTAGCATACAGAAATGTGACCAGCTAGCTATATTCCTGAAAATTTTCATGCAAGCTTTCTATTGCAGTTGTAATATTTTGGAGATAACCTTTACTCCTTCTGTGCCAAAATTATTGTCCAGTTTGAGATTTCATTTTTAGTAAAAATGAAAACTCAAACTGGGTAATAATTATGGGACTGAGGAAGTATATGGTAAGGAAGGATTGTTTAATACGATAAAGGAAAAGTTATATCCTGTCCATTTCATTTTAATAATCCGTTTTGTTGAACTGGAAGGTAGGAATATTTGTTTATGCATCATTTGAGATTCTGATCTTCTTATCTCTTATCTCCTGAATTGGAGATTTTGATTGTTTCCTTGTAGTTAAACAAATGTATAAACTGCTTAAAGATATAAGTCAAACCAATTTAAGTTTTGATTGCTCATCGTTACATGCTCACTATTTAGTATATCATCATCAATGGAAAAATAACTAGAAGTTTTAAGCTATTCATGATAAGTTTAACCTCTTTTTTTTTTTTTTTTTCCCGTTTTGGGTGCAATGAAGTAAGTAGTATTCCATGGATGATTGCGTACATAATTTCGAGAATATAGCTAGGAAAATTCAGAATAAGTTGTATATTATTGGGGGAGGGGAGGCATTGATTTTGTCTCTAATTGTATCATTAGTAGTTTTGAATGTTTTGGTTTCATTATCAGAAATGATAAAAAAAAAAAACTACAAGCAGGAAGCCCTTCATAGGGTTTTGGTTTTTGGATGATTAATTAGCAAAGTACATGTGATTGAAAGGAATTCTGGCCTAGGAAACAAGTCGAGAGAATTTCAATATTAAACCCAACAAGTAAGTAGGAACTTAATTCAACTTAAATTTGAAGATGATAAGTTTTTTAGTACTTATTAAGTTTTGTTTATTACTCTTAGATATCGATATGAGATTGTCTAACCCCACTCATCACATCAACAATCTCTCGGTCATAAGTAACTTACCACATGAAGCCCAATTTCATTCTTTGTTGCAATCGCACCACAATCCCAACTCTATTCTAAGTCGGAAAGAAAACAACTTTCTGAATACAGATTTGCATGAGTCAATAAGGTGCACAACTCTCAAACACCCAAATAACTTCACTTGGCTAGCTAACTTTCAGTTTTGATACCAATTGTTAGAAAAACTGGCAAAAATTAGAGAAAAATGAAATGAGAAATAAATCAGAGTATAAGATTTATGTAATCCGGTTAATTTGACCTATGTCCACACAAGCAAAAAGAGAGAAATCTTATTGATTAGTAAAGTTGCTTCAGAAGAAAAGTACATCAACCCTGCGACTACCCTTATATTAATTCATATAGAATACAAGAATAGCTTAATCTCAAAAGTAATAGGAAATCAAACCTAACAGCTAGTAAAATTAAAAAAAAAAAAAAAAACTCCTAAAGCTAAATAGGTATAGAAAACGTGTCCAAAACTAATTCCTAATAAAGAATTCCAGGCAAAATATACAGTGACGTTTCCATACCATAATGTAATTAAGTTCTTCGTGTTCTAATTATTTTGTGGAGCTAGTCACATGTATTTTCTTGTCTGCAGAACATCAGATTCTAATAATTATAATGATCTCTTCCGTGAAATTCATGATGAAGATGGCATCGTTCCCCGATCGAAAGGCGTTGAACCTCTGAATTGTCGAAAGTATATATTCTCTTCGATGCAGTAAGGAAGTGGCCTGGGATCTGTTGGTTAAGTTTCAGGCCTTCGATCCGGTTTTCAACTAAAATGCTTTCACGAGGATAATGATGAGGAACCAAATTAGTCTTCGTATTAATTGGGTTAACAAGTAACCTTAATATGCACGGAAGCAGCAAATCATATATATTGATATATGCTGGACAATTTACTAGTACAATAAATTGATATGACTTAAGATATTAAGATTGTTTGATTCTGTGTCACCAAATTAAGTTTAAGGTTATTCCAGAGTCAACACCGACCAAGTGGGAACATAAAACTAATGTCTGCATTTGTTGAACAGGGAGATACTACATTTTTTTTAATTTATTAAATTGTAAGAAACAACACCCTTAAAAAAAAAAAAAAACAAAAAGAGGTTGCAGAATGCAAACACCTAACCCAATCAGCATCATCGTATTCGTCATATAAACCCATCGGGGAACAAACTAATACTTTAACTCAAGTTTTTAGCTGTGTCCTCTCACAAGAGAATCATGATCATGCATTAGATGACGATACTTGTGTTTTTATATATGATTAATAATGGAGATTCTCGGATCATTAATATACTAGTTTCGGATCATAAAAGAAGTACTAGTTTTGCAGTACCTTCTCTTTCTTATCCCTGAGCTGGGAATGAACTCCTAAAACAATTAATTTGGGTCATTACCTAATCAAAGATTTTGAAGATCGCTGGGGAAGATTATATATATATATATATATATATATATATATATATATATATATCAACACGCAACAGCACTTGCAAGGATTTATTAGTAATAAACCTAATAAACAATGACTTAGCTTTCGATTCCTATCATCTCAGAAGGACTCTTTTTTAATAATGTACTAAAATAATTATTGGTTCTCCCACTGAAAGTACAATTGAATAAATCGAATACTTTAATTGTCCAACTCTTAAGAAAGAAATTAGGAAAACTTAATTCCTAGAATCAGACAAGGGATATACTACCCTTCATGATCATGATGTATAAGAAACATGCAGTGTTTTTTTTGTCTTTTTTTTCCCCTACGAGGCTTGTTTTTTGAGTTACACAATATGATTTTAACACACAGTCAATTTAAAAGGAGTATTGAGTGCTTTACATTTCCTTATGACGTTTGAGATGTAAATTTATAGATACTCCGTCCATTTTAATATTATATACCCTCCATCCAAAAATTATTGTTCAGTTTAGATATTCATTTTTAGTATAAATTGAATTAAAATTGAAAATTAAACCTAGGCAATAATTTTGTGACATATGGAGTATGACATTTGTGATTGTAATACGTATTTGAACGGATTGTCTTACATGGATTCAAATCAATTCCTCAAAAGAGAAAACCAGAAGGCAAGACGGGAAACTATACGATCGAAGCCTTTGTTTGGCTTGGACGACACTTGAACAAACAGTTAGTTAACCATCAAAATTAACCATTTGAATTTCATTTTTTTCAGAATTTATTTATGTAGTACGTACTCAATTAGTAATTTGAACAGTTGTATATTCATTATTTTAGTGGTTAATTTTTCCAGAGAATATGAGCAAGCATTATGGCCAGTTCTTTTTTTTTTTAATGAACAAAAACCACAGAATATGGCTAGTACAGTACTTATTAATGAACAAATGATGGACCTTTAGGGATTGAAAGGGGACCGGCAATTGATTTTGCTCAACCAAACAAAAACCACATCCACATCTGGCTAATAAATCCTTTCCGGTAAGTGGCCCTCATAGACAACATTTATGTTTTTCCTTGGTACTTATGTTTTTTCCCTTACAAATTCTTGGTTCATTAAACATACAATTATTAGAGACACATCCTGTAACATTGGGGACATTAAACTGGATCCTTTGACGTGTTGGATTTTGCCTTCGTTTTCATACAGAACCATTGCGTTGTCTCAATATCTGCCCTAGAAAAGAAACCAGCAGCAGTCAGGAACCTGATTAGCCAAGGCCGCCATTTGCTGTTCGAAATCCTCCAAATTAAATCTGATGGACCCTCTCATTTTGACGACGAATTTAAGATCACATCAATAAGAAGACCTTAATAGATACAATTGGGTTGGGGGGGGGGACGTCAACAAGTTTTTTTTTTTTTGTAACAATTTTATGCTACCATTTTTGTAACATTAATTAGTTAAAAAAAATTTATGCATGTTTAATTAATCCAAATTAGTCGCAACAAAGATTTTAAACACTGGGTGCGTAATATACCAAAAAAAAATTTATTTGTTAACTAAGATTCATTTACCATTTGATTAATGACTCAATATACTAAAAATGAAAACATACGTCTATTTTTTAACAAATATTACAGAAAACCTAACATAAAATTGATCATTTGCCTTCTGGCATATATGCTTCCATCAAATGAACAATCAAGTATTGCATATACATCAAAACGCAGGACCCGGCTGCCTGCCTCATATAAAGTCGATCCAGCCCTAAAAAACTATTCAGAATCAGTACTTCAAACAACAAGTACTAATGCGTGAAATCAATTATAATAAGGATTCAGTCAATTTCCCGTTCTCAACGGCGCCGCAACCACAAATTAACAAAGTGCCAAAAAGAATACGCAAATGATGATGTCATCCTTAGGGTAAAAAGAAAATGGAAAGTAAAGTGAAACAGGGGGAAAATTAAATAAAAAATTGAAAGGATAAAGGCAACATCGTGGTCTCATAACTCATAATGGGAGTTGGTCCGGTGGGGTGGCATGGGGGAGACAGTGTGTTCACTAATTTCTTATATGAAAACTTTTTTTTTTTCTTTTAACTAATTGTAATAATGTTGCTGATCATGTATTTAAAAATGATAATAATATTTATATTTAAAATAATGTTGCCCCATGAACGAACATTAAACAAATATTGTCTCGATGTTGCTTGTCAGGAAGGAAGATACACCATCCGCCTAATATCTTCAATAATAAGAGTCATATACATCAAATTAGATATAATCAAACCCGTAGCAAATGCAATTTATAATTTCCCTATCGTTATAGTGTTTCCTCCGACTAATATTGATAGTTCTCTTTACTTTACCAGTATGATAAAAGGTGTACAAGTTTGGAACCAAAATTGTTTTTAGGTTATTTTCAAATTCCATATGTTTTTTTTTTTAAAAAAAAAAAAGAAGAGAAGAAAACACACACATACGCACACAGCATAATTACATCAATCTAGGTTGTTAGCACGCACTGCATCTTGTTTTCTTGGTAGAATTTAGTCGATAAAAACTAAATACGTGTACGGAGGAATTATACAATCAAAGAGTAGTTGATGGATTACAGTAAACTATTCACACTATCCCTTAGTTTTTTATTTTTTTTATTTTTTTAAATATAAGACTTGTACTGTCACTTGCTTATAGTAAACTTATAGCAATCATTACAATTTTAACTATTAACTATTAAGAATGTCATTATTGGACAGGAAGCTTCCTTGAGAGAGAGTTTTAATTATATCACCAGCTCTAGTGTTTATTGGCTGTTGACATCAAAAGCATCTTTAAGTAGACAAAGCACAATATTAATTGGACTTCGGTAAAATTAATTAAGATAAATTATTGACGTAATAAAATCAAGCATCCATAAGTCTTTAACCTCCATGAGCTACACCTTTTCTCTATATCATCGATAGTACTACTGTCGGCGTGCATATATATACAGTAGACTAAGTAAACATATTTATACTAAATAATTAGTATTATTTGCTTCAGTTCAAACTGTTCTTTGAGTTAAGCTGTCAGCACATTAGATTTTCCACATGGTTTGTTTTTCATGTCAAATACTAATTTGTCTCTCTCCATAATTTCAACCCTCTAAATTGATTATTGCAAGTAATTTATTAGATTATTAATAACTATGCATGTTGCTTTTGTTATGCCCGTGCGAGGAGCATACGTGGCGGACCTGGTCAATGTTTGTGACAGGATTGTCAACCTCTCTAGAAAAATTAGTAACCACAGGTTCTATATATATTTTTTAAGCAAAGGGCCGACATAAATGAGTATTTCATCAATATTTCATGGAGAAGTCATTTCAATCTATAGGACAAACACACATGGTTAATTACAATTGATCCGGGGGTGAAGGGAAAAAAAGAAAAAAAGAAAAAAAGCAAGGTGGAAGAGCTTGTCGAACGATTTTGGGAGGGACTTGGAAAGAATTTTCATCTGATAATTGGAAGTGTCTCGTAGCTTTCATGTCTCATTAATTTACGTGTGGTTGATCACTTAAACTATAAATATGATAGTTACAAACAAACCCAAGTTGCAATTATACACAATTCCATCTACGTATTAAGAAAAACAAAATGACCATAATTTAAAACCTTTGCGCAACTACTTCTGACTACTATAAAGAAGCGCTAAACGCAAGCCTCTTTTACTTCATAAATTAATGGCATTCAGAATTCATCCCTATTGACAAAACGCTGATACATGTCTACATGATTATCCAAGAACGAAAAGAAAAGTGTCACTTCATGCTGCTTAATATTAAGCCAGTCGACATCTTTTATATATCCAATAATAATCAAATGGATAGAGTGAATTGGACGATGGATGAATTATTTTAATATAATAAAGACCCCAAAATATAACTATTTTATTAGTCATATACGTATTCTTGTTGTATATGACATTGAACTGCTGACATTATTTGTGTAGGTAAAGGAAGTTGGACCCTCCTCTCCCAGGTGTGAACTAAACATCTCCCTGGATTTCGTTGTGCACGCACAGTGACCTAAAACCTTTAAAAATGTTTAAATAAGTGGCCGGTGAGAAGCCTTTCATGAATAACTTAAATTTTTATACAATACTCTATTATAGCATTAAAAAAATACATTGTAATCTATTTGTTTATAAAGATATTGGCAGGAATCCGGCCGGGGGTATCCTTAGGCGAGGCCCATATAAGATTTCATTTCCATCCATTAATTTACCCTAACCAATCTTATTTGATCTTCCTAGCTACTCCATATCTCCATCTCTCATTTTATCATATCATATATACTTACTATATATATTTGCACTAACCGCTCCAGATTTAGGAATCTATACTTGCCAAAAAAAAGTAAAAACCAGTTTTGTCTGAACATGGATGATTTTAATTCCTTGATTCCTTGGTACCAAGATGATGACCCTTTTCTTTTTCAAGATACAAACATCCCAAATCTTCCCTACCCAGATCAAACAACTTTTCCAGATCTAAAAAATCATCATGTGCTTTCTTCTGATTGTTCAGTACCCATGATTAGTACTACTACTACTTCACCTACCTTTGGGGAGAGCGATCTACAGGTTGTAACCACCACTGCCACTACTTCTAGCGCCCCTTCCTCCTCCGCCAACAAAAAGGGGAAAAGGCTGCGAAAACCCGCAAATACGGATCCAGACAATGACAATGAGACCCCGGTTGATCTGGACCATAAAAGGGCTCTTCATAGGGATATTGAGCGTCAAAGGAGACAAGAAATGGCTAATCTTTATGCTTCTCTCAGGATGCTGCTCCCTCTTGAGTACATAAAGGTGATGAATTTTTTAGTATTCAATTGTATATATATATATATATATATATATATATATATATATATATATATTCCATATATGAGGTTAGTTAATAGCTATAGTAGGGCTAACTAAAGATGTATGGAGTTGATGATATTGTCGCAGGGAAAGCGCGCAACGACGGACCATATTCATCAGGCAGTGAACTACATCAAACACATGGAGGGCAAGATTAAGGAGCTTGAAGTGAAGAGAAACAAGCTGAGGCAATTGCCTGGTGAAAACGGACAAATTAATGTTGCCGATGAGGCCAGAAGCCGTGCTTTATCTAATGTAGCATTCACTGTCAGATCTTGCTCCGGTGGAGGAGTTGAGATTCTCATGAATTGTGATCCGGGTGATGATTGCTTTCCCTTGTCAAAGGTGCTGAAAGTGATACTTAATGAAGGCCTTAACGTTGTTAACTGCACGTACACCAAAGTCGATCGAAACTTTCATTGTACAATCCAGACTGATGTTGAGGTTATTATTAGTTATTACTGAAAATAGATACTTTCTTCATTAATCCAATGAACCCTTACTAGTATTAGATTAGATTAATTTCTTTTTTTGCTGATTAATTACTTCGTTTGTAATTCATTGTTGGTTTTAGGGAGACAGTCAGATGAACGACAGTGATCTAAGTTCCCTTCAACAAAAGCTGAATGCCAAAGTTCTTGATTGGAAGTGGTTGGGACATAGCTCTCCGAGTGCCTGAATTAATAGTCAGATCCGCACGTTCCATTCGTAATGCAGACATTAGGGATATTGCGAATGTCTTTCCCGAACTTGGAGGTTTTAAATGGACTTAAAGAACGTATCTTGCATGTTCATCGAGGTATCCGTTTTGAAGTTCTTGATAAGGCAATTAAATAAGTACATTAACTCCACACGATTCTGAAAGATGAACTTATTTTCTTGGTTGAGTTGCTTCTTTCTAGATACTGATTCTTTTTTTTTTTTTTGTTGAACGAAGGATAGATACTGATTCTTTCATATTATGTCTGTCACTTTTTACCATGTTGGAATTACGTTTAATGAACATGATTCATCCTGTACCACCCTTTCAGTAATAGAGTGACTTGACAATTCATGAGATTTTGTTACGCACGTCTGAAATGTTAAGGATATGTGGCGTCCTTCTTCGATATAGAGTACTTCAGCTGCAATTTAGGTTCTATCTTTACCAACAAGTCTAAGACTGGTGGACAAGTATATCTGGTCTTTGTATCGGTAGCTAGCAAGCATTAAATTGGTTGCTGCTAAATTGTATGCACTACTCGTTCCGATTCTGCTTCTTTTCCCCCTCCCAGCATAAATCCATATTTTTCAAAAAAAAAAAAAAAAAGCATAAATCCATCAAAAAGAGGCACAAATCATCAACATGATTTAAAAGATACTCATGTAACAACAAGTCTTTCTCAGTTCTTTGAATGCTCGCCAATATGCTTGACTTATTCCTTTGATTTTACTTTAACACACAAGCTAGCGTAAATATCAGGCTCCATTCCCAAACGACTGAACCTATATATGTTTTTTTGGCTAATTTTATTTTATTTTTTTAATGGAATTTGTGAATGTACATATTCTGTGTGTAAATTATTCTTCAAAAATTCTTTAGACCATTTTAGGGTGCATGCAACCTGAAGTGTAGTGGCATTGGCATGCATGTATTGCTACTTGTCTGAGTTTTCTCTCTCTTTTTTAAAATTTTTTTTACCTCATTCCCGTTTTTGCATAATTGCATTAACAATAATCCTTTTGTCTATTAATCTTTACTTTCATTTTCTAGTATAAATAATATAGAATAAAAGAATAAATGCAGATTTGTTTCTCCTTTTTTCTTTATATTGGAAATGCAATCATAATCATGGATTTTATGTAGCAGTTGGCTCTATTTCATAAATTTTTTAATAATCAAAATCAAATTGTATGATGTTAGATGATTGATCCATGTTAAGGTTATCTTCTGCAATTCACACTCAGTTCGCTATTTTTCTCTCGCAGAAAATGTTAGTCACAAGGGGCAAGGAGGATACCAAATAAATAAATAAATAATGTATATATTTGCCTCTCATTTAATAGTCTTTTTTTTATTATTTTAATATAAAAACATTAATTACTTTCCCATTCTAAAATGCTTGTCAAGTTTAAATTTTTATTTTATTATAAATTATATTAAAAGTAAAAATTTAATTTAATAATTATTTTCGGACAAAAAGAATATAAATGTGAGTAGTTTTTTTTTTTTGTTTAGGCCCTTCATTCTAACCGGCTAACGGAGTGAAGTAGTGAGCCAAACAATGCTTGTTTGCATGGTTAGAAATGAAAGAACAAGAAGGGGAGGAAAATTCGCCAGAATAATTCGAGAAATATTCAGTATGTTTGGTTTGTCAGCCATATACACTTTGCTATTCGTCAGCCTTTAAGATGATGAGTAATTATTTGTATTTTTTTATGCAAATTTAATATCAAATCTTACACACAAGCCCAAACGGAGAACATTGCATAAAATTGTTGTCGAACTAATTTATATGGAGAAAAAAATAGAATGGATATGTCTCCTTTCCGATACCCCGTTTCTTTTCAATTTACGAAAAAGAATTAGACCTCCCATATGTTTGTGATAAATGATCTTCATTTTAGTTTGTAACATGTGCCGAATCAACTGTGTGTCAACCATATTACAAAGGTGTTGAACGAGAAAATGTATCAAAACATATTCGTAAAACATGAGAAGTTGAAAAAAAAAAAGAAGGTAAAAAATGCGAAAACAAGATACTCCCTCTGTCCCAAAATTATTGTCCAATTTGAAATTTCATTTTTAGTATAATTTAAATTAGAAATGAAAACTCAAACTGGACAATAATTATGGGACGGAGGGAGTACTATTTTGGTGGAGGCAAAGTCATTTGTATAAAATCCCAACAAAAAAGTCATTTGTATGTAGTCCATACCGAGCAAAAATGTAACAAAGCGCAGGAGCAGTGAGATAGGCCTACAATAATACTAGTTGTGACTCAAAAAATACTTTATATTATTCATTGTATTTAAAATCTCTCCTTCCAAAAAATAACATATGTCTCAAATTTATGTGAATTGTTGTTTGGAAACAGAGAAAATACTGCTCCCTCTGTCCCAAAATGATTGTCCAGTTTGAAATTTCACTTTTAATACATTTTGTACTAAAAAAGAAAACTCAAACTGGATAATAATTATGGGACGGAGGGAGTATAATTTATTATTTATCATGTAAAATATTTTTGTGCCATAAATTGAAGTTTTTGTGGTCGGGGTTGGAGCAACAGCAAACCCCATGAAATGCAAAGGAACCATCTTTCTTCAGGTCGGAAAGGGAACCATTATTCAAATGGTGGGCTGGAGAATCAGAGATTAAAGTTGGATATAAGATCTGCTTTTGATGTGTTCTCTAGCTGTAAGAGGCCACCAAACAACTCCATATTACCGGAAAGGGACTCAGTTTTTTAATGTGATTCTTTGCCGTAAATGCTACAGTTAACCACTATAAAAATAACAATCCATTTCATTGCATCAATATTCTTTCTATGAACCAACCCCCCTTTTGTTTTCTTAAAAGAAGAAGAGGAATATATAATGATAACAAAATAAAGAAAGAACTGATAAAAGGGGGGAACTGATTGATGATGTTAACACCAGAACAATAATGATCAGTAAACTGAATTTAATTTTTTAACTACAGGTGTAACACAAAAGTATCATTAAAAGATATCACATATAATATCATTTATATTTCAAATGTAATTTTCTTTCAGTTTTGAATGATTAACTTCAAATCAGGTTTCCTTGGTTGAAATGTTTGGCACTATTACCAGTCCTCCTGTCCTGGTAGAAGGATTTCCTGATTCGTATCCAAAACTAATCTTTAATGTTTTTGCTATGGGCCTAATTGGTAGCCAAGTTAGAAGAAGTACCCTTAATAAGAAATGTGTGAACCTACAAGGATCATTGATCCTGACCCACACCAAATAACTGGCTACTGATGACCAATTATCCTGGAGACCCATTTTCTGACACCTGTGTGTTTCTGAAGAATTCTGGGTATCCACCAAATGTCTCATAACAAATGCAAAAAGAATAATAATAATAATAATAATAATAATAATAATAATAACAACAATAATAATAATAATGATGATGATGATGATAATAATAAATAAAAAATCACGACATTAAATACTCGCATTTTTCTTTAAGCATGTAATAGCCTAAATGCAAAAATAAAAAAGCAAAGTTAAATAATGTAAATAGCCTTAAATCATTGGTTATTTACCTCTGTTTGGATCGATTATATTTATCGAATTGAATAAAATATTAGTTAATAATGCAACCAAGTGAGAGACTAGAGCAACTAGATACTAATTTATATATCTTTATAAGCTATATAAATAAATAAATAAATATGTTGTGGCAGTTCTAATTAAACTGTTGGAATGGGTCAAATAGTGAATAGTCAGCAGCTTAATTAAGGAGGCGATTTGTCATCAAATTTTATTTTAATTGACCTTTGACGTAACGGGTTCCCGGAGATATGCAGCGGCCTGCCCTGCAGGACTATTAAAATGGCTAGCTTTCAAGTTCAACTGAAATTTCTTTAAACAATTGCCGAAATTGATTCATCTTCCCGGTTACCCTCTTCCCCACTCAAACTTGGGAAGGTTCTCCTACATTACAAAGATCATGTCACTTAGCAATATATACTTTCTCTGACCCTATTTATTATAAGCACAATTTTAATAATAAAGTTAGTTCAAATTTGCGTGTTATAATTAAAAACGAAATGAATACAATTTAATTCACTCTCTTATAAATTGTGCATCCCCTCTACAATTTACAAAATGTATCGTGAATATCAAACTGAGCGCAAAAGAATGAATGGGAATGATCCACCAAATTTCTAATCCAATAGGCAGTAATCACTACCCTTTGGAGATGATGTTTTAATAATTGGTAACCATAGGTGATTCAGTCAAGTGAATGCAATTCAAAAGATATATAGATACTGATTAGTTGTTTGTTTGTACGTCAGTTTTGTTTTCATTTTCAATTTGAATGTAGATAGTATTTTAAGTGAAAAATATAATGGAAGATGAAAAAGTTATTTAAATACTTCTTCCGTTTCAAAATAAGCGTTGTTTTAGCAAAATGAAAAAATTTCAAAATAAGTATCGTTCTCACATTTCAATGCACTTTTTGTCCAAAATTTCCAAAATTATCCCTGAAAGAATTAATACTATTGGTGGACATTTTTTTAATGGGGTTGGTTGAGGTTATTCAAGTAATTTTATTACCCTATTTAAGAGTTTCTTAAACTATGTGCAAAGTGTAGGACGACACTTATTTTGGAATGGAGGGAGTAACATTTTAGCAAAAAAGTTATTTGGATGGTAGTTGAGAAATTTTTTTTTGGACTATGTATTGAAATATAAGTACGAAAAACATCACTAAATAATTGAAAAGTGTTAATTTTAACTTTTGTTTCTTTCCTTTTCTTGATCGTATTTTCAAATTAAATTATTCTTAATTGTCTTATTCCATCATACCCTAAAAACACACACTAAAAAAATACACTAAACACACACTTTTTACATTTTCAATACAAAAAAATACATAAAAACACACACTAAAAAAATGATACAAACAAACCCTTAGTTAGTGTAAAAAAAAAAAATTCAAAAATGATCACTAAACAACTGAAAAGTGTCGATTTTGGTCACTATAAAATGATCACTAAAATCACATAATAGTTTCTAAAATTAATATTTTACAGTGACCAAAATCGACACTTTTCCGTCGTTTAGTGATCATTTTTGAATTTTTTTTACAGTGTTTAAAATTGACACTTTTTTATTGTTTAATGATATTTGTCGTACTTGATATTTCAATACATATTCCAAAAAACTTTTTCCTAATCACCATCTGATTGGGCCTCGATTTTTTGACTAGAGCCAAACTGAAATAAATGTGCAAAGTTTTGGATTTAGTCACTGAACTAATTTTAGTTCAAAAATAGTTATTGCACTAACAAAATGTCTCAAATTTGATTTTAAAATGTAAATTAGAAAGTTGTTTGGATGTCAGTTTGATTTGTATTGGATTTTGTGTTTAAGAGCCAAAATGAGTGAACATCCAAACAAGATATCCTAAAATCAAATTTAACAGCTCTTTGGGATAAAAAATCAAAGTTATGATAAATTAATAATTTATTGGGCACTAACAAGAATTAATTGATGGTGATATGAGAATCATGAGTTTCTAGAACCTAAATAGGTGTATCTATATCGGTTATATGCCTTTTACGGTTTGTCAATCCCGCTGTCTCTAATTCTGGAAAGAAGGGGACATCATTCATCAAGGACCAAGTAGTACTCCTCCTCTTAATCCTACGTCGATCACGGACAAAATGATAGAGAATTAACTTACACCGCTGGTAAATTCTTTCGCACAAATTAAAATATCCCCGCTAACTGGTTCTTGCACACAGAAGAACTGTACTGCTGATTGAATTGAGTAAGCATTTTTTATTTTTTTTTTCATTATTTTTACAGCTTGCTAGCTAGCTAGTACGCCAAATAGTATGTGGGAAAATATTTAACATGCGCAACCAAAAGTAAAAAATAAAACATCCACACAATAAAAACAAAAAAGGATAGAAACGATTAGAATTAAGTGGTTAGGTTGATTAATTGTCCGATACGTAGATCACTTTGGAGAAAAGGTTGTACAACCACAATTATTTATCAGGTGATTACATACCCTAGATCTTTTCTTCTTCTTCTTTTTTTTTTTTTTTAATTATCAACAATATGGAAAAAGAAAATCATTTTCAGAGGACTAGTTATTACATCAATGATGTCCAAGAAGCTTGACTAGCATGCAAGGACTAGGTCAGCACAGAACCAGCCTCATGCGAATTAAAAAGGTCAGACATAATATTTCGGCTTCTTCCATATAACCCAAAGGGTTTTTTGCATCCACCTTAACCCACTGGCTTCCATCTTCCCATCTTGACCGGCACTACTTCAGCTAGCTAGCCTCTCTTGCCGCCACTAGATCTCGATTCAAGTGGTAAAATTAGTTTCAGAAGCTGAATAATATTCATTGGACTAGATATTAATTAATATCCCGGCAAATAAACATGCTCTGGAGATGCTTCTGTTTCTCCGCCAAAGAAGACTCTCTCAACATCGATAGGTAGGTATTCAATTTGTGTCTCTTCCGGAAGCACCCATTGTTTTTCCATTCTTCATAGCTGGTGGAAATCGGTTTAGTTTGTAATTAGTATGTTACTTAAATTGTCTCGTGATTAACATTTTTTTTCCCTTTTTTGTTTGTTGTTGTTTTCTATTCACCGCAGTGGAAAGAAGAAAAGGGATTACCCGTGGGAGATATATACCCTGAAGGAACTTCTTCATGCTACAAACAATTTCCATGAAGATAACAAGATTGGAGAAGGCGGATTTGGCAGCGTTTACTGGGGTCGAACTACTAAAGGCGGTGAGGCATGTATACTAACATATATTTCTCCTCCTCCTTTAATGTTTGCCTACTTGATTTTGTACTTTTCAAATCTAGGTAACTATGTAGAGACTTTCTACTTGATTTACTTTGGTGAATTAAACTTGGTTATGCGTTGATGATATATGATTAAAATTAACAGATCGCGGTCAAACGGTTGAAGGCAATGAGTGCCAAAGCAGAAATGGAATTTGCAGTTGAAGTGGAGATACTTGGTCGGGTGAGACATAAGAATTTGCTTAGTCTAAGAGGATTTTATGCCGGCGGGGAAGAGCGGCTAATCGTATATGATTACATGCCCAACTACAGCTTACTCACTCATTTACACGGTAAACGCGCTCCCGATCTGCTTCTAGATTGGCCTCGTCGAATGAGCATAGCCACCGGATCCGCTGAAGGAATTGCGTAAGCTACCAACTTATTACTCTTTTCGTCCCAAAATTATTGTTCAGTTTAGATTTTCAGTTGCAAATCAATTTGTACTAAAATGAAAATTCAAACTGGACAATAATATTGGGACGGAGAGAGTACATTAATTCTTTCCTTTAGTACTTTCTTTTTGTTACAAACAAAAAGATATATAGTGTAATAAGTACTTGGAAAAATTTCCAAATAACGTATGATGTTAATATGTTGGCATCGTGAATTCTCAGGTATTTGCATCATGAGGCTACTCCTCACATTATACACAGGGACATTAAGGCCAGCAATGTACTTCTAGATTCGAATTTCGTAGCAAAAGTTGCCGATTTTGGGTTCGCGAAACTTATACCGGAAGGTGTGACACACGTAACAACTAGAGTGAAGGGAACATTGGGATATTTGGCACCGGAATACGCAATGTGGGGGAAAGTTTCCGAGAGTTGCGACGTTTATAGTTTTGGGATATTGCTCCTTGAAATCATCAGTGCTAGAAAGCCATTGGAAAAACTCCCCGGTGGGGTGAAGCGTGACATTGTGCAATGGGCCACCCCATATGTACAAAAGGGAGCATTTGATCAGATCGCTGATCCGAGGCTCAAGGGCAAATTCGACCGCGATCAGTTAAAAGCAGTTGTTATGATTGCCATGAGGTGTACAGATAAGAATCCCGATAACCGGCCGTCCATGTTGGAAGTGGTAGATTGGCTCAAGGGTAGTAGCTTCAGAATTGGGAGTAAAAACCAGATTAAACTTGGCCAAAAAGTTGTTGATGAATCGGAGGAAGAGGACGATCAGGACGAGGACGAATCTGATGTGTTTGGAATGGACAAATCCACCAGAGGAATGAAGGGTTTTGATCCCTTTCGAGCAGCAACAGGGAAGAAGTAACAATAATTTATTGCTTCAAATTTTTCTTTAATTTTGAGGTGCCTAACGAAATTCCATTGATATAAAATAGTTCAAAATCTTTAATTATGAATGGAAATCAATAAAATCTTGGATGGAATTAATGTAAAGAAATGTTCCGTTCAAGAATTGTTGTTTTTGGTTGTGACTGTGAATTTTGTCCGACACCCTCCAGACCGGTAGTTTGGACATACAAATGCTACCTAGTATATATCCATTATGCTATAGGGAACAAACTCACCGGCCTTGGAGGTTTCAATTCATGCATGTGTTTTAGTGTAAAGTATATACAGAGTTTAGAGGATTTTTTTTTTCTCTATGTTTTGGCCTTTTTGTTTTTATATTGGAATATTGTAGATGTAAACTAGTATTTTGACGGTTTCAATCGCATTTCGCTTTCTAACTTCTCAAGGGTTTATTTATTCTATACTATGAGCTTTGACTTATGTTCATGATTTTTGATGTTTTCTACATTCATTTTGATGATTATACTATTGAAGCTTTGATGTACATTCTCTGTTGCCACGCAATCCGGCTTCTTGCACATCACTTTCCTATATTAATTGCCTTTTTCAATCCAAATCCGACGGCCAAATTTGCTGTCTTTGGTGACAATTGACATTGGAATAATTTTATCTATTCCACACATCAATGGATTATTTATTTAGGTTTAAAGTAAATTATTCTTCATAAACGGCTGTAAGTAGGGAATTTGTTTCATATGCATTATCAGTGCGAATGTCTTATTCTTTATTCATTCATAACTTATAATAAACACATTATCTCAGTTCGTCTAATATTACTCTCTCCGTCCCAAAAATAAATAGTTCACATTAAAAAAAATTTGTATTAAAAGCAGTATAAAATTCCAAACTTACTGTGAACTATTTTTTTGGGACGGAGAAAGAAGAGCCAGAGGTACACCTCATCGTAACAATGACATGCATTAGACTATTTCTCCAATTCACAGCCCAGATTAGACAAGAAAATGGGTCCATTGATTAGTAGAAGAAAACTCAAATTTAACATTCCATCCGAATCAGTCTCTTGTTTTTTACTTGTCCAGTATGGGTGGACCGTGGAAGATCAACTGACGAAACACATAGATAAAAATTAAAAATACTCTTAAAGATAATATTGTTTCCTAAAAGAGATCTATTCAGTTCAATTCTAAGTTCATTAGGGTAGTGGTATTGATTTTTGAACAACGGGTGAAATACGTAAAAAGAAAAACGAAAAAAAAAGAAGAAGAAGGTGTAAATAGCTAGCCGGCAATGCCCTTAATTACTCATTCCAAAGAAAGCAACGAGTTTATGTATGTCGCACGTATAAACAATACATGTTTGAAGAAACTGGTTAAAGACTTCCTTCTTTTTGGCATTTAAAAGCTAAAAGTATATCACATTTGCGTGTTCAGAAGTAAAATTGCGTATTCTTGAAGACCTGCAGTCCAAATGATATAAAAACATTATTCATATTATCATATACTGAAAGTTAATCCTCGATTGAGAGTCCTACACATATCAAAACCGCCCAACTATGTGTGACTTAAATACTCATTCTGATCATACTTATAAAACACACATTAACATTAAAATCAATTCAACTCTGTGTCTTATAATTAAATAAGAATACATGTACCTTAGTTTCAGATTTTATTTTTTTAATTTTTTTTAAACGCTTACCATTAGAATGTTAGTGACATGTGACCGCATGTCAGGTAAAAATATTTTCTATTGTATTTTTTAAAATGCGAGTTATGGTTATAGGACATAATGATTACATATTTAACGCAAATCAAATTTCGCAGTGAATTATTTTGCATCTTTAGTTGCTACTATTACAGGAGGATTGCACTTACTTGATATGTCACCATTAATTATTAAATCTTGATTAGAACATGATGTGATTGGAATTTCTTATTTACGGTAAGAATTTCGTACTAATACAGTTGTCTCCTTCATTGAAAAAATGATTACTATTGTTTTTATTATTTTTTACGTCGTGTACGCGAATATGTTGTTCTTGACTTCTTGTCTGCTCACATACACTTCTAGAATTTGGAGGCCCTGATCTCACACCCATTCTGGGCCATTCACAACAAGGCTATTCCAGCCCACGATAATCATCTTGACGTTCCCATTTCCAATACATACCCCACTAATATCTCGACATTCAAATGTAAGGTCATTACCAATGAATGATTTGCAAATGGTTATCCATTTTGCACGAGGCAACATGATTTTGGCGAATATTAATACTATATGTTAAACCTGCGCAATATGCGGGTATATATATTAATTATTAAGATTGTGTAAGGTGTATATATTAATTATTAAGATTTTGAATAAAAGAAAATACAATACATAAATAAATTATATATTTACTCCTAGAATCAAAATATTAAAAGTGAGAGTACAAAGATTGAAATATTGGATAATTGTTTTAGTCAATAAACATATATTGTTAATTGTCATTGTAATGTATTTATTTTAAAAAAATTACCAATTATAAATTGTGAATGCAAAATTAATTTTACTGGGGCAATTTCTTAATCATGTATAATTATGAGTACTTTGTTTGATATTACACAAAATTATTTATTTTTTGGTTAATAGAATAATGCCACATAGGATTTTTTCCTATGTAGCACTCTAGGAGAGATCAACTAGTTTCTCTATCTGGTTTCTCTATTATATATAACTACTATAGATAGATAGATTGATGTATCCTTTCCATCTCATAGTATTGATGTATATTGACGAATTCTATTTTTTCTAATGTAAAATTAATGTGTTAAAGTAAAAACTCTAAATTAGACTCTTATTTTAAGACAAAGGTTTTTTTTAAAAAAAAACATGGCCTTAAAAAACCATTAAACAAGAAAGCCTCCTTCAGTCAATTGCTTAGAGCCAATAATAATAGCTTGTAGTGAGTAGTGAATAGGAAATGAATTTGTTATCCAGTCTGGTCTCATTTTTCCAGCCCCGCGGCATGACACAGTGCTAAACTGCTAATATGAAGTTATTCAAGCAAGGCTAACCCGGCCGGCAGCTCTATCGGCGGCTGATCAGTGTTGCAAAGTCTACTGCAGCTACTTCTATAGGGACCAATGTACGTAATGTTTGTGTGTGTGTGTGTGTGTGTTTTTTTTTTTTTGGGGGATGATTAAGGATTGAAATATGTTTTAACTTTACGCGGACAATAATTTGCTGCCATTGATCTAATAAAAATGATTCTCCAGTTTAGTGTATTAGATAACACATCAAAACTGCTCCGATTATTCTAAAATGATTCTTATTTTTATTATGTTTAATAATATATCAAATATGATCATTATTTTAGGACAAACAATTTATAAATTTAAAACTAAGAGTAAAAAAAGTTCAAATGGTCCCTTATATTTGAATATACTTGATTTTACGTTCCTAACAGTAATTGTAGTCCCAAACATTATGTTTTCATACTTTTTTTTGTCTCATTTCACTGTTTTTGCCACTTTTCCGTCCACCTCGATGTTGACCGGCAGTTGACATGTTGGAATCAGGAGTATTTTTGTCTTTTAATATAATTTAAACTTTCATTAAAATTTAAATCATTAAAAATATTATAAAAATTTATATTTAATTATTTAATTGTTGAAATATTATTTTAAAATTTAAATTATTTTCAAAGTTATTTTTTTCTTTACCATTTATCTTAGGTACAAAGTAAATATTAATTATGTTGCACGTTTAACCCCAGTCCACTGTAATTCTAAAAATTTACAGGGTCATAATAAATAATTCAAAATTTAAATTTAAAAAAAAAACAAAAACCGAGATTTTTGACTTTCATCACTACAATAAACCTTGAATTATTTCTAAAATTTTACTGCACTATAGTAATTAACTCAAAATTTAATTTTAATAAAAAAAGTAAAAAAATTGTGGGGTGAAAATCCAGATAAAAAATGATTTATTTAAGATTTTTGGCTTAGTTATTAATTTGAATTAGAGATATAATTTAAAATGTGATTTTAATAAAAATTCAAAAAATCGTTAGAATAGTATTTCAAACAAAATAATATTATTTTTACACCACCACTTCCACACCTCCACAGCCGCTGCCCGCCGCCGACCACCCACTGACACCGCGGGGCCGCTGCAGGCCGACTGGATTCTGGCATGATCCCGGTGACTTGGCCAGAATTTGGCCAGAATCCGGTCGGCCGGTCGGTGACCCAGCGGGGGCAGTGGGTGTTTCGACGGCCGGTGGCTGCGGTGACAGTAAGGAGGTGATGGTGTAAAAATAATATTATTTTATTTAAAATAATATCTCAATAACTTTTTGAATTTTCACTACAACTGCATTTTAAATTATATATACAATTCATACGAAAAATTAAAATAAAATATTTTTTTATCCGAATTTTTGTCCCCTCAATTTTCTTCCGTTTTGGCCCGCTGGATTTTTTTACTTTGGCCGAATAAAAAATTGGATGGTGAAAATTCGGATAAAAAGTTTAGTTTGCTTTTCCTTTTGCTTTAAAAAGAATTGAATTTTGAATTAGTTATTGTAACGTGGTAAAATTTTAGAGTGATATGGGGTTAAGAATGAAATGTAATTAATATTTATTTTGTATCCAGCATAAATGATAAATCAAAAGAGAGTAATTTTTTAAAATAATTGTAAATTTTAAATTTTTTAATAATATTTTAAATTAATGAATAATATTTTAATAATTAAATGTGAATTTTATAGTATTTTTAATGATTTAAATTTCAATGAAAGTTCAAATTATTATAAAAGGACAAAAATACCCCTCATTCTGGCAAGTCAACTACCGATCAACATCGAGATAGACAGAAAAGTGGCTGAAACAGTGAAATGAGACCAAAAAAAATGTGTGAAAACATAATGTTTGGGATCACGATATTAAAATGTTAATTTTAAAGATGTAAAATCAAGTAAACCCAAATGTAAGGGACCATTTGAACATTTTACTCTAAACCTAATTTCACATATCTCTACCTAACGATAAAAAATAACATGAAGTAAAATAAAATGTGCTCGATCTTCATGCATGTTGGCTAAACGGTGGCTTTTTTTGTATTAGAGTAAACCAAAATTATCAATTGTTCGAAATTACACATTCCCCTCATTTCATAAAGTAGTTCACTTGATAGTGCTATGTTAGTTCAATAGAATAAATTATTTTGATTTAGTAAAATGAATTATTATTATTAATATTTTTGGGGACGGGAAAAGATATATATTTCGTTTACATACACGTATTATTATATGTTTCACGCAGTGTTATAAAAACTACTCTTTTTGTCTCATAATTATTGTCCAGTTTTGAATTTCACCTTTAATACAATTTGAACTAAAACTAAAAATCTAAACTGAACAATAATTTTGGGACGGAGTGAGTAATAAGCTTACTTTGTTTGGTTTGGCAACACGTCTCGCAAAGAAGTTAGGATCGTATACTTATTAAGAAGTAAATGGGATTTATGTGTCAATAGAAATCATAGCAAAGCCTGAATCAACAACCTCGAGGGTTTCAGGCCGCGAGGGGATGGATCATTGAACCATTTGAGTTGGAAAATCACGAGAGAGAGGAAACACAAAAGGTTGCAAAATCGCTGTTGATAAAAGGAAGAGCTCAGGAGCCAGAAGTTAATAAAGTTTGTGAAAGCTGGTCATATAAATAAGTATATAACAGATCGGCACCAATATAAAAACAAAATGCCGGCAAGGTGGTGAGGGGATTAGGGTACCCACAGACCATAGGCTGGCTGGACTATATAACATTAGATTATCATAATGAGCTGCTGCCCTCAATGGTGCCCAGACCACAGACCATCTTTTTTCTATCATCAGTAGTAACCAAAACATTATTGGCAGAATCAAAAAGCTCCATCACTCGTTGATAGTTAATGGCAATGCATGTATTTAACCATACTGAGTTTTAGTAACATTAAAAAAACTAGAGGCCTGTGAGTTTGAGAAAAGAGAAGAGTACTGTTCACAATGACGGAACCAGCCCCGTATATTTACAGAGTCGACTGTAACTAAAAATTTTTTTCTTCAAAAGATATAGAAAAATCTAAAAGTACTTTTTCAAAACATTTGCCGCCGCTGGGCCGACGGACCCCTCTTGCTTCCCCTAGGTCCGTCCCTGACTGTTCGCTTATTACTCTGTGGTAGAGAGATATATACAGAAGAAGAAGAAGAAAAGTAGAGTAATACTAAAAACGAGAAGGAGACATAATCAGCTGTTCTCTGCTGGGATCTGGGAAGCCTACCCCTCTTTCTGTATTGTTTAAAGACGTGTATCGCCGACCTATTGTGCTCTAGGCCTCTCAAGTAGACCAAACTCATCAAGTACCCCTATCTATGCCTACGTACTCTATTTACTTCTGTGTCTATTTACATTACTACATCATTAATTAATTGGTTCATAATACTCATATTATGCAAATCTTTCATATTTATTGTCATCGATCCTTTTCCATATATTATTTCAGTTATTTATTCCAAAATTACATATAACCTAAGAGTATTGTTATTAGTCTTTTCAAATCTAAAAAAATGTTGTAATGGGCAATATGGGCGTGGAGATGATGTTTTATGGTCCAAGCGAATTAACTGTACCAACTTGCACCCCCATCAACTCAAGAAGGAGAATCCAAAAACCAAAAATAGAACAACTTGCTTGTATTTTGCACGTTGCGGGTCAATAGTTTTGCAGATCAGCATTCTGTCCAACAACCATGGTAGTAGGGATCGCAGTTATTAAGCCAGGAAAGTACTCCATAAATTATCAGAGGATCGAATTAATGATGATGTGGCCTGTAGGAAGTGTGGTACATCTATTTAACTTTAATTATTGGTGAATCTTTATTATTATTTTTTTTTGGGACAAAATAAAAGGGTGTTTGCCTAAATATGGGATGATATAAGAAGGGCCTAAAAAATCTCCTAAATCCAGTTGACATAAGACAATAAAAAAATCTGTCATGAAATTTGCCTCTCCAAACCCATGAAATCTGATTCCATCTTGCTCTTCAACCTCCCAAACTTCCCACACGACAATGATAATAAGTACACTACAAATTAGGAATGGCATTATTGGAAACTTATGGCTGAATGTTGACATATATTTTTTGGTAAACCGTTGAGGAAGCACTACAGTGATACTCTATGCGAAAAACAATGGTGGGAAATCTATATACAGTTCCATTAAATTTTTAGAGAGATAGTGGACATCTAATTTATAGTCTGTGTATGAACAAAACCCGAGAAAGCACTAGGACAAAACCATTATTTGGTGTAGTTAAAGAGAGCTAACATTACATTATACACTCTCCCGGCTTTATCCATGCCGGGCGGCGTTTTCCTATTTTTTATTTTAGCCTTTGCTGTCTCACGGCCACAAAAGATCGAGGGTTATGTTTGTGAATCACAATTCACAACTCAGTTTGTTACTGAAAATGAGTGTCTGAATCAGTAGTAGCAGCTGTAGCTTCCGCAGGGGGAACAACCATGGATTTGAAATGTCCACATCTAACACTCTGCCGCCAACAAAATGAAAAATAAAAAAAATACAGTTTAAGCCATCTTTTGTTAATCTGTTTCTTTTTTCCTTGTACTTGGCAGAACCAAAAGCCGGAAGCTAGGTCTTTTTTTTCTTTCTTTTTTTTTTTTGGGACAATCAAACATCACATGAATGGATTCATCATGCTTACAAACACCATTCACGAAGGGGCTTTGCAACTTGCAATGCATGCATGTCTTTTTAGCCACTAATTTTTTTTTTCTCAATTTGTATTTAATTTGGAGCCCTGAGTGTTGTTGTTTCAGGTACAATCATTAATTGTAATAGAATATATTTACATGATCACTTTCGCTGACTATACATATTCTCTATCGTTTTCCAAGTACTTAAGTAGACTATACACCGTATAATTCTAATATACTACGTACTCCCCAGTCTTTAAAGATAATAGTAGTCACTTTCTCTATTTATTTGCTGCAGCAGAAAAGTGTTTCTAAGTTTGGCTAAATTGACAAGTCTTAATCACAGCAGGTTCCACAATCTCGACTTTTCCATCTCTGGTGTTTTTCATTGTACGTTTTAAGCTTGGCTTTTTATGCTTTCACCTTCTGTATTCCAACGAAATCAAAATATTTCAACCTTATCATCACTACTTTCCCTTCCTTTTAATCGAAATGCTCAAGATTTTCACTTTCATCCCTTTGCTTTAGCTTCTGAAAAGTAAGCCTATATCAGTCTCATTTATACTCTCTTCATTTTTCACCACTCTTCCCCTTCCAACATACTCACTATCAGCTAATAATAACACACTCACTATATAAGTTTAGTATGGTTTATGTAGTCAATAGCCAAACAGTTACAAAGCACTTCCAATATTTCCTACATGACAACCAACCAAGTTGAAATGGAACCAAGCCAAACAGTTGCTCTCTTGTTCTGTATTTTCCGTCACTCCCTAGGGATTTTCCACTGCTCTAACTAGTAGAGGTAGATTTCTGTCTTTTAATTCGGGCCCATAAAACCCACCCCCAAAAGATGAGCGACAGCAGAGAAGATTCCAAGCTACAACATTTATCCTCACCAACTCCTCCTCCCGATGACCCCGGTCAAATCCATCAAGACCCGACCCAACAAACACCGCCGCCCCCGCCCGGTGCTCCTCCTCCCGCCTTTCTTTCCTCTGCTCCTACTTTGTTCAACATTCCCAACACTGGCTTTGACCAGCCACCGTTTGAAGCCGCGAGTTCAAAGAGACCAAGATACACTGCCGCACAATGGAAGCAGCTTTCACCCTCCACCTCCAAACCACATCAACAACATCAAAACAACAAGACTCCCACAAATATTCTGATGATTACAGAATCATCTCCGACATCACAACCGCCACCGCCACAGCCACAAACTCGCATTGTTCCGGCAGCTTCATCTTCAGACACCGCCTCTTCACCTTCTCATTCTCCCCGACCATCTCACTCAGTGGCCTCAACCCACCAACAATTTCGAAAGGGCAAATACGTCAGCCCCGTTTGGAAACCTAACGAGATGCTGTGGCTTGCTAGGGCATGGAGGGTCCAGTACCAAGGCGGAGTCGGGTCGGAAGGGGAAGGACCCGGAACCGTGACACCGTCAAGAGGGAAGACAAGGGCTGATAAAGACAGAGAAGTTGCTGAATTTCTAAACAGGCATGGGGTAGAGAGGGATGCAAAGACTGCCGGGACCAAATGGGACAACATGTTAGGAGAATTCAGAAAGGTTTATGAGTGGGAGAAAGGTGGGGAGAAGGATCAAGTCGGCAAGAGTTATTTCCGGCTTTCTCCATATGAAAGGAAGCTTCACAGATTACCTGCTTCATTTGATGAGGAGGTGTTTGAAGAGCTGTCCCAATTCATGGGCTCCAGAATGAGAACCCCTCAAAGTAGAGTCGTTTCCCCCATTGTCTCGGCCGCCGCCGGTGGTGAAGATGTTCGACCCATTGTCCCCTCGGCTAAATCATTGCTTCCTCCTCCCTTTTACCGGGACGAAGACCTTCCAATTTCAGGTATGCATGCATTACATTATTTTCCTCTTTGATGATAATTAATATCCGTTTTGATTATATATTAGGGTATTGAATGGGATCATCATTTATTCTGCAGCAAGGGGGAAGCAGATTGTGATGACAAGTAGTACTGGTGGGGACCCGTTTGGGTGTGGAAGTAGAGGAGGAGGAAGTTTATTAGGGTTTGAGTCTTCGTTGGACGTGCTTGGTGGTGCTTCGTCTGGGTCTGTATTTTCGAGGGAAGTTCGTAGAATTGGTAAGGTGAGAATGATATGGGAAGAATCAGTGAGCTTATGGGGTGAAGAAGGAGATCCTCACAGAGGACGAGTGAAGTTGCAAGGATGTAGCTTTCTAAATGCTGATGAAGTTGCTTTCTTGGATGATTCAATGGTTGCTTGTACAATGGAAGCCTTTGAAGATGGACCTCTAAAAGGCTTCTCTGTGGATAGATTCCTTCCTGGTCAACAAGTCAAAGTTTTTGGCAGAAGGAAATCTCTCTCTGTTTCTGTTCCCGCTCCTCCGCCTACTGGTATATACGTATATTATTTTTTTTGCCTTGATTTGAACACCATGGATGATTATTACTCATTCCAAGAATGATATATTGTCTTTAATCTATTCCCTCATTAATCTCAGGACCCGGTGATAAACCTCAACATCATTCTGCCGAGCCATCTTCCTCTCTCAGATGTGAGTCAAGTACTCCCAAGTTGTGTGTTTTTGGTTCATCTAGTTAGTTACGTTAACAATTTATTTTTCGCATTTTGTTATTCATGAACACAACTAATAAATTAATGACATGTTAATAAAGCTAATCCGACATGGGAGTTTCAAGATCCGACTGATTATTACCTGGGATGCTTGCGAGCTCCCCCATCTACACTGCCAAGCTTGTTTGAACTATCTTGGCACATACAAGAGCCTCCACCTGAGGAGTTTCGTTTCCCACTGAGGAGAGATGTGTACAAAGATTTGCCCCAAGGGAAAGAGCTTTTTTTCACTACTTGTTGTGAACTCTTGCTGGATTGCAGAGGGATCACATATGATATTATAAGCCCCATCTTGAAGCAAAACCCTAGTCTTAGTGGTGCAACGGCCACCACCAGAGACTCCTTCATCGGCATGTGGGATGATTGCATCAATAGAATCGTATCGAAATTCTGTTGTACGGAGATGGTGATTGTTCGGAAAAATAGTTCTCCAATGGCGGAAACAATTCAGGATGAGTGGCCACATGTGTGTGGCTTTTCAAGGAATTTCTGCCTGTGGAGAGGAGAAGAAACGGATCAATTAAGGGAAGGTCACGTTGACCCATCTTCTTCAATAGTGGAAAAGCTCTTATGGACTTACACCGACTTGCCTTACATTTTAGGCTACTATGCAGTTGGCTACATTGTAACATTTTGTGCTATCAGCCGATCCCAAGACCGAATCATCAGAACCGACCTTTACACCGTTGACCTTTCGAACCCAACAGAGAGACTCAAAGCCCTAGTCCCTTGTTGGAGGATTGCAGGAATCCTGCCTTTGTTAGCTGACCAATGCGTAACTAGCTCAAACAATAACAAGCAACCACTTCCTTACAGTGATTTTGAAAGAATTGATTTGGGCGGATGTAACATTTTGGAAATGACTCCAAATACAACCACCAAATTCTTCTCAAGCAAACGGAGATGGGCCGCGGTCAAAGAAATCTACGACTTCCTCGATCAAAGGATTCCACATGCTGAGTTTATGGTTCAATCGTCAGAGAAAGACTTGGGAATTGGGTTCAAGCCCAGAGGATGTAGAGTGAAGCCCACGAACTGCGATCAGCTGATAGAGGCTTTAAAACAAGTCACCAAAGCATTAGCGGGGTTGCATGATCTGTGCTTCATGCACAGAGATTTGAGTTGGGAGAAAATCGTGAAGAGATGCGACAGGGAAAACGAGTGGTTGGTAACCGGGTTCGAGGAGGCGACGGGGGCGCCGCAGATAGACCCACACGACGGAGGGGCGGCGGCGAGTGGGAGGAACGCGCCGGAGATGGGTCGAGGGTTGCACAGCGTGAAGGTGGATGTGTGGGGAGTAGGTCAGCTGATCAAGAGTAGCGGTTTGGTAAGCGTGCCAAAGATGCTAAGAGAGTTGCAGAACAGGTGTTTGGACCATAACCCGGAGCAGAGGCCAACGGCGGCAGACTGCTACCACCACCTGTTGCAGCTGCAGCAGCAGTCGTCAATGTCAACAGCCGCCGTTACAGCTGCTGGGGGAGTTTATTGAATGCCATTTTTAATTGACGCTAATAGTTTCATTCCAGTCGGTTTCATAATACTACTACTATATAGTAGAGTGTGTGAGTGCGTGTGCTTCTGCGTACACGATTATATATGTAAAAGTTGGGAGTACAATATTTTTGGCTTCAATTGCTGTATCAATAATCCTCCTTTTTTGACTGATGTGGGGCCAATTGTCTTCACGTTTGAGAGTTACGACTTTGTATTTACTGGTTGCCATTTAGAACTTTGAAGGAAACTACTAACCTCTGTGTGGTTTATGCATGTGATCCTATGATCCATCGGTGGTGCCGTTTCAAAGAGATCACATTTGTTATCATCTTTTTGAAATTGAATTTTCCCACCCCTTTTTCTTTTGGGTACAATTGGAGTTGATTTTTCATAATCGCAGAAACGTTATTAAGAGCTTTAGACAAAAATATTGTTCGTTAGCAGTAAGTATAACCCAAAATTCTCAATACGTTTTGAAGGGAGCGTCCTTATATATGAACTTAATCTATTGTGTCCATTGCCTCCATTGGTTTAATCAAAAGGATTGATATTGTTTCTGAAATGTCTGTGTTACTCCTTTGTACCAATATAATAATATCTAATCTAATCATCGCGTCCTGAAATTTGTTTTTGATATTTACCTTTTATGTCATTTCAGTCTTTCTTTGATACTCCCTCTGTCTCAAAATTATTGTCCAGTTTGATATTTCACTTTTAGTACAATTTGAACTAAAAATGAAAACTTAAACTGAACAATAATCAAGAAACGGAGGGAGTACTACTCATAAGAAATGACAATAATTATCAAGTCTTCTACCTCACAAAGTACTTAAAAAATAATAATAAGTAATAAATTCGAATCGTTTCCACTAAAAAGTGAATACGATAAATGTTTTTTACAAGGGTCACAATTACTAGGAAGTGATAAAAAAAATTGTACAATTAATTACCGCAACAAGATTACTAGTGTAGACAGAAATTATTCATTATCGATCTTCGTCCTCCTATAGGCTATAATATATATATCCAGCGCATGTTTCTGGAGTGGATTTTCCAATTTTCAAACGCCCTTGTAGTCTTGTACAACGATTCTTCATGCATTATAGTTCTTTACTCTCAAGATGAAACTTTATCTCTTTTTCTTTAGTTAAGACAAATGATTTATGCATGTGATCCTTTCCATTTCATTTTACAATGGTTCCAAAACTATAATGACTCTTAAATTTTGTTGTTACAGTAAAGAAGTGTTCTTTCAATGAGAAATGTTTGGTGTAACTGTTGTATCATAATAGTAATTTTGGAAGGAAAATGATAAATTATACGATGAATTTTAACACCAAAGTAAAAGATGATAATACTTGTTACATTAAAATCAAGGATACAACATCTACATCTAATACTTTTTCCCTTTCTGGCTTCAATTTACCAGTTCAAAGTACGAAAGAACCTCTTGAATTATTAATGTAGTTGACAAAAATCATCTATCAACAAATGTACGGCGTAATCTATAAATGGGCCTAATACTGCGACAGTCGTCAGCAAAAAAAAAAAAAAAAAAAAAAAACCCGTTAGCATAAAGTTTTGTTAGGTCCAGCCTCGGTCATTCCTTTACAATTCAATTATTGTCGATCCGCATATCCTGAGCTAGTTATTTAATTTTAATTTTTTTTCCTCACCTTCCCAAAATGAAAAAACAGTACAAGTTCCTTCTGCGTTTAAACGTAATATTGGGGATTTTGTTCTTATTTTTTAATGTATGAAGTAGGCTTTACAAAGTCTAGTTACACAGCATCTCAGGGTGGGTAAAACATTATCACAGTAGATTCTAAACCCATAACGGGCTTCAGTTTGATTTATCTAATACCAATGTTTCTTTAGAGTGGGCCGAGTTTGAACTATCTAATATTGTACCAAGATTCTGTTAGTTTTAGTCGGAAGTGTTGACAAAAGATGCAAACACTTAAGCATTGGCATTCTGTATTAATTTCTTTATGGGAAAATTATTAAAAAAAGGCATTAGAAAGATTAAAATTATTTTCACGGGCATGGTATTTTTTATTTTTTTTGTTAATTTTTTAATTAAGAGATAATATTTTCTGTCCACCTAAAAGACAATTTAATCCTTCTTTACACCATTTCTTCCAAGTTTATCACCATTGATTCAGCCTAGAATTTTGAGTTCAATGGTTGCAAACCGTATCATCTCTTCTTATTTTCTCCTCTTAAACTTCGATTTTGCAATCTTAACTTTGAGTGTTAATGATAAAGACATGAACCTTAATTGGAGCCCTAATTTTTTCATAGAAAATCAATTAGCAGTCTCCGAAAATTCAACAAATTTCCCCTTAATCTGAAGCCATCAAATCATGTTAACATTTACTGGTAAAATTCCCATTTCAATATGTTAATCTTCTTGAATATTATTTATGATTTTCGTTGGTTGTTTAAGTGTGGAATTTTGGTTAGATAACAAAAAGAGATACTAAAAATCATTGATGCTTTCGAATTAGTTCAATTCAATGGTTCTTTTGCTATTGATATTATCATTGTGCAGACTTATAATATGAATCTGCTAAACATATGAAACAAAGAAGAAAAAAAATCCTAAACTGCTTCAACTAATATAATCTCACAATGGATCAACAAAGGTAAATTTTTCCAGCAATTGAAGAACTGAGTTAGAATAATACATGTCCAACAAGTCACGAACAGAGTAGGGAAATGGATCGAGTGGAGAAAAAAAAATTGGAGAAGTAAAGAGTGTTGCTGATTGGGGTAAGGGTAAATCGGTTATTTGAAACATTAAAATGTATAGAAAATACCAATACCCTTGAGAATAATTTTGATCTTCCTATGTCTTTTTTAATAATTTTTCCTTTCGTTAATTTCATATTTGTAGGAGGTGTAAGTTGACCACATTGAAAAAGTCATTTTCACTCCACCAGAATCCCTTTGATTAATTGGCATTCTGCATTAGATCCCAATTTTAGCACTTAAGGCATTTGGACTATGCCAAGGCTGAGCCTACTGAAGATCGTGAATGTTTAGCCCAAGGTTCGCTAATAAACTCTACAGTTTAGAGCCTTTTTTGTTTTGTTTTGTTTTGTTTTTTTTTTTTTTCTTTTTCCAGTTTGATTAAAGAGGCGCGTAGGAGTCAAAGAAGGTCTCAAAGGCAGCGGCCGCACTTATAATATGGCCGCAATAGTCAAAATAAAAGCAATTTATTGGGTGCACCCGGAGCACCATACACTTTCGCTCCTATTTTTTATATTATTAGTCCTTATTATATTTTTTTTTACTTTTTTTTAATAATCTTCCTATTATTTACAAGTTTAGTCCCTGTCAATTTTTTCTCTCTCTCCTCCAAAAAAACATCTCTAATCTTTAAACAAGCATATCTCTCAATCCGTGAAGAATTAGAAAACGTGTTACACATGAAATTTATTGTTCTCGTCGAGATCTATCCAACAAGATCCATAGTGAATATTTTTTTCAGGCTTAAAAATGATTAAATTCTGATGGGCAGAATAAAGGTGGATATCCAGTTTTACAAGATGGATAACTTGGTTATCCGTTGTGTTCATGCTGATTATCCAACCAGTTTGAACTGGTTATCCAACTTGTTTTTACTGGATATCATCCATTTGGTTTGTATGCCTATCAAACTTATTTGTAATGGATATCCCAGTTGTTTGTATTGGATAACCATTTGGTTTGTACTGGATATCCAACTCGTTTGTGCTAGATATCCATCCATTTGATTTTTATGCCTATTTAACTTCCAACTCGTTTTGTAATTGTAATCCAACGGGTTTGTATGCATATCAAACTTATTTGCACTGGATATCCAACTCGCTTGTACTGGGTATCCATTCACTTGTTGGTTTGTATGCGTATCCAAATTATGCGTACTGGTTATCCAACATATTTATCCAAACTGTTTGTACTGGTTATCCAATTTTTTTTTTTGTTTGGAGAAAATTGTTGTCCAATACGCTAGCACTAATTATCCATTCTGTTTATGCCACTTATCCAATCATTTTTTTTCCTTTGAAACACGATTATCCAATGTGTTCATACTGATTATCCAATTGATTCGTATTGGTTATCCATTTATTTTTACTGCATGTCCAAATAAGTTTGTAATTACTTGTCCAATCATTTTTTTTCTTCTTTCGAGAAAATGCTTGTCCAATTAATGTGTGCGTACTGATTATCCAACCCCGTGCTATTGTTTCTTCAGTTATTTTTTTATAAATAAATACTCGTTCGACATGTTTGTACTTGTTATCTAACTAATCGGTACTGCTTATCCAACCTAGTTTTTTTTTTCTTAAAATAGTTATCCTTTGTGTTCGTACTGATTATCCGACAGGTTTGAACTAATTATCCATTTCATTTGTACTGCTTATCCAACCTAGTTTTTCTTTCTATTATTATTTTTTTTTTTTGAAAAAAGAATATCAATCTAAACTAAGTTAGTAATCCATCTTCTTTTTTCTTTTTTCTTTTTTTGAAAAGTGAATGTAAAAAATCTGATTGGATAAAACAAAATAGATAATTAGTCCAAACCGGTTGGATAATCAGTATGAACACAACGGATAATTATTTTTCAGTTTATTCATTTCTGCCCGTAAGATTTAAATGCATTTAAAGTTCAAAAGAAATATTCAACATTGATCTTATCGGATAGATCTCGTCGAGTACTATAAATTTCATATATAATTCGTCGGATCAATAGATATAAAGAAAATAATAATATGAATGTAAAATAAGTTGGTTATCCATCTTGTTAAACTGGATATCCAATGTGTTCATATTGATTATCTAATTTCTTTGTGGCGGTTATCCAGTATTTTTTTCCTTGCTCTTTTATGAAAATGATTGTCAAACTTTTTTATACTGATTATCCAACGTGTTGCACTGATTATCCAATTATTTTCTATTGCATTATCCAAATTGTTTGCAATGCTTATCCAATCATTTTTTCTTTCTTTCTTTTTTTTTTTGAAGAGTGAATGTCAAAAATATGATTGGATAACAAGTACAAACAGAATAGATAATCAGTCCAAACCGGTTAAATAACCAGTAGAACACAACGGATAACCATTTTTCA